GGAAACGAAAAAAAATAAAGAGAGAGAAAGGAGACGACAACCAGGTTTACTTTGCCGTTTGAGCTCCAACAGGGAACGTACATACCAAGCAGCTGCTTACGCGTTATAAGCGAGTCCCCTCTATTGGTTCCCAGCAGCAAAGAACCCGCGGCCGTAGCCTACCGAAGAGAGCCATCACCCCCCGGCTTTTCGCCACTATCTTGGTCGTTGTTGTTTGGTGATGGGCAGAGACGACGAAGAAAACGCGCCACCATCCTTTCTTTCTTTCTCTCTCTCTCTTCGCATGGGAGAAGGGGGGAGGGGGCAAGAGAGGGATCAACGTGATTTCGGCTTTACGTGCCTTGTTCCGGTTGACAAACGGGGAGCCACGGTCATCTCGATGGCTTACCCCTCTTTTCGTCTCTCTTTTGTCTCTGGCTCTGTCTTTCCAAGCCTGGCAAACTAGACTTGGGGGATCCGTGCGTCGTCCCGAACGTGCGTGACCACTGCGGGCCGCGGGAGCGGGCTGCGAATCATCGCCTAGGCAGTACCGCTTGCAGCCGTTGGTGGGAGAGCAACACGTCGCCCGCCTGCAGGGGAAAAAGAAAAAAAGAACCCAACAGGCTTTTCCTCCTCCTTCTTCTTCCCTGCTGTGCGTATACGGAAATAAATCGGTCGGCAGCACAACGCTCTAGGCGCTGACGTTCAGCCTCCCCCCTGGTCATTCATCTCCTTTTTTTTTTCTCTTATTTTCTTTTGAAGATCACGGATGGCCCCGGGGAGGGCGTGAGGGGACGAAGAAACACTGTCTCGGGTGCTCCCGAGCCGCAGGCCCGCAACTCCGAGAAATACCATGCTTTGCTGTCATTGGCTGACTGGAGGAGTAGTCCGCTGCCGTTATCCGGTCCCTCTGAGACGCCAAGTCAGCAAAGCGCTGTGCCGTTTTACGCCCGTTCGACGCTGAAGCAGTGCCAAGGGCAGAGGAAATCAATTTTCGGACATGAACTGACACCATCCCCCGTCATGTCTCTCTCTCTCTCGCCTGCCTGGCAAAACAGAAGACGCATGAGGAGAAAAAGAAGGGGGAAAGGCCAGAAGGAAAAAAAAAATGAAGCTCATCAACCAGAAGGAGTAATCAGGAAACGTCAGTACACGTGCCAGCCGGCTGCCAGCCTTTTTCTGCGGCTCCGCTCCCGCTCCCCTCCCATCGGCACTCGCTTATCCAACCATCAACCCGAGGATCCGCGAAATCGGCGGATATGCTCCTCCTCGTGTCGTCGTGTTCGTGCGTCGTCGATCCGCCTTCGGGAAGTTCCCCGGGCCAGACCGTCAACTAGGTAAGCCAGGTGGGGGGTCCTTTTTTTTTTTTTTCTGGGATTTTGCCTGGTACGTACTCGCCGGACGACTGGGTAGGGGTGTATGCAGGTACTGTACCTTGCTGCTTGGGACTATGAGTCGCGCCGTTTGTCGTCGGTGCCGCGCGCCTTGGCAACACGTTGTAGTGGAGCATCATCCTCGTCGCAGGGCCACAGGGCGGCGGAAGTACACAGTAGTGGTTGGAGCGTAGGTATCCCACAGGGACCTTTTCCCGGGCCGGCGCTCTCCGGGGGTCTAGAGCGAGCGGGCTTTGTGTTGTCACTACTCAGGTACCGGCAAAGCATTCTCCCCCTGGTTATTGGGCGGGTCTGGCACAGTAGAATCGCGGGATTGGGGCAATTAGTGGAGACGGGGTACGGCTCGGCCGGGCGGGTACGGGGCCACCCGTGATGTTCGTTGGCGCCCGTTGCTTAATTTCCTTTTCTTTTTTTTTTCTTTGCTTGTGTCTTGCTTTTTTTGCTGGGAAAGGCTGACTGACTGACTCTCTCTCTCTGCGCAACCTCCATCACAGACATGGCCGTTTGCGGCTTTGTCTCATCACGGAACTTAGGGAGCGGTGCCGGCTGTGGCACAGCATTGCCAGCACTTCTTTGCTGTCGTTGCTGCTGCTGCTGCTGCTGCATGGGAAATGATACGCCCCTCCCGTTTCCCCGAGTGATGGCGAGAAAGCCAGTTCCTTGACTTTGATGACTCGCGCGCGCCTGGGTGCTGACACGTGTGTGGGCATGCCTTGTCAGTCGAGCGTGCATTTGTCTTGTTTTCCTTGCGGTGCGCCCCGGTTTTCATGTCTCTCTGGTCAAAGCACAGAACACGGCGCAAGCACGACTGACCCTCCACCCTGCTCACCGGACAAGGAAAGTCAGATCCTTGCCTGCCGCATGCCTGGCCAGCCTCATCAGCACACACGAAGCGTTACTTTCCGCACACCTTGCCGCCGGCCGATCATCGAACGATGCGAAAACGAAAAGGCAAGACCCAAGAGGAGGACCGGAGCGAGCGCACAAGAACGCGACGGAACCATGCTCCCTTCGCCCGAGATCGAGCCGCGCCTCATCTGCGACCGGTCTCGAAGCAAAAAGCATCATTTGCAGTCAAGAGCCAGCGTCGGGACCAAGCGTTTCGGTGCTACGTGAGAGAAGTGCTTGTAGGGTGCCATCGAAGAACGTCGCCGATGTGATACTGAGGGCGGCGGCAAAAAAAAGCCTTTTCCACGTCGTCTTAGGCTGCTCGAGACGCTTGGGCTACACAGAGCCGCCTCGCTGCTGTGACGGGTATCCATGTAGTAGTCGGAGCGTGGCCCGACGCCCGAAGCTTTTGTGGGAGGAGGCTTGCTTTGGCGTGCGCTCGTTGGACGATGATGGTGGTTCAGCGTGGTTCGACGCCCATGCCACCATGACCTTTTCACTCTTCTTTGGGTATGTTCTCAGGAGATGGGTTGGATGAGAGAATGGTAGAAAAGCAGGTTGCTTAGCCGTCGTCGCGATGTTGGACGATTTCGCGGGGAAGGCGCCGCTGATCATCGCATCCATAATTAGTAGCGACAAGGGTTGTGCGCGCATCTCCTGGGGAGTCCTGGTGCACGGGAAAGTCTGTTGTAGCCTCCGTACGTATACTTCTGACGGGGACGACGCTAGCCATGGGTGCCAGGGTCGCCATCGTTCCTACGGGTGCGCGGATCGCAAGGATGGGTCTGAAAACGATGTATTGAGCGTTGCGAAATGCCGAACATGGAAGATCCCAGGTGCACCTAAAGCACACCTGGAGACAAGGTACGGTTACAGTGCGTGGGTTTGAGACTCGTGTGGCATGGGGGTTCCCTGGCCGTTTCAGGGAGCGTTGCATCAATCAATTCGTGGTAAGGTGACATTTGGCCCCCACGAGAAAGTTGGAAAGTATGGAACGCCCTTCTTCGTTACAACGGATTTTTCTTGACTTGGGGAAGAGGGTGCAGTACGGCGGCTTAACGCTTCTTGTTCTCGGGTGGTGGTCATGATATCGCGTTGATGATCTAAAAACCATTCTACATTCTCCAAATCGCACCGAACACTGCCAAGTGACTGCGTATGTTTGAGCCCGTTCACGAACAACTCAACTGTAAAGTTCCAATAAGACCCTAAACTCCTTTCTTCGCCTTCGTCCGCCACCGTTGGTCTACCACTCAAGGTCGTTGCGCGGCCCAAGCCTCTCCCACAAGCCCAATTCCGGACCCGTCGTAGATTTCAAGCAGCTCAGTTGTTTGCACACTATCGTAGGAAATAAGAACATCTACAGTCAGCACATGTCGTGATAAAGCCATATTGCACACATCCTCTTCTTTATAGGAGAGGGGAGGGGCGGGAAGGTATGTAGTGCAGTAAGACTTACGTAGATCGGCCTGATTGTACTTGTCGCTGACCGACGATTCCCTGCTCGCCGGCCACACTTCCCTGCCCCTCCTCCTCTCCTCCTTCAAGTGCTTCGTCATCTCCTCCAGCATGTCCTCCTGTAGTCCGTCGGCGGGTGCATCCGGCGGCAGCGACTTTGATGGGGGTGGCATCTCGACAGCAGTGGACAGCATGGCCTGGACTTCGTCCCGGATGGCCTGGATGGCGACGTCGGCTTGCGCGTTGTCGCCGGGCCAGTTCAGGTAGATGTGGCACGCGAAGGCGGTGCGGGAGGCGGATGCAGGGGAAGTGGAGAGGGTGTACCAGAGGCGGCCGCCCGATGTGACGTGCAGCGAGCTCAACCCGTGGCGGTCGAGGATCGAGTGCGTGTCTTGGGCGGCCATGGTGGAGAGGAAGGGCATCTTGGAGGTGAGATCGAGCCAGGCGCTGGGGGCGATTCTGGCGGCGTAACCGGTGCGCTCCATGTGGTGTACTGTGAAGAAGGTGGGATTTTGTCAGCCGATACGTATTGGGGTTGATGGGTACGAAAGTCAGGGGTGATTTACCGGCCTGCTTCCAGTTGACGTCTTCTTCAAAGTCGAGCTGAGCAAGTGGAGCGGACCGCTCGGAAATGCCCCAGCTCTTTGCTAAAACGTCGGCGGTTGTGAAGTCTGGAATTGAGATGTACTCGGTGCTCAGGTTGACGAATACGAAGCCCTGACGAGTGGTATGAGCGTGGATTTCAAACAATCCGTTCTGGCTTTTGTCAAAGCTCTCAATGTCCTCGAATGCTGGGGCTTTCACAAGTCGTCCCCGGGTGTCGTAACTCCATCCATGATAGCGGCATCCCAGAACAGTAGAGGAGCCGGATTTCTTTTTGGTAACGGTATAGGCGCGGTGCCGGCATACGTTGTGGAAAGCCCGGATGACATGGTCCTTGCCAAGGATCAGAAAGACTGGATAGCGAGCGAGTTGAAAAGTGTGATAGTCTCCTGGCTTGGAAAAGTGGCTCCGATGGGTGAGGTATAACCATTGCTTGAAAGGTTGTCAGAGGGGCCCAAAACGGATGGAGTGTGGCGTGCAGAACATCTTACCTTGCTGAAGATTGCACGACATTCCAATTCATATAGTTCGCTGCCAGTCCACCAATCATCCGGGAAATCTGACGCTCGATGAGCTTCAAGCTTTGCATTATTCCGAGACGGAGGTGTGGTCGGTAGAACCACAGCAGATTTCTTGGCGCCACCCTTGTCATTGACGAAGTACCTGTATGCTAAGAAGGCAAGGATTGCAGGCAGAATCGCCAACAACGCAGAGACGAAAGGAGGCATGATGAGACCTGTAGCTACCGAAAGCTGGCTTGGGTAGCAACAGCAACGGCCATGACAGCCGTGGATATACAAGTGTCACATCGCCAGGCGGCTCGTCCGGCATGGAGTTCGCATGATAAACCGTGCGTGATTCACCGACATGGCATCCCAATCCGGTCACAACTTCCCCTCCCAAGAGATGCCAGGAGCAGGTTAAGCAGGCGTTGAGTCGTTGATGTGCAGGTGATGCGGGGATTGGATCGCGTTTCCCGTTTGGGAACAGCGTGTAGATCCCGCATCCGCAGTTCCCCAGCATGTAGGTAAGCGTAGACCAATCACACAGTGCGCTTATGCGGTAGATACCTTGGGACCGAGCACAGCGTGGAATGGTGGGCCGGACAGCTGTCAGATGCTTATCTTTAGCTCGTCTGGTCGAACATCACGAGTTCCATGGTGCCAGCCTGGTTCATGGCTGCCTCACGTTTGCATTGGCCGTACCAAGAGCGAGTCAAGTGGCTTGTGCTCACCTCAGGGGCGCATTTATCGTCTTAAAAAGTGCTAAGGAAAGCGGCGGCAGCCCTGTATCCGAAATGACTCTACGACTCTGCTGCGAAGAGCGGAAAGGCTCTTTGGCCAAACTCTATCGGACTTCTACGGTTTGCTGATCGAGAGCATGCTGCTCGAAAACCATTTCCATAACCCGACCTTGATAGTCTGGACAAAGGGTCAGCGGATGCCCTGTTGAGTATGGGCCGGGTACCTACAGGCCACGCCGTTTTCCTTTTCAGGGTTCAAAATACCCTCGGCGTAGACACCGTTCTCCAGATTGGCTTGAGCTTTTTCGCAAAGCTCATAGTCCTCCAGAGCGACTTGACGCACAAACTTGAAGTATTCCTCAAACTTGTCGCCAGACTCCATGTGGTAGTAGTCGAATTCCATGCGAGTGATGTTTGGGTCTTGAGTGGGACAGATGCGGAAGGAGCTCATTCCGCCGCCATAGACGTTGAGGGTGCAGTTCGGGAAGAAGTAGAGGAAAAGTCCGTCGTCGGGCTTCTTGGGATCGGCAATGTGTTGGGAGAAGTTCTTGAAGTTCTTGACCAAGTAGAAAGTGGGAGGGTAGTAGATGGAAAACGAGGGGTGAGTGTACTGGCAATGAAGACACTCCTGGTAGCCATCGACCATGGTCTTCCAGTTGAAGCGGCCATCGTACTTCAGACTGCGACGGTGCGGAAGCTTGGTGAAATCGACACGGGAGAGCAGAGGCTCAATGTCGGGGAAGAAGTCATTGAAGTCGGGGGCATCATCCGAGATGGTAGCAAACAGAAGACCCGTCGACGTCGTCCAACTGCGAACTTCTCGATCCTTTGTTGTTTGAAACGTCAGCGGGACTTGAATGGCAGTGTCAACTGATATGTGGGCAGACCGTGTCCTGCAACAAGACTTTGAGTTTGCCGGTCTCATCGTGAGTGACGTAGACTGGCACCTGAGCGACTTCATAGGTGACGTTGTCTTCGTGGAAGCGAGTGACGGGTCCTAAAAGGTACCACGACTGTTGATCTCAGTCATGGCTGCAGGCAGTGATGCAGGCGAGTCCCACTACCTTGAAGAACACGGCGCGCCGCTCCAGGTTGTAGAGTTCCTGGCTGGTGTACCATGAGGCAGGCAAGGTTCTGGGAAGCTCAGGAGCCATGTTGGCGGTTTGTGAGGTTTCTGAGGTGCAGCAGAGAAGGAATGACCTTGACTTGCTGCGTGTTTGGCGTGAAGGTTGGTCTTATAGCACCGCCGAGAATGGCCACTAGAGTGTGACGAATATGGTTAAGCGATCCCATGTGCAGGTGGTAGGGCAGATCAGCAGGAATCAAGCGGTCGAGCACTAATCAACCGCGAGCAAGGGTCCAACTGCAGCCGGTCACTGCTAGGCGACAAGATGGCATACGAAGTCCCGTGTGAGTCTCCATGTCGCTTGGCAAGTCCTGCAGAGTCAAGGGCGTTGATGCTTGAGTCAGTGCTGTGTCAGTTCGGCAAGTGTGTCGGAGTAGCAAAGTGCCACTCGCTCGACGATGATGTGGCCGTGCTGGATGCATGGCTATTGGCTCTCGGGATGGGAGGTGGGAGTGGCTCGGGGAGGGATGGAGGAGAAGGATTGTAGAGGAGGGTGAGGAGAGCGGGGGATTGGCCGAAGCTCCGCCGAGGATGACGCCACACGACGCGATCGCGTCTCGGAGCTTGACGCGACTGGACGGAGCTCCGCCTACTTAGCCACAACTGCACCAGCATTCCGACCCACACCGTCGCCATGGGAATCAACGGGCAAGTCCCCCGGCCTTTCCCATTGCCGCTCGACATTCTAACGTGCATCTCAACAGGATTTGGGACGTCCTGGGCGATGGCGAACTCACGTCAATTGCCCGCCTTGCCTCTGACCACTTCCAGCGTCACGGCCGCCCGCTGCGCATTGCCGTTGACGAGGCCGGCTGGCGCTTCTGCAACTTGAATCCCCACCAAGTCAAAGCTATCCGCCAGAGTACGATCCTGCCCCAATCCCTCCGCGAGAATCTCGCTGATCCAAGCCCCAACAGAAGAGCCCGCAGCCAACCCTGTCGAGAAAGCCATTCTGTACCGAATCCTCAAGCTCTTGAGACTCAACATCCAGCTCCTGTTCGTCTTTGACGGCCCGCGGAGACCATGGAAGAAGGGCAAGACGGCTGGCATGATCAAATACCAGGACATCAAAACCTTGCGTCGCCTCCTTGACCTCCTCTGCGTCCCACATCATCGCGCCCCGGCCGAAGCAGAGGCCGAGTGCTGTCGACTGCAACAGGAGGGCATTGTGGATGCTGTGTGGTCCGAGGACAGCGACAGCCTGATGTTCGGCTGCACCTTGCTCATCCGCAACTTCCGTGACAAGGACAAGAAGAGCGACACCCATGTCAGAGTCTATCGCGCTCACGACCTGTGGGAAAAGAAGCAGCTGGATCGCGATGGCCTAGTCCTGATCGCCATGCTCGCTGGCGGCGACTATGACCCGGTTGGCGTCAGGGGGTGCGGCGCTAATATGGCCTACAGAATCGCAAAGCGCGGCTTGGGAACCGTCTTGTGCCAGACGCCAGACAGGGAATTGCTGTACTTTCGGGACCATTTGCACCCGCTCTTCCGTGGTAAGGACGTTGAGATCCCCTACGACTGGCCGAAACCAAGACACTTGAACAACTACCGGAACCCAACCGTGTCCACTCGTGAAGAGCTGCACCATCTGAACGCCCTCAGGAACGATGGCTGGGACCGTGCAATCGACCAGCCCAAGCTACGGACCTTCCTCCGCGAACAGTTCCAGATCTGGACCAAGGGCTATATGAAGCACATCGCCCCTGTTTTGCTCGTTCGAAAGTTGTGCAGAAACACGTTTGCTCGCGTTGATGCGAATCCCTACTCGGTCGAACTCGTTCGCTCGAGGAAGCAAGACTCTGCCAGCGAAGGCGAAGACACCATGGTGAAGAAGGTCAAGTTCTTGCCCCACAATCTGGTTGGCTTTGATTTCGCCGTCGCACCGGAAGAAGAGGACTGGTCGAAGCTGGCAACGAAGTCTGACGGCGATTTTGATCCCGGATCTAAAGTAGATTGCGAGGTTTTGGAAGTTGTCCTTCGGCGCTCCCTGCCCGCGTCAGTCTTCGAAGCGCCTGCACCAGCGAGGTCTGCCTCAAAACGAAAGAATGACAGCGCTGGTGCGGGACCTGCTGACGTTCCGAGCGGCCCATCGCCTTCCAGGACGCAACAGGAGACCACACGAGAACCAAGAAAACGAGCAAAGACAAGAAGCACGAGCAGCCGTGCCACTGCATCTACTGAAGTGGACGAGATTGTTGAGAGGATGATGGGCGTACGTCGACGCACTGGGGCCAACAATACCAGCCGCACTGTCAACCCAGATTGCAGTGCCACTCCAAGCTCCAGTGCCAATCCACGCTCCAGTGCCACTCCAAGCTCCAGTGCCAATCCACGCTCCAGTGCCAACCCAAGCTCTAGTGCCAATCCACGCTCCAGTGCCAACCCAAGCTCCAGTGCCAACCCAAGCCCTAGTGCCGGTGCGCGTCCGCGGCCTGTACTCCACACATTGCCCGACCTACCGGAGCCTCCTAGAACGCGTGCTGATGATGAAGTTGTTGACCTCGGATCTGAAAGCGAGGACGAGCTCCCTACTCCATCCAGGATCCTCACACCAACTAGATCTCAGCCATCCGTACCTGACCAACGACGAAATGACCTATCACATGGTACAAATAGGTCGGTTCCCGTGTCGGCTTGGTCTGATGAGGATATCCGGCGGATGCACGAGTTGCAAACCAAGTATGGCGTGCAATTGGTGGCGGCGCCGGCAGGCAACGCTCCAAGCCAAGAGCCTATTCCATCATCAACGCAGCCGCCGAGCTCAGGTCGCGCATCTACACCTCAGCAGCAGGTTGGGGCCGCGCCACTTTCTGCACGAGACGCAGCGCGTGCTCATTGGTCGCACCTCAATGCAAAGCCGACCAGCCGTAATGGCCAGACGCAGGAGCCGTCAAGTACGGGCACATCTCAAATCCAAACCCCCGCAGCAAAGGCCGCTGTATGCATCGACTTGACCATCGACTAAATGCCTTGCAAGGACTCGAAAATTACACATGCAGCATGAACAGTAGACACATACATAATACTTGATATTTCTAATAATGGCATCAAACCCACCACCTCCTAGGTGGCAACGAACTCCATAGCTTTTGCCAACGCCATGTACCATGTACCCAACTCGGACCGTAAAGCCTTTGGCCCAAGATTTCCAGAACGCCGCTTGTCTCGACCCTTTGACTCAATTACCATCCGTCACCAAACATCTCGAACCCCCCCTTCTTCACCTCAACAGCATGGAATCCCTCAACTCCTCCTTCAACGCCCTGTACTCGCTCTCCTCAGCCGCGGCCAGCGCGGGCGCGCCGAAAAAGTAGCGCGGCGTGCCCACGTTCCCGACGTCCAAGCTGCGCCAGACCCTGACGTGCTTGATGAAGGGCTCGAGCAGCTGCCTCGCCATCTGCGGCGTCGGGTGGGTGACGGGGAAGTTTGTGGTGCCGTTGTGCCACTCGACGCTCAGCCTCAGATCCAACAGCGTCGCGACATTGTCATTCCCGTCGTCGCCTGCGCCAGCGCCCAACTGGAATTGTTGCGCCTGCGCCCGCACCACCCTCTCGACAAAATGCCGCACGTACGCGCACACGTGCTCGAACACGCCGTGCTGCACCCACGCCACGACCTTGACGTCCAGCCGCCTCGCCCGCGCCAGGACGCCACCATCACACCCGCCGATCCCGTCGAAGTAGTTCGCGTACACCTTGCACGGCCCGCCCCGCTTCCCGAAATCGAAGTCGGCGTGCGTCAGCTGCCGCCCCCGCGCGAGGGCGACGCCCCCCGGGTGCAGGCGCACCTCGAAGGGGCAGCGGGCGTAGAGCACGGCGCTGGCCTCGTCGTGGATGGCGCGGCTGAGGCGGAGGAGGGCGGTCGTGCCTGATGACGAGGTGCCGTCGCGGCGGAGGACCGAGGAGTCGCCGGTGTTGACGGCGTTGGCGGCGGGGATGGGCTTGTCCGGGAAGAGGAGGTCGTAGATTTGGAGGCGGAGTTCGGTGGGGAGGCGGTCGAAGAGGGTGGTGGTGGTGGGTGGTGTTGACGAGGGGAGTTTGTTGGTGGGCGGCGGTGGTGATGGTGCGCGGAGTTGGATTTGGTGGGGGGGTTGGCGGTGGTTGGTCGTCGCTGTTGTTGTTGTTGTTGACATTGTTGTTGTGGTGGCCATGATTGCTTATTCTTTTTTCCTATTTTGGGGTGGGTGGTGGATGGATGGATCAGATGGATGTGGCGGCGATGGTGCGTGCTTCTTGGCCGGCAGCAGGTGTTTATTTATTTATTTATTTGTACGGTCGTGCCTTCGATACGAATATGTGTGGTGAGGTTGACGCAGAACAATTAATAATACTGAAACGGGGGGAGGCAGGTTCGCAGGCGATGATGTGGTGTGGTGTGCGTATGGTCAGGGATCAGTCGATCGAGCCAAGCTTCTTTGCAGAGAAAAGTCGAGAAAGAAGCAATTAGGGTTTATATCATTCTGGCGGCCGCTGTCCGTCACTCCACTGACCGCTGATTTCAGTGGGGTCGTCCTCGGCCGACGCGCTGTGTCGTGCGTGTGTTTTATTGTATTATTTGCTACGGAAATCCCGTCGCTCTGGCTGGCATGCGGCAGGCCAGGCAGGGGGGGGGGGGGGCCGTTGCGGGTTTTTTTTGGTTCGTTGCTCTCCAGATGACACTAAAAGACAGGCGATGGCAAATGTGTCAGCCCTACCCGGAGAAATCTCGTCTGGCCTCGGACCTGGCATCTTGACTGTTTGACCGCTCGAGGCACCCGGCGGAGATGGCCCTGTTGCGCGCTCTGTCCAGAGAGAAGAACCGCCCGGCCGCTGACCACCGTCCGTCATGGTTTGCCGCGATTTCTATCCGGTAAGGGGGAAAAAAGAGAGGGAGAGAGCCAAAATACCCCCTTGGCCTGTAAAAAACACATGTTTCTTTCGATCTTGCTGTGATCGCCAACGATACCTAGATCAGTGGCCGGCCGCCTTCCCGACCCAAAGTGCCGGGGGGCGTGTTTGAAAGAGAGAGAGAGCCGCGACGGGACCGAACTCGGCCGTGTCGGTGACCGGTAAGTAGCTGCCGGCAGCCAGCCCCGAACGCACCGTCCCGCAACACACACTACAGCCCACGTACGTGCTTTGGGCCGTCCGCGTGCCCGCCGCCGCCGCCGCCGCCGCCGTCTCTGCTTTTTTTTCTTGCTGTTGCTTCGCTTTGCTTGGCTTTGCTTAGCTTTACTTCGCTGCAAACCTTCGCGCCGCAGATTCTCCTCCAGCTCTTTCCCCCCCAGAAAAAAAAAGAGGAGGGAGCACAAAGGGTGCGGCTGGTGTTGCGTTGGCAGCGGCGGTGGTGATCATGCTCGACCGGGATTTTCGTCGAGACGTCGTGCGAGACGCGTCGATTCGTCGATAAATTACCGCTGGGATGGCAGTGGTGGTGCCAGCACTGGTAGGGAGCAGCAGCAGCAGGGGCGTTGCAGGAGCTAGGTACCGGTGCCGGACGTCGGGCCGGCTGCTGGCTGATGGCACGATGCACCGCAAGTGGGTCCACGCGCGGGTTGGGATGGGGATGCAAGGTGGTTGGTGATGGGGGAGGCGGACAGCGCGAAGGGGGCTTCGTCCGGAAAGTATGGAAGCAGCATGCTTTATCGATCGGCGTTGTGCCAGACGTCCAACTTCTGATCTTATTCCCGGCCGGTCGCACAACGACGTCTTCCCCAGTGCTTCGTCGTTGCAACACGGGCCACGTCTTTCGGCATGGAGCACTCGTACGATCGGACTGTCAAGAGAGCTCGTACGACACTAAACGCGTCCCTCACACCAACTAGATATTACGGTTGAGATCTACACGGCCTGATTACAAATTGTCTCTCTATCACAATCATCCCCGGTATCGCGCTTTTCCAGCTACTTGCCTTCTTCGTCAGTATTCTCGTCACTGTCGTCATCGTCGTCGGCATCGAAAAAGTGGACGACGCTGGGAGGGTTGTCGTCGTCGCCGTACACGTTGCCGCCATACGCCAGATAGCCTTCGACCATGGGCAGCGGAAGCGTGAGGATGTCCGACGAGTTTCCAAACACCCACACCGTTTGCATTCCTGCTCAGACGTCAGCTCTCTTCTTCTCACAACCTCTCAACCTCTCGCTCTTTCCTTGTCGTCGTCGTCTTCTTCTTCTTCTTCTTCTTCTCTCCAAGGCACCGAATGAAAAAAAGAAAATGAAAAAGAACTCACCCATAACCATATGCTGCAGCGTATGACAATGGAGCATCCATACCCCCGCCTGCTCCACCCTCAACCGCCACGCCACCCAGCTGTGCTCCCTCCCGGGCTCCTCATCCTCCCCATACCGATACAACATGGTCGTATCCCGCCTGACCACCGGCGCCGTCCCCAACCTCTCCTCATTCGCCACCCGATCGTACCTCCCGCTCCCGCTCCCCAAATAAAAGTAGTGCGCCCCGTGCATGTGCATCGGATGCACGTCGACGCCCCCGGAGTAGCTCCCCGTGTTCTGCACCACGATCTCCAGCACCTCGCCCAGCCGCGCCGGAAACGCCGCCACCCCGTCGCGCGCGTCGCGCCCGGTCCCGCTGGCGACGGCGGCTTCGTAATCCGGCAGCGCGGCCGTGGCGTTGCCGTAGAGCGAGACGAGGTAGGGGGATCGCGGCGTGTGCTCGTACCAGGAGATGCCGTTTTGCGCCCATTCGACGCGCTGGCCGCCGCCGTCGGGCGAGATTTGCTGGATGTCGATGGTGACGGTGCGGGTGACGGACGTGGCGGGGGGGAAGGACGGGTCCGGGTGCAGGGGGTGGAGGGCGGTGTCGAGCCAGCCTTGGATGGTGGGGGGGAGGTGGAGAGGGGGGGTTTGGGGTGGGGTTTGGAGGGAGAGAGGGGGGTTGGGGGTGTTGATGTCGATGTCGATGTCGATGTTGATGCTGTCGTTGTTGCTGCTGCTGTTGCTGCTACTACTGCTGCTGCTGAATCCGGCACCACCACGACAGGAGTCGCCGTAGTCCAGGACGGCGTAGGTGGTCAGGTTGGCGGGGCGGTCGCGCGTCTCGAGCTGGAGGTAGAACTGGCTGCGGCCGGCGGGCAGGTCGGCGCAGGACCAGGTGTCGAGCAGGGCCGAGTAGCGCTGGCCGCCGCCGATCTGGATGAAGGGCACCTCGACCGGCTGGGTGTAGTCGCCGTCGGCCTCGATGACGGTGAGGTTGTGCGCCTCGAGCCCCAGGGCGACGAAGGAGATGGCGGTGCCGCCGATGAAGCGCAGCCGGTACGTCTTGCCCGGCTCGACCGAGATGCGCGCCAGGCTGCACGAGCCGTCGGCGGCGTCGGCGTCGTGGCTGTACTGCGAGATGCCGTGGCCGTTGACGAGCACGCCGCCGACCTCGCCGCTCCACTTGAACGGCTTGGCCGACAGCCCGCTCTCGATGTCGTGGTCCGTGGTGTTGTAGAGATCGGTGAGCAGGACGACGCGCTCGTCGTCGTACTCGTACGGCGGCGTCTCGCCCGGCGGGTCGGTGATGATCAGAGACCCCGCCGCCGTCATGGCCTGGAAGCCGACGTGAGAGTGGTAAAAATACGTGCCCGGCCCCATGTCGCGCAGGTTCAGTTCGTAGTCGAAGAACTTCAACGGCGCAATCGGCCATTGGCTTGCCGCGGGCGATCCGTCGGCGAACGGAGCCGCCGCCATGGTGAGGCCGTGCCAATGCTGCGGCATCCATGTGCGTCAGTTGCCCGATTCGCGGCATTGCCTTGTGTGTGTGTGCACTTACAATGGTGAGGTTTTCGTTCGGCATGTCGTTGTACACGCGGATCCACACGACACTGCCCGACGCAAAGGACAGCGGCGGGCCTGGGATGGTCCCGTTGATGACGACCGAGTCTCTTTGGATGCATCCAATGCTCGCCGTCTGCTCAGTTACCCGCAAGACGGCATCTGGAATGAAGCTATCATCGTGGAGCCGAAGCGTGGGCTCCTTGGCCCACGCGCCCACGGCCAGCAGCAGCGATAGCACTATGCGCCACAGCATTGTCGAGGCGGGCCACAAGGAAACGAAGGTAGCAAGGAGAAGAAACAGAGCGAAGGCGTGCGGCTCTATGAAAGTGTTTCAAGTGTGACGACCGACACGACTCAGAAAGGAGGAAAGGCCGAGCCCATGTGTTAAGAAGCACGGCTTCGACTTATTCCAACCGTGCTGCCGGGTCTACAATTACAATTGGTGCTTTAATTAGCAAGTGTCAAGCTGTGGCTGCAAGACTCCGTTGCGTCGTGCACCCGCCAGCCCGCATCTTCCCCCAAGCCTTCTCCACGCGCCGACGAGGGAACATCCCTGTCTCGAACGCGGCCGCCACGGACCGACATTGCTGGCGTCCAAGGCAAAGGATGTGATTGGTCCAAGCTGTTGCTCAATCAAGTCGGGGCTGCTCAGAGCCATGTTTCCAGCAAACAAAGTTGGAGCTTAATCCATCCCACGTTTGCGCCTTGTCATCTTTTAGCGGCTGACGGACAGGCCGCTGCGTCTATGCACCGGGCGTTCGCAAAAAGGCTGGGCGGGCGGGCGATTTGTTGCAGTCAGCCGCACACAAGTATCAAAGCTCTCGACGATCTCCATCAGCCACGCCGATCAGTAAGACGGCGCTCCCGTTCGAGAACCACCGACGTAGTCAGACCTGTCTCGCCCATCATATCGCTCCGCAACTCCGCATACATGCCAAGAGCGCAGCCTCGATGGACTCGTAAGAGTCGTGCAGCATCTGATACATTCTGAGTAAGACAGGGCTGCTGGCTTTTTTTCTGCCGCCTACGCCTCCGGGCTCAGTGGTCTTGGCCCTCCCCGTGCCGCAGAGCATGGCCACATGGCCGAGTGCGCCAACTTTGGTCATCCCCATCCTCCGCTGTCATGACTGAGAAGCCGCGGCTTTTGACTTCCACCAGTAGTGAATCTGAATTCCACACTGGAGCCTTCAGATATGGATGCTGATACAGACCGCTAAACACACGGATGCAGCCAAGCCGGCACCCGGCGTGCAACACGAGGTCCTTGAGCCGATCCCGTAATCTCGCCCGCCGGCCAGTCGGTTCCCTACGGAAACGTTACTTTTTTTTGCTCTCCTTCTTCTCCCTTGCTGAAATCGTATTCCAGCGACCCCAATACTGCCCCGACCACTGACGCATGGTCTGGCAACCTTGCAACTGAAAGGTTCAACTTGACAAGACGCTCAAGGAAATCCCGACGAGGACCCGGGGGACCCGAGTGTCTGATTGTTGCTTGACTCGTTCACATCCCTGATCTGCACTGTGCAGTTTAGACATCGTCTGTCGTTCATGCAACCCTTCTAAGGAGTCCAGTGGTCGAGATGTCCGGTAGATTGTTCGTTGCGATAGCGTCCGCAAACGCTGGCTTTTTTAAATTATATTTTTTTAGAGATGGATTTTTTGTGTTGATTCCTTCTGGTCATGACTTCGTGTGAATTGGCCATCGGCTCAGCAAAAAGGAGAACGTAATTAGTTGATTCAACGTGGATGCTCAAAGCATACCAAATCCGTTTCTATAGTTAACCCAACTTGGTAAGCATATGTTAAGTAGGTTGCGCCGACTCACAACCTATGGACCCATGGGAACCCATGACTCGAACATGACTGCCCATGCCCTCCAACAACGTGGGTCCAGTCACCACAGTGGGCGACGAAAGAAAATGAACCACCTGCACACGTAGTGGAATCGTTTACCCTATCTGAAACTACGCCTACGTCGGCATACTTGCTTCAACTGCCCGCACGTCGCCAGCTGTGTCACGAGAGATGACATCCAAATGTCTCAGACATTCAATGCTTTCAGGTAACAAAAAAAAAATGCGTGACATCAGCGGCCGTCTACCTACGCAAGAAACTCGACACCGCACCGTTCAAACATGCCCTTCGTCTCGTCCGTGTGGCGCGCACAGCTCACACCAAAGACAGACCGTGCGGGGGCCGGACGTCCGACTCGCGTGGCGACAGCCCTCGTGATATCGATCGTTCGAAGACGCGGGAGGAGAAGGGCATGAGTGCTGCTTGTGCCGCTGCCGCTGCTCTGATCACCAGTGCTGCCCGAGTCTCCAGATCCGTGAGGAGGGACCGAGGGGCGGAGGAGCAGACGCAAGAAGCAGAGCAGATCGAGCCTGTTCTCGTGGCCCATCTGCGCGCCGAGCATGGCGAGGGACTCCAGCGAGGCGGGCAGGTCCTCCTCCACGATGCGGCGGTAAGCCCCCGGCGCCGGTGCGAGGGGAACGACGACGACGACGACGACAGCCCGGCTCGTCGTGTCGTCCCGCCGCTCGTGGTCGTCTGGGTCTTCTTGTTCTTGTTCTTCTCCTTCTTCCTCAGCATCGTGCAGGCCGGACGCCGGGAGAAGAAAGGCCTGGGAGACAGCGAGCCGCTTCAGGCGCGGAAAGCGGCGCAGGGCCAGGCACAGCGGCGGCGGCGACGTCTCGCCGTGCAGCGTGCTCCAGAGGGCGTGCTCGGCCGAGTCGATCGTCAGCGCCTCGAGCGAATGCCCGACGGCGTACAGGTGCGGCCACAGGTCTGCGACGGGCAGGTCGTCGTGCCCCACGACGGCGCTGCCCAGGCAGTACTCGAAGGACTTGACGGCCGTCGAGCGCGAGAGGAGGTGGCCGACCGCTGCGGGCGTCACGAGGGACTCGACCAGGGAGACGCTGGTGACGCTGGACGTGCCGGGTTCGGGCCAGACGGCAGTGTTTGGACGCGCTCCTTCGTCGTCGTCTTCTTCTGCCGCATCGTCATCATCACCGTCGGACCGGGGGCCCCCGGCGCACATGAACGCCGTGACGTGTCGAAGTGATGGCAGGTGTAGAAACTCGGCGATGGCGTCGGGGTGGAAGCCGCCTTCGGTGTCCTCATGCCAGAGCTCGACGTGCTGCAGTCTGTGCAGCGGGCCCTCGGGCTCGGGACCTAAAGCGCGCTGGATGCGAGCCTGGCGCAGCAGGAACGGACGAATCCACGACATGGGCTCGTAGGGTATCTCGATGTCGAGGACGGCCAGATGGGTGGCGACGGTGAGAAGCAGAATCACGTCTGCAAACAGGCTTCCCTTGCTCATGTCGGCCATGAAGCGGGACCGTTCTTCGCCTTCGAATCCGGCCTTTTCTGCTGTTGCTCGCCAGCTGTCGCCCTCGAACGGCATTGCCTCGCCGCTCCAGCTCTCCAGATAAACGAGCTTGACATGCCTCGCTAGGCTGGGACGAGCCAGCAGGGTTTGGACAAAGCGCCGCAATTTCTGCCGGTGCACATCATAGCAGAAGGCAGCGTAGAGGTGAGCCTCGGCTATGTGACGGAACCGCTTCGACACGAGGACGAGACTCCTCAGAGTTGGCCGATTCTGGTGCCAGATGCTGTATACGTAATCCTTGTCGACGTGCTTGCCCTCGGGGTCTTGGCTTGTTGCAAAGCTGCTTACAATGCGGTCGAGGAGCTCGTTTGGTAAATCATTGATAGTTGTCCCGGCGGGCTGGTGATGTGATGATGCCATGTTCAAGCATTCGATGGACCGTTGGGTCTGAGGTCTCGATCATTATATAGCCTCAACTCGCGCCACCGCACTAGTGATCCTTTGCCTGGACTCGGCAGTAATCTAGGCAACAGCCAGCCATGTCCGGCTGAATTCCAACCGCCCGCCAAGATGTACTGAATATTCATGCACCAAATCGTGACCAGCACTACCTTTCAGACAGATTTCCAAAATTCTGATCGTCTTAATGCCTCAGTGCGCGTCGTCGTCTGTAGTGGGTAGCAGAATGGTTTGCGCGATCGCTTGATAGTCATGGTTGCGAGCAAGAGTTGTACGAGATTTAGCATGGTATTCCTACATCAGTGCCGGCTAGTTACGAAAACTAAATCGTCAGCAATCTCAATCGAACAAAAGTCATTTTTGGACAATACATGATACGGCTTGTGTGATGACGCCAATGCTGACAACAGTGCAGGTAGTCTAGTGCAGATTTGGGGGGATGTGGGGGGTTGGGGGGCAGCAGCAGATGGTACCGAAAGGCGCGTGGATAGGAGTCTCCCAGCTTTGCTTCTGACGAGATGTTACTCCAGTGATTTGGACCGGCGTGGGAGGCAATCGGGCAAAGGAAAACAGAACCACTTCGGCTCTCTCAAAGCGCGGTACTGGGTCTGCTCATGGTCTGTTCGAGGGGGGGGGGTTCAATAGATGCAACGGCAGCGGGGATTTGTGCAGACTGGGGATGTGGATAGGAAATCTCGAAGGAGTAGAAGCTGTACTGGGGGCTGTAATGGCCGTCATGTCCTGTGGTTAACGAATCGTACTATGGTGTTTGGCAGTGGAAGGGGAAATTCAGCTGAGCAGATGGCCGATGAGGCTTAGACCAAGCAGCCACCTTTGCTCACGTCAGGCGAGGCATGTCGTGCAGATCAATCTCCCATGGCCGGAAATGGCTATCGATTGTGCACCTGTAGAACACGAGCTGACTGTGGAGCGACAAAGCAACGATGACTTCATGGTCAAACATCCTCTCTCCCCACCTCACCCAGCGGCCGCCCCGAAACTGTGCCGATGGGGATCGAGGACGGGTTCGGCCTGATTCATGATCAGTGGCAGCAAGTCCGCGGAGATTGACGTCAGGGTGTGAGGCTAGGCCGCGATCATCGCAATGCCGGGCTGGAGCCAGGAGATGACGTCGGCCTAGACTGCTCCGTGTGGATATGGTTCCCCTGAGATTGGGCTTGCATTTCCGCTCGCTGCATCATCGGCAGACGCATCCGTCTCAGGGACTCGGCGGCCGAATTGCTGCCCAACCTAGGTACGGCTAAGCGGCGGGGCCGGCCCGAGGGCGGGATGGAAAGCGCCGCATTATTGCGAAAGCCGCACGTCGCTTCCGACGGGCCAAGCGCAGTGGCGAATATCGCCAGCATTGTTGACTCGCCCATGCCGTCCGCTCGGTCTCTTGCATCTCCGCCCGTCGGCCCGGGGCAATGCGTCCCCTCCCCCCGCGACCCGGTCCATCATTGGCCCTCGCCGTGCTTTTGTTTGCTGCTTGGCATGTTGCAGCAGACCGCACTTCTCCGTCTCATCCCCGTCTATCGCCATAGCCACGGGGCACATGGTCCGTCAGCGTGTGGGCTGGCCTCTGTGCCCGAGTCAGAGACGACGCGCTTATCGTCAGCGACCCGTTACGTGGCGCATATTATTCCGGGGCTGTACTACGTAGTACTCTTCCTCAAGCATGGATCATGAATAAGTTGCGCGCGCCGGACTGGCGGCAGGTGGCGCGAAGCGGGTAGACCTTACCCGGTGATGTGGTCCGCACAGATCTCCAATGTGCTCATACTGCCGTCCATGGGACAGCCCATGATTTGCTGCCCCAGCCGTCAAGGCTGATTCCGTCCCGCTGCTTCCTTGACGTGTGCTCCGGAGACTGTTCCGGCAGCGGCTCCATGACCACGACCCAGATCAGTCTGCCCAAACATCCACCGCGCACACTTTCGCCGCCACTTCTCTCACGAGCCATACGAGACAACGTGCGGCTGACAACCCCCACCCAGCCCTGGGACTGGCTTCGACGTATCGTGAGGCACGTGGCGCAAAAGCAATGGCTTCTCAAGTAGGGGCACTTCAGAAATTCCAAAGTCAACGCCTTGACCCCATCACCCGTTCGATCGTCGGCAAGTCTTAACGCCATGAATATTCTGAGCTGATTGTCCGGAATACTTGATTGAAGTTGCACAGCTGAAAGATGGAGTCTCCACTTCCAATGCCCTCACTTCCACCAAAGCACGGAATATGTCCCGACCCCGTTGCGCGTTTCGCGCACCCCCTGAATCTTGGCCTTCAATCCCAACGAGAACGGGTCTGCGAGCAAATCTGATAGCTTCTTGACGATGGAGATGATCTCTGCGTCGGCTGTCTCTGCCGTCGGCGGGGTCTGGGAACATACGCCCTGTGAATCCATGTGTGGTGAACAAGACTGCGGTAGAGCTGCACATGGGAGAAGAGTCGATTCGATTGCCATGTCGGCCGTTCGACGTTGCAAGCGCCGCCGTTTGTCTGCAAGGGCGTCATAGAGGGGTTGGATGACGGCGAGATACTTGGCAGCTACTGGCTCCACTTTGCTGCACGCACACAGTATGTCGGCGCAGACCTTGGCATAGGCGAAGTCCTCTTCGATGGGAGGGCGTTGGTCCATCATTTGCTGGCCAATACCAAAGAGGATCACTGTGCTGGACTGGAACGCCCAGTAACTACATCCAGGGGTCAGGGGCTGGCTTCGCCTAACGGGGTGCACCATCTACTCACATCATGACCCAACACCGCCTCGTCATGGCGCCGCTCCAGCTGATGAGCTGCATCATCCGTGTCATTTGCTGTGCGGCGATTGAGCAACGTGCTCGATAGCTCTGGACTTGCGAGTATGGCATGTCCAGATCCCATTTGGAATGAATCCGGGCCTCGCATGCCTGGAGCAGCAACTGCCGGTAAAGGGAGATGATGGCACCCAAGTAGAACATGTGTATCATCAGGATCGCCCTCCTTTGGTAGTGGGTCAGTAACGAGGACTGTTTCTCGTCTGTCAGTGCAGCAAGCTGCATGTTGGCCGGTAGTGATGTGTGCCACGCGTCAAGCTTCTCGGTCAACAGCTCAATGTGTTCGGTCCTGACAGCGCTGGCGGCTCTGTGGGTGGTGACTTCAGCAATCTCTCGGGATACGAGCCCGATCTTACAGCCTTGGACATATATCGCGTCCGAGAGTGAGGTCGACTGCAGGAGACGAGGCCATGCACGCTGATACAGTGAGTACATGCTTGAGACAGAAGTTGGCCTTGCAAACATACCGTTATGTCCTCTGCTCTCACGTCCGCCTTGTATCCCAAGGTTGTAGACAACCAACTGACTTGATCAGCACGATCCCTCGGGTTGGACGTGGGTACGAACGAACCATTCTATAAACACCAATGTGCAGATGAGTCTATTGGCATCCTGCACACTGATCGTACCCGCTTCGACGGCTTCCTCGGCCTCCTTGGACCGGGAAATCTGAAGGCCAGCAGCTAAAGCATCGTTAGTCTTGGAACAGCAGGCAGGATTTTGGATTCGCTGAAACGTTGCCGACCGGCCAACGAGATGAAAGCGCTCCATGAAAGGGGTACGTTTGGTGGGGACGACGGGTTGCTCAATGCTCTCAAGCGAGGGACATCACTTACCGACAGTAAGTCGCGCAACTACATGTTTTTCGAGGATGGAGTGGATGGAAAGTAGAGCGAAGACCCACATGGTCCTGTAGTCGCGGACGCTGGAGAATTGCGACTCAAACATGGAGACTGCAGAAACAAAGCAACCGTGGCGCTCGGCATCCGTCATGCACTCGGCATCATAATGCGCTCCGACGGCAGCCAACAGGAGGACGAGCATCAGGGGAAAAGGCTCAATGCTTTCACTGCAGTAAACATGATCTAGCATCTGTTGCAGATGCTCCTCCCTCACGAGAAAGAAGAGGGAGCCTGTTCCCACCCTACATGACATTGTGGCCTTGCGGGTCTTGTCCTGGGGCGGGAGATGGAGACAGTCATAGCTCGGAACCCCCCTGGCGATGATTTCGTCCCTCCGCACCGAGATCTCTTGCATAGCCAGCTGAAATGCGACGTGACACTCATCATGCTTCCGCGATCCCGAGTCGGGTCTCGAGGCGCCGTCCCCGGAGCCGTTGGAGAGGGTCTCGGACGAGTTGCTCCTGGACTTGCGGTCGTGGTCGACGGGCAGGCGGTGCCCTGGGCGTGAGGTCTTGGCCTGGGTCTGGTGATGGGTGAAGGTTTTGAGGTAGTTTTGGTAGCGGCGGTAGTTTTCGGTCGTCTTGTATTCGTCCATTTGCGCCTCGTATTCTTGCATGTCGCGGGCGGCGCGGCACTCCCAGGCGTGCTTCTGCTCCGAGGGCAGCGTCTGCCATCGGCGGCCGACCTCACGGGCGATTTCCACAAAGGACAGGGCGTTGACGGCGGGATCGGTGCGCAGGGTGTCGGCGAAGTTGACGTAAGCGGTCTTGGGCTTCTTGGGGGCGTTGATGTCGGGCCGGGGTTTGCGGCGATATCGTCGCTTCTTCCTTTCTTCAGTGCGCGGGGGACTGGTGGAGTGGATGCGGGCAGCGTCCTCGGGCGGCGGGGTGGTGTGTGGGCTTCGGTCGGTGCTGTCTGAGGCCAGGGACTGGCCGCACGAAGCCTTGCGCGAGGCGGCAATCTCGCGCTCCAAGACGCGGCGATGGCCCAGCTTGAAGCCTAGGAAAGCCATGTCCTGCTCGGAGATATCGCACACTACATCCCACTGCTCGGGCGGGTTAGCAGTGGCGGGAGGCTCGCGGGGGGCAACGCACGCTGTCAAAGCCATGCTGGACGAGAACGGGCAGGTAGTCGTGGAGGCGGATGCGATGGAGGACGCCGCGCAGCTCAGCAGACATGGCGAAACGGACGGGCAGGAGGCGAGGCAGGGTGGACGCGGTAGCAGGCGCTTAGCCGAGCGGAGTCGAGAGCGGGAGGGCGCGCAGTGTCATAGCGGGGACTCGGCTCGTCAGGCGTCGGCGCAGAGGTGGAGTCGGAGTTGAAGAGTGAAGGCTCCTGAGCCCGGGCGGGGCGTGCACACGCGATTATCTGCTCGAGGGCTGAGATGCAGGGCGCAGGCCTGGATGGCGGCCGGTGGGCTGCAGGGCGCGCTGATTCGCGCGGCTCAGGCATGCGGGCGGCGAGCGAGCGCCACTGGGGCGTCGCCCAGGTGGCCGGAAGGCGCGCACGCATGGCCCGTCGATCCACATAGATCAGCGGTGCTGGTGCGTCCTTTTGCTGTGCGCGCGTTGCGGGCGGTGGGCTAGGTAAGACGGGCGGCTGGGGGATGCCGGCTCAGCTCACTGCGCGCCCGCCCTGTCGCCCCGCTTTGACGTCGCCGCTGTTCTACCCACGTCGTACTACTCACAGCACTCCAGCCTGCGCCCTGCCATGTGCCCCTGCTGTCGCGTGCTGAGTGAGCGTTGCAGCTGCAGGGCCGTCCCTTCGCGGCGTGGGCACATGGGCGTACGTCCTGGTCGTCGTCGACGCGGTGGCAGCTACGCCGGCGCGGGCACACACGGGGTGACGGGGTGACGGGCAAACGGGCAAACGGGCAGTGGCGCCCAACGACGTCGCTAGCCACTGCTGCACCTGCACCGCCCAGCAATTATTAATAATCCGCGGCCCGCCCACGCCGTCGGTCGCCCAGGTCGCCCAGGTCGCCCAGGTCGCCCAGGTCGCCTAGGCTAAGCGTTCTAGACGCCGTCCTTGGCTGGTGTTGGGGATGCTGATCGACGCCTGGGATGCTTTCTTCTGTGCGCCTTCCCTCTCCAATGCTCCTGCGCGCGCTGCCACTGCTCCTGGCCCTCACGCCCTCACGCCCTCACGCCCTCGCCTTCCCGCCATGGCGCTAGACAGCCCCGGCCGTCTGAGGCTTCGACATGTCTCACCGGCTATGTCACCGCCGACGGCTCCTGCTCGCATTCTTTGTCCGCCAGACCTCGCCATTCCTCCCGTGCCGCTGCCAGCTCCGGCCGCCAGGGACCTTTCACGCACTCCTGTGCATGACTTGACGCGCCCCCATGCTCTGCGGAGATGAGCACCCCCAACCACGACGGCCAGCTCGCCCTGTTGACCGCGTTTCTGGATCATGATAACCGCCCCACATTCATCCTCGACGCCCACAACGACAAGCGCTCCGACGTCTCTTACCAAAACAAGGCCCTACGCGAGTTCCTTGCCCGTCTCTCCTCTGCCGACACCACCCAGAACATTGGCGAGCACTTCCAAGACTGGGCCTCGAGTTTCGATGCGAGCGCCGAGCCTGCTGACCGAGCCGGTGTGGCCTCCAACATCAGCTTCGGCAACCGGAGTTGGACCAGCATTCTGCTGCACCACCGATGGAGGGTTGTCTCCGCCGTTGCCATCGATGCCGCCGGCCGCACTGTCAAGCGGGACCGCTCGCGCGATACTGTCGACCATCTGGGCCGTGAATCTGGCCAGTCTTTCCCAGGAACCTCAGCCGACGAGCTGAAGGAGAAAGCTGGCCTAAGCGATTCCTCCTCTGTCGCGTCTGAGGAAGATCGCGCCGAGTCCGAAAGGCGGAGTTCTTCGCCCGAGTCTTGCAATTCCTCGCTATCACTGCGTCGCCTGGATTGGATCAAAGACCCGCCGAGTAATCTTCCGCCCTATCATCGCTTTCTGCTCGAGCATGACTGGGCTTCGACGCCTCTCGGTGCCATGGTCGACTGGCCTGATCTCCTCAGACAGACGGCGGTAACCATCCTGTCCAGTCCCGATCCCCGCTTGCTGCTCTGGGGTCGTGACATGTGCCTTATTTACAACGAGGCTTGCCTTGCCCTAATTGGCCACAAGCATCCAAAGGCTTTGGGACGCGGCCCCGCCCATGTCTTTTCCGAACTTTGGCACCCACTCAAGAGCATTGTTAAGCTTGCAATGCACCAGGGAAAAGCCACCCGTGTGCAGGATTTACAGCTGAGCATCAACAGGAACAGGAACTGTGGCCTGGAGGAAACATACTGTCAGTCTCCCCCTTTTTTTTTTTTTTTTGCACCCCACAAGAAGTCACTTCTTTTCGACTTTGCGCGCTGTATGCAAGCCCCTATGTATTCACTATGTGATCGCTCAAGTGTCATTAATTGGACAGTCCCCCCCTTTTTTTTCCCCTCGGGAATTAAGGACCACGATCCCCTGCTCTTGGGCCTTTCGTTGATCGAAATCGGTTTGTATTCTTGATCAGTGAACGGGTGCCACTATGCGTTGACATTGCCTTCTACAGACCCCTTTGGCAATTTTCTCCTCGAAGTCACAAACGTTTCATTGAGGCAAACAAGCTTAAGATGTATATCATTAACCACACGGGCAGGGACTTTCACTATGTTACCAATAATTGATTCGGACGGGACAGCAATCGGCGCTTTAGATGAGTTCGTCGAAACCACGAACCAAGTGATCGGGGACAGACGTATGAACACTCTCATAACTCTGGGGGAGAAGGCCAGCTCCGCGAAAGACATCGAGGAACTCTGGAGCTTGATACTCACGAGCCTTGAGCCCAACTCGCATGACGTACCCTATGCGCTCCTCTATTCAGTCAGGGAAGACGGCGCAACAAGAGAAGGCCATGAGCCCGAAGACAGCCCAACAAAAGAGGGTCATGAGTCCGAAGACTCGGACAATACGAAGGGCAAAGGCTGCTTCCTTGAAGGCACAATTGGCATCTCTAAAGAACACCCCGCTGCTCTTCCGTACTTCCGCCTTACCGAAGGCGAGGAGAGCTTCTCCATCCCATTTAGGCGGGCGTGGACATCATCGCAACCATCTCTTCTTCGCGCTGATGATGGAACCCTCACAGGGCCTTTGGCTGATCTACACGTCGAGAATCGCGGCTTCAACCAACCAAGTACAACGACTATAGTTTTACCGATCCCCCCGCTCAGCGGCACTAGCATCCGCGGGTTTCTTGTCATGGGACTGAATCCGCGCCGGCCCTACGACGAAGATTATCAGATCTTCATTCGCCTTCTCAACGACCGTCTCGTCAAGGCAGTCGCCTCGATTTTCCTGCCGGCAGAGCAACGAAGGAGTCGCCAGATCATAGAAGAGAACAATTCTCGTCATGACAAATTTTCCAGGGAGCTTGAGCGCCGGAGACAGGAAGCTGAAACCGCAGAGGCAACTTTTACAGCGTTGGCCGAGTGTGCCCCTGTTGGTTGTGTTGTCTTCCAGCTCAACGGTCGTAAGTCTCACAAGTGGCGTGGCACGGATTTTGTGAAAACTCATACGAACAGAGCCCCGATGGATGAACGAGGCTTATCTCGACCTGAGCGGCCTCAAACGCGAAGATTTCGGGGGAGACCCCCATCGTTGGTCAAGTACCGTGATTCCCGAAGACCGCAAGTATGTAGAAGAACAGTGGGAAAACCTTGTGCAGGGTCACGACGTCCGACCGTTTGAGTTTCGCGTCAAAAGACCATGGCATCTTCCAGGCTCGACCGATGACAGTGATCGGATGGAGTCTTCCTGGGTCCTTGCAAACGCGTTTTTGAAATACGACGAAGCAGGCAACCCTCAGCGCATATTGGCGTGGCTCACCGACATTTCTCACCAGAAATGGAGTCAGCAACTGCAAGCCCAGAGACTGGAGGATGTCTTGGAAACTAAACGACAGAGCGAGAACTTCATCGACATGACATCTCATGAGATGCGTAATCCACTTTCAGCAATACTCCAGTCTGCAGACGGGATTCTTGGCGCCCTGGGGTTTGACAAAGCCGATAAGCCTCTACAACAGCTCCGCAGACCCCTAATTCTAGATCCCGACAGCCAGGAAGTCATTATCGATAACGCTCAAACCATCGTGCTGTGTGCCCAGCACCAGAAGCGAATTGTAGATGATATCCTGACTCTGTCAAAACTCGATTCGAAACTCCTCGTCATATCTCCCGACCTGGTTCAGCCGGTAACACTTGTTGAAAGGGCAATCAAAATGTACGAAGCAGAACTCGCCATTGCCGGAATCAAACTCAACCTGTCAATACACCAATCGTACGATGACTTGGCCATCGATATGGTCTTTCTCGATCCCTCTCGTTTCTTACAAGTGCTCATCAACCTCACAAACGCCATCAAGTTCACTCGAGACCGAGATAAAAAGGCCATTACAATCTTTCTGTCAGCTTCACTCAAGCAACCTTCTTCTGGCCATGAAAACCTCGCCTACATACCTCGCCGCTCATCGAGGTCTGAGCACAACCATTCGGACGAAGGAGGCGAGGGCGAGGCAATTTTCCTGCAGCTGGCTGTCGAAGACACGGGAAAGGGTCTGAGTGAAGATGAGATGAAACTTCTTTTCCACAGGTTTTCACAAGCATCTCCAAAAACATATGGAGAGTACGGTGGCTCTGGTTTGGGTCTTTTCATCTCCCGAGAGCTTACAGAACTCCAAGATGGACGCATTGGCGTCGCTTCCCAGGCCGGAAAAGGCAGCACCTTCGCATTCTACATCAAGGCGAGGAGAGTCCCGCCAGGCTCCACCATAGACAGCGCGCCTCTCTCACCGATCGATACGCTGCGCACTCCGCCTCTCCGCCGGCCGAGCTCAAGCAAGCGAAGTCAGTCAGATGCTGAGCGGATGCCACTCACAAGCCCCTCAGATCCCAGCTGGAACTACAGCGAGGTGGGGATGAAGAACGTCGCACCCGCACAGCCAATAGAAGCCAATTCGAAGGCTCGCTATCCTCACTTGATGGTGCTCATCGTCGAGGTAATTAGCTTCTATTTTTCCCATCAACATATCCATCGTCTCTTCTGCTCAAGAACAAGTGGGGCGCGTTTCCAACCTGACATGACTTCTCTTCATCAGGATAATCTCATCAACCAAAAGGTCCTCGCCAAGCAACTCCGCCACGCAGGCTGCACAGTCCACATCGCAAACCACGGCCTCGAAGCACTCGACGTCCTCGCCCGCAGCACCTTCTCGACGTCGCCTCTCCCCACCACTGCGGAGGCGTTGATCGACATTTCTCTCTGTCTCATGGTTCGTCTACCCCCCCCTTGAATCTCCCTCTTTCGCCCTCCTCCCTCTTCCTGTTCCTTCGCCCTTTCCCTCAACCGAAAGAAGAACAAAAAAAATTAAAAGAGAGATATATATATATATATATATATATACAGGACCTCGAAATGCCCGTCATGGACGGCCTCTCCTGCGTCAAACGCATCCGCCAACTCGAGAGCGAGGGGTCACTGGGCAGGCACGTGCCCATCATCGCCGTCACGGCCAACGCCCGCGGCGAGCAGATCACCGCCGCCCTCGACGCCGGCATGGACCTCGTCATCACGAAGCCGTTCCGCATCCCCGAGCTGCTGCCGCAGATGGACGCGCTGATGGCGCGGATGGCGGAGGGCGGCGGCCGGAAGAGCAGGAGTAGCAGTGTCGTCGTTGCTGATCGTGGTGGTGGTGGTGGTGGTGGGGGCAAGGATGATGATGGCACTGCTGCGAAGGGCAAGGAGGCAGATCGGCGGGAGCAGGGGATGGGCGGGACTTCTACCAGCAAGGTGGTGATGGTGGAGGAGGAGGAGGGGGAGCAGGAGGGGAAGAAATGATGCTTGGCGGTGTTTGGTCGGTCAAGTGGTGGGATGGGACAGTTCCCCCTCCCCTCTTGTATTTATAGCACGCGTTCTTTTTCCTGTTTCCTTGTTCGCATGCTCAGCGCGAGTGTTGTTCCCATCCGATCGGTTGTCGTAGCGACGCTTCTATGTTTTTTTTATCGTCGTCCGTCTTCTCCTATCCCTTTTCGCCAAAGAAATGTGGCAAGCGCACACGGAAGCATAGATTATGGAGCACTGCAGAGAGGGAGAGAGAGAGAGCGAGAGAGGAGGAACAGGCGCACCGAAGCAACGAAGGCAACAAAAAGGCTATGCTCTTTCTCAGCGTTTGTTTCCTTTCCTTACCTTTCCTCATTGTAGCAAGCGTTCAGCTACAATGAGCAACACAGGCCAGCATAGCCAGACCAGTACTCTGCGTGTGCGCGTTCTTACGGCCGAGTTTCGATTATCTATCATCAAGGTATGAAATAGAACAGTAGACCGGCATGACCTGTACGTGATGCATCAACAGTGAACACATATTTCTCATCGTTTATCCCACCAAATGTTATAGTAGTTAATCGAATAGACTCTGTTTTTGCTTTTTTTTCCTGCTGTTTTCTATCTATCGTTTACGACCCTTAATACAGACACGGCCAGTAATAGGCTTGATGCTACTACTACTATAGTGGTGTGGTATTATCGGAGAATGGGGCAAAGACAATAACAAAGAAAACAATTGACACGCCCTACCCAGGATATCGTATGAGAATGAAAGAACCTCTGTCAACGACCGCGAATAAACTCCAAGAAGTGCAAGCCAAAAGGAATATCAACTTGTTGCCTCGCCAACTCTGTTCGCTCGCTGGACTTTTTTTTATCATCCTCTTTCATCTGGCCTTGGCTACTCTGTCAGAACAAGGACAGCTCTGACTCGAACATGAAATGACAAGGAGAGAACCGCCACGTCCACGTTACTTCGAAGAGCCCTGGCGGCGTTGTATCATGCAACTGCGAATGAAAGTCAGTATGGGCCAGGTGTGTATGTGGGCACGCAGTGGGGCTTACGGCAAACTATCAAAAACCACTTCGTTCTTCTCATAGTGCGTGGCAAAGCCACCCTGGAGGCTTCTCCGCAAAGCGTTGAGCCTGAAGAGCTTCCACCACGCGTCGATCTTCATCTCACCAAACTTGCTGATCTTGACGAACATCCTACTTCCGTAGACGTGGTGATCGCTATCAAGTGCCGTGCTGTAGCGCGGACCGCGGGTGGGGTGTTCCACGCTGTTCAGGATGTCGCTGAAGTTGGAACGCATCCGGCTGCGATCCTTCCTCGCCACGCGACCTGCGTCTGACCTCAGCGTCGCAAGCGCCGAGAGCTTGTGCGTGAGCTGGTCTTCACGGCGATAGACAGTGTAGCGCTTGACCATGCGTGTGGAACCAGGGGTCGCGTCCGGATCGTCAGCTTCGTCAGAAGAAGACAGTTCCTCATCGGCTTCGACTTCGGTGTACGACTTCTCATATAACAGGGCGATGTTCTCACCCGCGGCGATCTGGACACCGACGTCGGCCGAGTCCAGCTGCTCGACAAAGGCTTCCATGGCTGGCTCGGTACTGTCTTCGAAGTCGTCCATTTGTGTAGCAAGGTAACCCCATTCTTCGAGAGCGGCCACGACTGCTGTCGCCTCGTCGCCAGCATCGATGGAATGGCCATCCGACTCAACAATCTCTAGGAAGAAGTCCATGATCTCTTGGTTCTCATCGAGTGTGGCGCCGCCATAGAAGGTTGCAGTACCGAGAGCATGGATTGCAGCGACCTTGGAGAGGAGAGACTCAGAATCGGTTATGATTGTCTTGGCTGGGCCGACTATGGCGTCGTAGATGTTGTCAGAAGGGCAAGTTATAACGGTCAACTCGATGGCTAGAGAGAAGGATTAGCGAGGTCAGAGGAGGGTACTACAAAGGCGGGTGCGTACCTTTCAAGGCCATGACAGTTTCCCGCTCGCTGGTCTCAGATTTGACGCTCTTAACAATGGAGCGCATGAGTTCACCGAGTCTAGGCTCGACATCCTCGGCCGCATAGTGTGCCTTTAGCAAATAAGAGTATGCGGCAAGAGCATCTGCGCGGCCTTCGTTGCTACTGCGCTTGCGGTCGATGATCTCGGCCATGCGGTCGGCCAGCCGGGCTTTCCAGACCTCAGGAGGCGCATCGATATCTTCGGAGGTGAGGATGTCGTCGATGGAGTTGGTGCTGTTGTTCACAATGTCAGGTCGGCTCTCGCAAAGGCCAGAATGCGTGGCGATAGGGCAGCAGGAGCGAGGGGACACGGAAGTTGCGACAGGGAAAGCTTACCTCCAGTTAGTTTCGTCGCTCAAATTTCCCTCGTCGTCGGATGCACTCCTACTGACAGTGCGGCTGGCATTCCTGGACTCTGCGCGCGAGTTGGCGGTGGAACCGGCCTTGGAGCTAGCGCCCGAGGCGACGCGCGAGCGGGCTTTGCGCGAGACGGTCTTGGTGCTGCCGAGGACCTGGCGGCGGAGATCTTTGTCCGGCATGGTTGGTGTGTCGCGTACGGTATGCGGGTTTGGGAGTGGGGTGCGCGAGGCGCAGGCACGGTGACCGAGGGAAGCGGTGGTGTTCGAAGTGGCGTTGTGTGGGCGAAACGCTGGTGGTGAGAGTGCTATTTATTGGAATGACGTCGGGGGCAGATTAAAAGTCGACTGCCTGTGGGGGTGGAACTCGTAGGGCTGGTAGGATGCGCGGTGGGCCATATGGAAGAGTGGATCTGGTCAAGGCGGGCTTGGGCGTCTGGGAGAGGACGAGTTGTGGGAAAGGCGAAGGTGGGAGTGGAAGGCAAATATTCGCTGGGCCGCAGGTGATCGCGCGCAGGCAGGTGCTCTCGACTCCTGCGCTTATTCGTGCGACTAGCGATTGGGTACACGCCTGCCTACCCTATGACTCCGCAGCCTCCTCTCCGACATTAACCGGCCGCTGGTGGCTGCACCGGGCGAGCGCTCTCTGCCTCGGGCGACTCGCAGCCTCCTCCCCGCCGCGTCTCGCCCGCTCCGTGGTGTTCAGCGCCGATGAGGTCATAATCACGTGAAGCTGGCGAGCTTGGATCGCGTCGAGCCCGATGTCACTGCCACACTGCACCGCGCGCTTACTCTCGGACCGCTCTCCCGGCCATCACTGCTGCTCCCATGGAACTCGCAACTGCGCCGCACTCTGGTCTTCGACTCGCACGGCGCCTGGTGCCCCCTCGGCTTCACTCACGGCTGGGAACGTCAACGGATCTGTCAGTCAAAGTACAATTTTCGTACATGCAGCCAACTAGACTCAGTCCCCCACGGCCGTTACTTCGTATCTGATTCGCATCTTCTCGGTCAAATGGTGTGCCTGTCTCCACGTTCCCGGCTCACGGTTTGTTCGAGGAGCACGGCTGCATCTCGCCGCGCTGCTGCATCTTCCAAGCTTCCATACTTGACTGCCGGCATGCTCTCCATGGCCTGCTTTCCATAAAGCGGGAATGGGTCTTCTCCTGGGCCGATCGTAATGTATCTGCGGAACGGTGTCTCAACCGAAACCCGCGGTCGTTTGAGCATCTTGAGGCTCCAGGCTCCGGCGTCGTCGCCGTGGACTGCTTCTTCCGAGCTGAAGGCGAGTCCGCTGTCCCTTTTTCGGGTTCGCTCTTGGCTCCACCACATCTCCTGGTAGGCCATCATCTGCCCTTCAGCGCTGACCACATTCTCAGCGTAGTGCGTGTCCGACTGTGGATCTGTCAGCGTCCGTCTCTGTTCAATGTGCGGGGTGGCATGCCTCGTAATGTGCGGCCTCCAGCGCTCGCAGGTTCTCCTGTGACAGCCTCATCGCCTCCCGGTTTGCGTTGATTGCCCTTGGCCTTGCCGAGCAGCCCGATACCATGGCCAGGAGCTTATGTAAGATCTTTCGGTCTGATATGCAAGGTAAGAAGTCTTATTCTCTTCCCAAGGACTCCAGCACTCACTGAGATGGTTTTGGGTACGGTTGGAGATGATGCAGGTCGTTGTTGCACGATGATTACTATGAGGGCTGACAGTCAGGAAAGCAAGCGCAGGACGCAAGCGCCTTTGCGCCTTTATAGCACCTACCCTGGAGAAGGTAAAAGGCCAACGATCACTTGTGTCCAGTGTCCGTGCTTCGAGGGTTACAAGGGAAGTTCGTCCACCCTTGGCTCAGGCGCGTCAGGCTGATCCTATTTGTGAAGGAGAGAATGTGGACAATCTCCGTTGGGGATGGTTTACGCTGTCCTGCATGCAGCAAGCACCGTGGGGGTGGAAAAGACCCGGCCAAGCACGACGAATCAAACAGGGGAACTGTGCTTGTTTCTGTGCAGACGGGAAATTTTTGGCAGCATGGCATGTTTGATAAGAGGAGGGGTCCGAGAGAGGGCGGGCTTGGTAGGTATAGCGTCCAGGTGGGATTTCCCATGCACCACCAAAAGGACAGCCTAAAATATCTCCAACGAGCCTCATAGCCCGAGCACGGGTTCCATGGCAATAGCACGGACCGGGAGGATCGGCGTCGGCGCTTGAGAAACACCGGTTCAGGGCAGCCGGGCGTCGTCAACAGCCACTCGGCTCTGCCGCAGTGCTAATTGCTGACTTCCACGTGGAAGCCGCCGGGGTGGATTGGAACGGGACGGGTTCCCGCATCCAGAGAGACGCGCCCCGGACACGCCGTTCCGCCGCACCTCGACCCTGTCGGCATCACCGCGACCGCGCTCCCCAAGCGCACCATTCGGCATGCGGTTGTCTTTTTCTTGTGTGACAGCCCGGCTGCAGCTGCATCTATCCCCGACGTCTCGGCGTGCGCGTCCAGCTGGGCCCAGGATGCGCGCGCATCTGGCACCGCTGCAGCGGGACAAGGCTGAAGGAGTGAGGAAAGAGATCACGACTGGTGTGCATGATCGGCCAGATTTACTGCGCAATCGAGGCGGTACCTTAATTCTGGCATCGAATGACCTTTTCCTGGAAGCGCTGCGGCGGCTGACCTCAGACGCTTGAAACTCGTACAGGCATTTTTGGAAGCCAACGCAGCTGTCTCGCGCATCTGCAGTGGTCGGACAGAGGCATCAGCAGCCAGGACATGAAGGTGGTAGAGACCCTGCCGGGCGCCAGGGCCTGCCGTTCGCCAAGGAGGTGCACAAAGCTGGGTACCTCCATCTCGTCACCGATCGGACAATGTATTTTTGGAGCAGGCAGTGGGTACCTCTCGCTTGGGCTTGGGGGCCAAACGCAGCGGCCACCCACCTGCCGCTTGCAGCCTCCTGCAGGCCCCTCGCGCAACACAGCAACGGACCCGCCGGTGCCCAGCACCCCCGCAGGCCTCTCGATATGACGACGCAACGCGAGATTTGTGGATGCCATGGTCGGCGGGCTTGCGCGACGGTGCGCGCATGCCGAAGCACAGGCTCCTCCGCCTCCTCCGCCTCCTCCGCCAAACGTTTTCCCTGACATTTTCCCTGCCGCCGGCCTCGAGCAGACGGGCACCGGGCATCGCGGTCGCTCTGGGCTTGGGCCTCGTGGACCCGCAGCATGGGCCCACGTTCTGCAGGTTGCGGCGACGCAGCGCCTGACGCGGGACGAGGCACCAGCCAGCCGTGCTGCATGCTTGTCACAACGCCTGCTCGTTTCGTCCGGCCCATGGCTGGCGCGACAGGCTTCGGTGCTTCGGTGCTTCGGTGCTGGCGACTGGCACAATCCCGCCCGGGCGGGCACTGGGACAGCGATTGACGTCGTTCTCCTGCCTGCCTTATCCGCCGCACTGGCGCCCGGCGCTAGTGTGTACCCTGGGTACCCTGGAGCCGGGTCTGGGGAAGCCCGAGGAAACCACCGCTGCCAGGCAAGCGACGCATCTGGACAAGCTGCCCGTCCTCGTATCGCTCCAATCATCTGCATCGATCCGCACCTCTCGCCTGTCGCTCCTGTTCCCGCCGGCAATCAATTCGATGAGGATGAAAGATGAAGCGAGCATCCAGTCACAGCCCACGCCGCCTGATCCAACGCCGGCCCATCCAGACCTCGCATTGTCCACTCTCCTGCTTTTTTATTACCGTCCCGCTCGAGCGGGGTATCCACTTTCAATCGGGTTTGATATGCCATGGAGCCACCAGACCCTGGTGTCTCGCACCACTTTGTTTGCTTTTTTCCTCCCCTCGCCCCTCATAACCACCCCTGTCCGTTATGGAACACTTCCTCCCATTTTGCCGACGCATGCGGCCCTCGTCACCCCGAATGCACCCCTTTTTCCACCTGATCACCCATGACCTCGCTGTGAGCCATGCTTCTCTGCAAGGTACCCAAGGACGCGGATGCGAGCTGAGGTTGCTGCATTATGCGGACAACTCCGTGCTTTTTTCCCCGCTTCTCTTTTCGGTGAACACATGTTGGGCACCTATACAGTGGCATGATATGTTAAGGCACCAAGCCCTAAATGCGCATCATGAAGCTGTTGCTGTGGACCATCCAGTATTGGCACAGCTCCCCTCTCAACTCACAAGCGATTCCCATGCGCCCGACACCTACGTCGACATCTACTTTACATTTTGACCTGAGTCCCACTCATGTTCTACCATTTGCCGCTGCCCAGCAATCCATAGAAAGGTGCGGATGCAAAATCTGGCTAGGAAGCCTCATTGAAGATCTCAGATGACCAATGATCAGCCACCTTATCGCGCGCGCGAAGGAAAAAAAAAACACCACCCACAAGGCTCATACAGAACTAGCAACGCACCAAATCACGATCGCTCACCTCGTAGATCTCCTCTAGACTTGCGTCTCCGACTCACGGCGCGGTAGCCGCAAAAAAAGATCAACGTGATCCGCAACAGAGCACACTGAGTGTCGACCACACAAAGTCACACCGCTTTTTTTTTTCTTCAATCTCCCTCACGAATGAGAACGGAGGGGGTGGGGACGGAGGCGGCGTTTAAGAGAATGAGACAATCTGCTCATCAAGAACAGGAAACACACGCGCAGCTCATGCGGAGCAACATTCGAAACCCTCATCTTCTCCCGCCTCCGCAATAATCGAGAGAAAAGAAAAAAAACCGAGACAAACGCAAACTTTTCCCGCGGTGACCCAATGCCGTGGCCGCGGGTTCTTCCCACAGATCCAGTGCCACGGCTGCGGAGAGCAGGCAACACGGCAGAGATGATAAGGGACAAGATCGGGATCCTTGGGGAGGGGGCTGTGGTGCATACGGACGTAACTCGACTTCGCCGCACAACCCGTGGGTGGCTGTCTGCCGTCTCTTTACCCTTCCCCCCATCCCTCCCCCAAACACGCTCTTCGCACACACGCACACATACATACATACATACATACATACAAGCCGTCGGTTGTCAATCTATGAAATGGCTTTTCTCGGTCCTTGTCGGTGTGCCACTTTCCCCCCTATGTATGCGGTGCATATATATGATGAATAGAGAGAAAGATGAAAAAAAAAAAAAACTAAGCGCTCAACCATCAGGACAATTTGCTACTGCTTCTTCCCTTCCCCACGTACGCCCCGCCTCGAAACCCAGCAACACGTCGTCCTGTGGATAGTGATCGACGTTGAGCAAACAACGGCCGACCGACGGACCGGCCGGTTCCCTTGCCCTGCTTGCCTGCCTGCCTGCCTCCCCGCAGGTTCCCGTCCAGCTGCATGTATGTACATACATCTCGTGATTGCTTGCATGCTTTGTGACTTGTGACTGTGATGGTACTTGCGCCACCTGAGCCCATGGTTGTGGGTCGGGCGGGAAGAAGAGGAGAAAAAAAAAAGGAAAGAAAAAAAAGAAAGAACACGGTTTCCGGGGTCTGTAGAGGAATACGGCTGATGGTGCGGGGGACTGCACGGCTAGCTACGGAGTACTGCCCGCGCGGTAATGTTTTCTCCTGGATGAGCACAACCATCGCAGGAAGTGGGCTAGCGAGACGAGAATGCATCTCGGCACCCGGGGCCCTTCAAGCTGTAGACTATGTCACAACAACTTACAAATAAGTATAGGAATCAATTTGCACAAAGCAGTTTCTTTTTGTTATGTTATACTACATATATTCCATATGCTACCGTCATATCATGTACTTGGCATACCAAACAGAATGCGCAGAATGTGAGGACTCTCTTTCTACAGCCTCATTCTTATATGCAACCTATATACCATGCAATGCTATGTGTCTGGCCATCCAGCACAGTTGAAGAGCGAACGTGAGGGGTATCATTAAGAAACAAATGAAAATAAAAAACACCAACAATGCACAAAAGCGACAAAAAACGAGGCCATGCATGCGAAAATTCCAAGAACAAATGCTGTTGTCAGCGCCTTGCTGTTCCCAACTGCTCATGAACTTCGTGAAGAACCAGGTCGTGAATGAAACAAAGGAAACAACCCCCTCCCACCGAAAATGCTCGACCTCATGCGTGTGAAGTCAGCGTTACTGAGAACGGGAAGAGAAGAGTGGGATATGAAGAAGGGAAGAGGCTCTTCTTCACACTCAAAACCAAGCGACTGCCCACCCCTTACGCTTTAGCCCCTCAATCACCCGGACACAACCACCAACAAGCTCACCGGGCGCTTCCAAGCCACTCAATGCCTCGCAGACCCAGTGAAGGACAGTTTCGGTGCCATTGCACCAAGTCTGCAACAGCGGCTTGTCGATTGCATCGGCAAAACACGCCACCTCCTTGGAGAGGAAGGCCTGAGCAGCGCGCACGGCATCGTGAGCATCTCGATGCTGGTGAGTGGGGAGAATGGGAGGAACAAAGGTGAAAGGAATGCGTGGGGCAGAGGCTGCAGCAACAGCGGCCCAAAGGACCAGGGAGGCATAGAACAGGACAAACTCGGCGCCAAATGGAAGGGCCGAGCTTGCGTCGACGATGTTGGTTTCGGCGGCAAGGCGAAGAGCCGCAAGCGCTTCCTGCAAGGCGTCGCGTGCTTGCTGCGGGTAGTCGGCGACTGTGGAATCATCGAGGCTAGCGGTCCAGTGCTTGACCGTCTCCTTGGCTGCGGCGTACTCGTCGCTCCGGACCTTTTCGCTGAACACCCACGTCTCACCTGCAACGGCAAGGAGGGCACGAAGAGGGGTTGATGATGCGAGACGGATACCATGAATGTTAAGTCGTGTCGCCCTGCTGTAGGTGTCGGAGGATTCCAGACTGCCAGGTGCGCCATGATGGGTGGCGTGAGTCCAAACCGCGTGCGCGGCTTGGAATTCATCAAGGCATGTTCCGTCGGTCGGGAGGGTGGCAGCAGTTGCGCCTGCCTTTCTGAGAGATAGACTGCTGAGCTGCGGCAGCATCTTTCGCCAAGCCCACCGGGTGGCGTTCCAAGCAGACAGGGGTGCAGGAGTGGGAAGGCTGAGGCCCGGCACCGTGGAGTCGGCAACTTGGCGAACAAGCAGGGTTGCCGCTTGCGCTTCGAGGATGACGCATGCTGTCAGCAGGCGCGTCCTTTCTGAAGCGCCGATCCATGCCGTCCATTGGCGGGATAGGGTCAAGTCGTCTGAATGCGGTGGGAGCGGCACGAGGCTATCGACTGAGGCGGTCGGGTGAGAAGCGTGATCGGCGGCGAGCTGGAAAATCGATAAGCACAAGCCTTATTGGGAGACATGATTCGTTGGTGGGAAATCCGACATGGTTTTCTGGGTGCATTGATGGTGGGGGCCAAGATTACTCACCTTGCGGAACATGCCCTGGAAAGTAGCGGAAAGGCTGTTCGATGCGCGTTTGCCGCGGAACTGGGAAAGAAGCTCGACAAGGAACACGGCTTGCATGTCGGAGATGCGAGCATCGGTCGGCAGACCTACGTGTTCGCGCTGTGGCGGTCAGTGCTTGGTCCTGAGGTCACATTCGAGTGGAAGCGTACCTTGGCCAGGGCTTTCAGGCATTTCTCGTGCAACGCCCTGCTCTCCGCCCTTGCGCCAACGACACTGGAGTATTGAGCGCCAACCGCAATCATGGCAGCCAGACACAGCGGTTTTTCGGTGTTGAGGTCAAAAGTCGGGCGGTGCTTCATCGGGAAGTGCGGGTGGAAGGCCTGCCAGTAGTTGTCGAGGTGTTCAGTCATCTGTTGACGGTCAATAGACGGAATACCGAGCGGTTGTGGTGGGAACAACAGACGGTACTCTTCGCTGTCGAGGTCGTCAAAGGACCGGTAAGACGCGGTAGTGCTGGTGGAGAAGTATGACGGATGCATCTGGTGGTGGTCGGTGGCGTAGTTGTAGATGGAGGTATCGGAAGTGGCATAGGAAGGGACGCCAGAGCTGCCCGAGAACGAGGTATGCTGTTGGTCGGCACGGTCCACGTCAAGCCAGTAGAAAGGCTGGGTCGAGGCGGTAGACGCCGGCGAGCGAGGCGCCGTTGGCTGCGCCCAGGAGTCGACGAAGGAGGCATTGGAGAGCGTGCGAGGACGATAGGCGGGGTACGGGTGCGGGACGTATCCAAAATCGGCAGGATATTGGGTGATGTGGCCGGGAGAGGCGAAATCACTGCTAGGCACTGGGAACTCCGGAGGGGGGCTCCACCTGTAGCTGTCGAACATGGAGCCCGTGTGCATCACGTCCTCGACACCAATGGGTGCCCTCGCGTAGGGAGCATTGTGGTGGAAGTGCTTCATGGGCGGCGGCGCACTGGAAATCTGTCAGTACATGCGCTTGCAGAGCCGCGAATGAGTGGCAGATGGAGACGAGAAGGAAAGAAAAGGAAAAGGAAAGAGAAAGGGAAAAAGAAAAAGACGCGGTCAAGCCCAATCCCCCAAAACATACTTCAAGACCTGTCTACGAAAACTGTCTGACTGAATCGTATTGTGACGAAATCGAAATTGGGAATACCTTGAAGTTGAGGGTGGCACCGAAGCATCCGAAGCGACAGGGTAGATGGGCGCGTCGACGCGAGCGACCGACTGCGGTGCAGGCGGGTTGGCGGCGACGATGCCGGCAGAGGCGGCCGAGTTGTGGCTCGTGACAGAGCTCCTGCGGGTTTCGTCATCGTCGCCGGCTTGGGACGGGTCCTGGCTGTTGTTCGCATTCGCGTCAGCAAGGGCGGGCGGGCAGGCGGGCAGGCGGGCGGGCAGGCAGGCGGGCGGGCAGGCAGGGGCGGCATGAAACTTACTGTCGCTCGCGGTGGCGCTCGAGCAGGTCGGTCCTGTGGAATGTCTTTCCGCAGCCGGGCCAGTCGCAGTGCAAGGTGGAATCGCTGTGGTTCTGCTGGTGTCGCCTGGCAGGCAGTCAGCATCTAGGCAGCCGCAGGCAGCAACGCGGGTGGGGCACTAACCTCAAATGCTCGGCCCGAGTGTACGACTGCAAGGAAGAAAGATGTCAGTCCCAGAACTCAGGGTGCCAGAACGAGCAAGGCGCACTGCAGGCAGGAAGCGCGTTGCTGCCTCAGCAGCGCCGGCACCGCGCTGAGGGTGGGCCGGCCGGCGCATGACTCGGGGCAGGCGGCTGCGGTGCCGACGCTTCGTGCGCGCAACGCAGGGCAGGGATCGACGTACCTTTCCGCACGATTCACACAGGTGGACCTTGAGGCCCTTCTTTGCCTTGGAGACGCGACCAGTCTTGGTGTACTTGGTCTGCGCCTCGGACGGGCTGGCTGAACGCTGCATGGCGGCGGCGGTGGATGAGGATGCTCCAACGGTGGTGCGGGACGAGCCGTCGCGGTGGGGGCTGGGTGCCTTCGCGCTGGAACGACGGGGGGCGGAAATGCTGGACGACGACTTCACGGAACGGCGGCCCTCATCCGACGACTGAGAGGCGGCGCGGCGGCGGGCGGCGGGCTGGTGCTGCTGCGGGGCGGCGGCGGCGGCGGCGGCGGTAGCGGAGGACGAGGCTGGGTGGCCGGAGCTGGCAGTGGCGGCTGAGGCGTGGTGGTGAGGTTGGCTGGAGGTCGACGCCGACGACGACAATGGCTGAGGTCTGCTGTGGTCTGCCATGGGCCGCGGTGGTGGTCCAGAAGGATATATATGCGGGAGAGGGATATTACTCGCGGAGATCGCCAGGCCCACCTCAGGTGCTGGCTGGTGGATTGGCGGGGCCCTGTAAGGCAGATGAGATGGACGAAGCTTGTGCCAGGTCGCCAAAGCAGGGCTGCGGCAGGCTGTGAGCGGCCCAACTGCACGCCGGGAGATAATTAAAGGTTGCCCTAGGGAGCGCGGCCCAGATCTGGAGATCACAGGTGGTGGCGGGCACCGAGCGGGCACTGAGCGGGCACTGAGGCGGGCACTGAGGCGGGAAATTTTTAGCACCAGGTTCCGCTTGGGGAAGGTCGAGGGGGGGATCGGGACGAGGCCTGAGAATAGCAGCCAGAGGGACGTACGTCTCAAGCGAGCCTTAGTCTGAGGGCACAGAAGACGGAGCGGCGGACGGGTGGTGTGTGCTAACCTTGGTCCTGGAGCGGAGGGCTGGTGCGTCACATCATCATCCTGCTGCGGCAGGCATATAAGGATGGCGCTGTGCTTTCGGCGAGCATGTACGGGTCCAGAGCGGTGGGTCCCTAAAGACACTGTCCGGCTGTGCTCATGCCGGGAAGATTATTATAGAGCGATTGGCAGCAGCCCTGTTGGTCCCTGCCGAGGCGCGTGTGGGACCTCAGATAGACGCAGGTACTCCAATGGCGGTGCGCAAGGCCTGCGCTTGGGGCGTCGCAGGCACGCAGCAGCGTGAGGAACCGCTGCGCAATTGGTGCGCGCGGACCGTTCCCGTGCGACAGCGACGCCCAAATTGAGCGTGTTGGAAGGCGTCGAGGCTTGGACGTGAGTGGTGAGAAGACATGCCGCTATTTTCGGCACACACACACACACACGCTGCATGCGCGCTCCAAGCCCTCCGCTGCGCCCTCCCCTCCCCGCCGGTCGCAGCCTGCCCGGCCTGCTCGCCGGCCACAGGCCCACCGCAGCGCGCGACCAGGCTGCGACACCGCTGCCCCGTGGCGGTCACCAGCGGCCGGCCAGGGCAGCGCGCAGCCGGTGGCCGGTCGACTATGGACATGTTGACATGGGCGGCGGCGGACGTGCGCAGGATCAGCTAGCGGGCTTAGCGCGGCGACCGGGGTATGCACATGCTGTTTTAGGAAGGACTAAGGGCTGGAGACAGTTGCTACCGGTGCCCCGTGGCCCTGGATATCAAAAACGTGTGCGCCCTGCCGTTTTGGCACCGACCGCCTGCTGGTGCTGACCTTGACAGCGCCCGCCGCGCCGTAACAGGCCATGCGCGCGCTGCTCCAATACACCACGGGCAGCGAGCAGCGCACGCGGGCACGCTTACCGCAGCAGCCCCCCGGCCGTCAGCCTCGGGGCAACATCTGGCCTGTCCAGCTATTTTCGGCGCCAGGGCCCAGCGTGCCGTTACAGCAGGCGGCGGGCCGGCTCTTGCCAGCACCACCAAGCGACGGCGCCACGGGCATGGGCGTGAGCCTTCGACGACGACATTGACTTCCGTCTCCGCACCCATTGGCCGCCGCGCCGGTGCTAGCGGAAAGCTTGGAGAGGGCGCGTCCCGCCCGCCGCCTCCTGGGGCTCCCGTCTCATGAAACGCACGCGCATGGTGTTGAGAGGCCGCGCCTGCGCGCGTGCTCCGGCGCGCTGGTTGGCAGTTGGCTGGCAGTCGCCTGCGCCGGGAAAACCGGCGCCCGCTGCTGACTGACGCACTCGGGCTGGCAAGCTCCGTCTCCGGGGCACACAAGTACACGTGGAGGCGCCGAGAGATCTCGAGAACCACACAGACGGTGGACAGGTGCCGCTTGCCGGGCTCCCCGTCTGGCGGAACAGGCGAGCGAGTGGATTCGTGGGCCGCTGACTCGAGACGGGTAGTATCGCTACTTCCAATTTCGCACGCGATGGTGTTGATGGATGCTGCGCTGCTCCTGATCGCCGTGTCCGCGCGCCAGCCACCGCAGTGCGCGCGCCCACAGAGTTAGATCGCGCGAGCTCTCTGCAGCCGCCCTGCCAATTCTCAAAAACAACCCTGCACGGATATCGCCATCCCCTCACTGTCGTCCCCACCCCTCTCCAACACGTTCCCGACTGGTCAATCGCAATCTCGGCCACGACCGCTCGACCCGACCGCGCCCGCTCCCCCGGCCTGTTTGTTCCCAGTGCCTGCGAGAGCCCATTCCCATTCCCGGCGCGTTGGAAGCCCCCTGGCCGAGCAGCATGACGCGACCGGCAGCCTGGCCAATGTGCGCTGCTGCTCGGTTTGAGCCGCAATGTCGCATCGAGTCGCAACGACAAGGCTCGCGTCCCCGGGCAATAATAAAGCAAAGCAGCATCTTCGCAATCGCTTTCGCACTCCGGCGCTATCACGTTGACGCTGCTGTCGCAGCTCGCGCTGCCGTCCCCTACTCATCAACCGCAATCTAGCCGTTGCAGGGCAATACGTTGCGGATCGGTCGCTACCCACGGGCCACGCCGTTGGCCTGGGCGCGGGCATCGCCAACGGACTTTGCGCTGCCGTCATGGCTGCTCGGCGCCTTCGGGCTGAGGATGCGCAGCGGGCGCGGCGGACGACGGACGACGGACAACGGAGAGCGGACGGCGTGGGCCGGTGCGGGTGCGACTGCGACTGCGACTGCGACTGCGACTGCGACTGCGACTGCGACACAGAAGCGCGCGGAGAAGTCCTTGTGCGAGGGTCTTGGAGCTCGCAGAGCTCGCAGAGGTCACCAACAAGCGCGTCGCGGGAGGTGCAGGGGGGTGGATCCTTCAGCGATGGATTCGGGAAAGGCGTTGGAACCGCCGTGGGCGCATGATGGCTGCTGCAGCCAAAAATAGGCAGCAGCCGGCGGAGCCAGTCGGCGGAGCCAGATCCGCGTGAAAAAGCAAGGGCGGCGGCGGCGGCGGTCGCTCAAGGCGCGCGTTTGGCAGTGGATATGAAGAAGGGCAGCAGGGCGAGGTCGAGAGAAGCGCGTGCGCGGACCAGCTCGACAGCAGCCATTCCGGGCACTTGGCCAGTGGCGTCACGCGCGGCACGTGCCTGCTGCTCGTCAATTCCGCGTCCGCGTCCGCGTCCGCGTCCGCGTCCGTGGCCTCCCCAGACCCTACGTTCTCATTTCGAACATTGCCTGAGTCGCGCACCAGGACCCTCTTCCCGGAGTTAAGGTCCAGAATACCCCCCGGCATTTCGCGAGCGCACTCTCAGATCTCCGCTTGACTCCGTCCGCTGCATCATGCGCGTGCTCGCAATCGCTTCCTCTCCCTCCGTGCCGGTCGAGGCCCTGCGCTCGCGACTCATTTCGCCAGGCACCCCGTGGAGAACGCCACCCAAACTTTGTTGCAGAACCCGCTCCATGCGGCACTCCCGACCAGACCACTGCCCGTGTTTGGCACCCGCAGCGCTGTTCTCCGTGCCTTTCCTTTTTCGATCGTATGATTGACAGCTGCAGAAAACACCGAGCCCGAGATTGTTGTGCAAAGCCATGCCGGTTTCACGCAAAGCCATCGCCTCAGTTGCGGCCCAGTCGAGCTCCACCAGCCCCCTCCATTGAACCGCGACCTCTGCCAACCCGCGTGACAAGCCCTTTTTTCTTTTTTGTTTTGGCGACTGCCGTGGCTAACATTTGCCGGGGCCAGCTTGCACATGATCCCCACTTGCCATCCTACTTCTGCCCCTTCACAGCACACCGCATCGGCCCGGCTGTGTCGGGCCTCCCAGCCCACATGTTGTCGACGTTCGAGAACATCGAGCATCCCGAACTTTTGCCTGTGTTTTCTTTCTTTTCCTCGCCGCCGTTGACACCCGCCCGACAGCGCATTCAGATAGGACCGAGAGGCAGCCAGGCAGACTTCTGTAGTCCCACTTTTGCTCCTTTCGACGCATATTGGGAGTTCCAGGTTCACACGTCCTGGAACGTGCGACCATTTCCAGCTGCGGAACGCGCGTTGTACGGACCAATGCACGCTCAGACATGGCCGATCAGCGCTCGACTCTGCATCCAACTTCAACCCGCAAACAATAGTCAGGACTATACAAGGTCCCCCCCCCCCCCCTACATCGCTTTACAAATCTTGAATGCCCGTCGTCTCATCGAAATGCTCACCTCCGCCATTTCCGTGCCGCCAGACACAGTAAGAGACATGAGGGTGAGCCGAAGCGCAACGCAGCACAGGACGACGTGCTGTACAACCGCTCCGCCGCGACCCCTGCCACTCCACGCCCAACGTCAGATCTCTTTTCATCCTGTCGCCGAGAAGCGCACAGCGTGTGCACATGGCCCTCAGCCTCCCCGCCGCTTTCTTGCATCCTTCCCCTTGTCTTGATGTCAGCATATACTTAGCTTCTTGATCCTTCCTCGCCCTGCGCCTTTGGTACGACGGCCTATGCATCACCCTGATGATTACCGCAAAGCTTTCCAGAAAGCCGAATAGCGCCACTCGCCCGGCGTTCCGGCTTATGTCATCAGGAGCGCAACATGGATTCCAAAGCATCGCTGTAACACCGCTTTTCGTCCGTTTCCGCCACCGTGATATGCTGCAGTCCGTTCGCCGTACCTTTCTTCTCCGCCCCAAGCATTTACCGCCCTTGATCGTCCCTTATCGATCCTGCACACGCGAGATAGAGACGTTTGGTAGAAGGTATGAAGGGCAAAAAAAAAAAAACTCCCCGCAATAGTCTCCGACCGAAATTACCCCCTTGGACCGAAATTAAAGCTAGACCAGCTATCATCTAGCCAACGGCGCAAACGGTCTACACGCCCATCGTCATCGAAAAACCTTGACCGGTTGGGCGGCGGGGAGGGAGATAATGCGAGTATCATATTCCTGCAGGGGACAGAAGGGGCGCGGCCACGATCCTAGATCATTTAAGCCATTCCAATAGCTTCTTCCTTCTACTACTACTAGTGCCCATGTGCCAGTGTATGAGAGAAGACACATGTGCACACAAGCGCACACGAATGAGAACGCGACGCTGCGGAGACAACGCAACTGGCAGTGTGTCCAATAGCATCCTGCCTTGGCGTAGGGAGGGGGAGGGGGAGGGGTGTGTGATGGTTTTCTGTCTGCCGTAAGCAAAGCGCATGCATGGCCCAGCGCGCTCATTCGCCCCGGCAGCACCGACGGTCAAGTAGTGATGACGTGCGGCATCATGCTCCTGCTCGACAGGCACACCTCAGGCGCGCGGCAAATTACCGCATCTTTTCTGGCGCCGGCGACGGTCTGCCTTGCGGTTGATAATAACCTTTTTGCTGTTTCTAATTATAAACGGAGCTGTGGAAGCTTTGGCTTTTACCTACTACGTCTCTTGTCTTTGCTGCCAAGACAAATGATGGCGCGGTCCGTGTGGGTGTTCGGGGCGGGACCGCTAGTGGCGGCGGTGTCAGCCACGTTTCATAAGTGAATGAATGGGTGAGTGGTTGTTTGGGACCGAAGGATGATGGCTCTTTGCCGCTCAGCATCAGGCTTCGGGAAATTCGCTGTCGAGTATGCAGGAGGAATGAGGGCTTGCTTCGGCAATCGGACAAGACTGGCATTCTCCAAGTACATGACAGACACGATCTCCCTAGTTTGCGGTGTAAGCTTAGGAAGAAAGTAGGGGATCTAAGTGTCGATCACGGATGTGGTGGCGAACATGAAAGCGATCGTTGCATGTCTTATACTCCGATGCTGACATCTCACTCGGTGCGGATGTAGATCACTTATGGAAGCATCGCCGGCTATTAGTACGACGTGGAAGCACCGCCTCCACGCAAAGGAGTAGTGGCGCATGTCTAGTCCGATGCGGTCTTGCTCACCCACTGTACAATTATGCACTTGCCACCGGGAAACTAGCAACAAAAACACACCCCCACCAAGTAACATTGACCGTCGGTGTTGCCGAGCTGACAGGAGCTTAGTTATACCATTAACCTATCCATGCATACTCCACGGCGTGGTTGCCCAAACGGGAAGCCCCATATTGTGTACAGTTGTCGTACACCTGACAGCTACCCGATTACGACACTTCCCCCCCTTGTCCATTGGAAACTCATCTAAGGCGGATCAAAGTGGAAGGGATGGTTCGGGCAATGCACCCTTCAAGCGAATCACGCAGTAGACCAAAGGTAACAAGAATTTTCATCCATTACTATGTACAGTATCTTGACAGAACACAGTCTCACTTGGCCAAGAAACCCTGGAAAGCTTTCTGATCGATGACCACGTTGCCAACAGCCCGCATCTTCTTCTTGCCCTCTTTCTGCTTATCGAGCAGCTTCTTTCTTCTCGACACGTCACTGGCATGCAGCTTGGCCAACACATCCTTCCTGAACGGCTTGATCGTCTCTCTGGCCACGACGCGTTTGCCGACAGCGGCCTGGATGACGACCTCGAACATCTGACGATCGACGTGCTCCTTGAAGCGCTTGACCCAGTCTCTTCCGATACGCTCGGCCTGCGAGCTGTGGACGATGCGCGCCACGGCATCGACGGGCTCCTTGTTCACGAGCAGCTGGAGCTTCTGGATATTGGAGCGGCGAAAGCCGGCGTCTTCGTAATCCAGCGTGGCGTATCCCTTGGTCGTACCCTTGAGCTTACCGAAAAAGTCATCGACCAGTTGGGCCAACGGTATGTCGTACTTCAGGATTACTTGCGTAGCCGTGAAGAAGGTGAGCTCCTTCTGCTCGCCCCGATTGGCCTCGCAAAGTTCGACTACACGGCCGATGTACTCCTCCGGGAGCGTGATTGTAGTCCCGACGTAGGGTTCATGCACTTCGGCCACCTTGGTGTGGCGCTCCTGTTCGTCAGGGAAAGCGTTGGGGTTGGAGAGGATAATTTCAGTCCCATCTTTGTAGACGATCTTGGTGGGGACGGATGGAGGAGTGATGATGATGCTCGCACCGTGTTCCTGGCGAAGGCGGTCTTCGAAAACAGAGCAGTGGAGAGTTCCCAGGAAGCCGAGACGCCAGCCAGCGCCCAAAGCCTCGGAAGATTCCTTGGTGACAGTGACTGCGCGATCATTCAAGACAATCTGGTTGATGCTTTCTTCAAGATGCTCGTAGGCACCCTGGTCCACGGGGAAGGCAGCGACGAAGACCATGGACTTGGGCTCTTCGAAGCCTGGGTAAGGCTCGACCAGCTTCTCCGAGCCAAGCGTCGTGTACGTGTCGCCGACCTTGGCTTCTTGCGAACGCTTCATGCCGGGGTTGAAGTAGACATAACCAACCTGACCGGCACGCAGCTTCGTCATGGGCGTCTGGTCTGGATACATCATACCAACTTCGCCGACCGTGTACTTCAGGCCGGTGGCAAACGAACGGATGACATCGCCAGCTCTGACCTCTCCGTCGAAGATGCGCACAAGCAGAATGACGCCCTTGTAGTGATTGTACCAGGAGTCCACAAGAAGAAGACGAAGAGGCTTTGTGTTGTCACCAACCGGAGCTGGGATCTGTTCGATGACATTCGGAAGGATGGCTTCCACATTCAGCCCCGTCTTTGCGGAAACCTGCACGGCGGTGCTTGAATCCAGCTCGAACGACTCCTCTAACTGGTCTAGCGCGCGCTCGACATCAGCGGAGGGGAGATCGACCTTGTTGACAACAGGAAGCAGCGTCAAGCCCTGGGCAAAGGCAAGGTAGAAATTGGCGACAGTCTGGGCTTGCACGCCTTGACTGGCATCAACCAAAAGCAGAGCTGGCAGAGGATTAGCATGCGATAGACATGGCGGATTCCGGAGTGTAGCATGACATACCACCTCCACAGCTGGCATAACTGCGCGACACCTCGGCACGAAAGTCGACGTGGCCGGGGGTATCGACCAAATGCAGCAGGTAGTCCTCTCCCTTGTAGTTGTATAGCATGCTGCAGGTCTGGGCTTTCACGGTAATGCCGCGCTCGCGCTCGACGTCAAGCTTGTCCAGGATCTGTTTGTTGCCGCCGGGCTCGATGGTGCCGGTGAGCTCGAGCAGACGGTCGCTAAGGGTGCTCTTGCCATGGTCGACGTGGGCGACGATGCAGAAGTTGCGGAAGCGGTCAATTGGGATGTCGGCGACGCGTTTCTCGAGGTCGGACTGAGCTCTATATGCGATGGCGTAGCGGGCGGCGGTGGAGCCAAAGGTGCGCAGCCATGTTGCCGGCCGGGCAGGCAGGAACTGGGAAGGGCAGCGAGTGAACGAGCCCTGCAATGGCCGCCCCAGGCGTTCAGCGGCTCGGAAGCATGGTCGCATGAGTGTCAAATGAAGGGTGCATCGGCGAGGCTGCGGTGGTGGTGATGCGGGCGCGTCTCTCGGCTCGAAAATTGCGGCGACGGTCGGAGGTTGGCGCGGCGCCCCAGGCACCCAGGCACCCAGGCACACAGGCACCCAGGCACCCCGGCCAGCAATCCGCCAGCCCGACCGGAGCTCCTTGCAAACACAGCCAGCGCGCCCTGAGTCGGCTCGAAAAACTCTCGGCTTGCTACAGCCTGCTGCCGGCTCCACGACCAGATCAGCAAACTGGCATTGCCGGTGGTTGTTAAGTGTCAACGGGGCGGTTGCCGCGCCAACTAGCGTACACGGTCTTGGCGGCGGCGCTGGCCCGATCGTCTCCATCTCCAACGACGTCGTCTCAAAGCACAACGCATCACTCGGTCCCGTACCCTGCACCGTCGCCGCGCGCTAGCCAGGACCAGCAGATATCAGAATCCGCCCTGCGCAACAGACCCACTGCCACCTGAATCAACTGTTCCCGATCCCAACGGCCCGGCCAATCCGTCAAAGCTTTCGTTCCTGCTGCTCCAACGCCCCGCCGCCGAGCCCGTCAACCACGTGCAACCATGTCCGCCGAAGAGGAGAAGCCAAAGGCCAAGTCTTCCACCAAGTCGTCGTCAAAGTCCACCTCCAAGACCTCGACCGGCGAGAAGAAGAAGGTCAAGAAGAGTTCGTCGTCCAAGGACGATGCCGGGGCCAAGACGCACAAGCTGGCCCTGAAGGGCTCTTCCAAGGTCGTTTCCGAATTCTTTGAATACTCCATCCACACCATCCTCTTCCAGCGGGGCGTCTACCCGGCCGAAGACTTCACCGCCGTCAAGAAGTACGGCCTAACCATGATGGTGTCGTCCGACGACCAGGTGAAGGCCTACATCAAGAAGATCATGTCCCAGCTCAGCAAGTGGATGCTCGGCTCCAAGATCAACAAGCTCGTCGTCGTCATCACCAGCCGCGAGACGGGCGAGCACGTCGAGCGCTGGCAGTTCGATGTGCAAATCTTCAACAAAATCGCCAACAAGACCCGCTCGTCGCACACCACCGCCGCCGCCGCCGCCGACGACGAAACGCCCGCTTCCGCTGATGGCGAGAGTGAGAATGCCGCCGCCGCCGAGCCGCAACCGCCGTCCAAGGAAACCCCAGAGAAGACCGAGGCCGAGATCCAATCCGAGATCCAATCGCTGTTCCGCCAGATCACCGCCTCCGTCACCTTCCTGCCCATGCTGGACGGTAACTGCACCTTCAACGTCCTGGTGTATGCCGACGCGGATTCCGACGTCCCCGTCGAGTGGGGCGATTCCGATGCCAAGGAAATCGAAAACGGGGAGAAGGTCCAACTGAGAAGTTTCTCGACAAGCAACCACCGCGTCGATACCCTAGTCAGTTACAGGTAAGCTCTTTTTTCTTTTTTAACCTTCAAATGACGCATGTGAAGGAACTATGGACGATGCTAATACTTATGTGATAGGCTTGCTGAATAAGGAACGGCGTCAGCATGCATTTGATGCTGAAGTTTTCTGCTCTGTACGATATACGAACCTCCTCGCCGAAGCCCTTCAAACACGACTTCTGTTTGGAAGCTGGCCTGATTGAGCAACTGGATATGGAAATCGAAACGAAATATGGCGTTTGGTGGCTGGCAAAGACTGGGATGCGGTATGCAGCGTGATGTTGCTGCACGAAATTTAGCATTGACGAAGATTTTCTTCTCTTCGTGGTTATGACCCTTTTTTCCGTTAATATATCCATATAACTCCGATGCCCTTGTTGATGGATCGATGCTATTGAGTCTCGTATGGGAATCCGTTTCACCTCCTGTGGAATATCTGGAAAAACATTACACGGGATGTCGAAACATTGTTCAAACAACAGATTGCAAAATAATAATCCTTGTATGGCAGTCCTCGCCTCTTCTTAGTCGGCGCATTCATCCGCCACGTCCACCCCCGAAGGGCATATGTCGTTGAAGCATATTGCCAGGCGCAGATGTAAGTACCAGATCTATATCAATATGTCTCGATTTGGAAGTCCACTACCTGGATACGTGAAAGATCTATAATCATTCATATCTAGACGAACAGATACGTGTCAGTGGAAGTAAGGATGAACTTGCCGGTGGATCGCGCCGACTGAGATACACCCCATAGGCTAGGGTTAATACTGTCACTTCATTCGCGCTATCGTTAACTATTTCAATAGAGCTCGTGGGTTGAGGTGATCATATCGATAGCATCTCTCCGGTGGCTTGTCTCACTCGAATGGAGGTGGCTTGCATGTTAGGTATTCCCGTACTGTCAAGACCATTTTGAGTACTTCGGTGGCAGAGGACAACAAAGGAGTATTCACGAATTAAACGGGGAATATTCACGCTTGCCACCCAACAAGCCGCTAAGAAGTTGAAGAGGGACAAGGATAAAGAGAATAAAGAGAATAAAGAGAATAAGCACCGATGCAAATAAATCGAAAATTCAACAGAGATAACAGGCACACTCGAGACCTCCAGGGGAGAAAGCAATGCTAAGGTAAGAAAGTGTAATAGTTATTATAAAACCTGTGTACAACTCGGTTCTGTTCTTGTGTATAGTTTTTTTCAATGTCCGTCCCGATTGGCTGGATTCATTCTAGGCCAGCTTGAAAAGGAAAAAAGGAAAGTTTGCCCCTTCGGCCTTTTTTTTCCGATGATCTCTTCCCTTCGACGAATCATTCAACCTCCACCAATATTTACATTAAGCAGACGAAATCAGGGTCGTCCGGCCGAGGGGAGGGTATACCGCCTTGATAATGAACCATAACGCCATTATTGTTGTTGTTTCCATAATAAGGTCCTTCCATCATGTTCTCTTTTTCATCCTCGTTACGCCGAGAGTAGGAAGAGGAAGAAGTAGTAATGCCTAGCTTCCTGCGAAACACGGGCGGCAGCAGCCACGCCCACCTAATTCCCCCATTATCGTCTCTCAGCTCTAGGAGTCAGCCACGCCTCCGCCATTTGCCTCTCGAGCTCGGGGGTGCAGCACCGATGTCGATGCCCTTCAGCTCTTCGCTCAAGGCGTTCATATCCTCGCCGCCGCCCATGCCGTCGTACATGGGGACCTTGGCCGGAATTGGCGGTCCGTACGCGCCGGGGGAACTGCCGTAGCCGCCAAAGTTTTCACGCTCACGCAGAGGCTGCATGTTGCGCTTCTGAAGCCGGCGAGTACCGGTGGGAGGCGGTGAGTTTTCCATGCCACCGCCAAAGGAGCCTGCAACAGCGTCCCTGATGGAGCGATCCGAGTAGCGACTGCCAATCTCACGGGCACCGTTGAGGCGCTCGCGGTCGCGGGTCGGCTTCCTGTCGCGATCCTTGCCCTTCGGCTCTGGTTCAGGAGCCCACGAATCGATCGGGAGGTGATCTGACGGATCAATCTTGCGACCATCAGGAGTCACGATGTTGCCGTGCTCGTCACGACCGTTGATGTCCATGTCGCGGGACTGGGTAGGGTGCCGTGGACTCGCACGAGGGTTGTACGAATCGAAACTGTCAGGGCCAAAGGGCGTCCTGGAACTGTCGGACGTCGGTGGGCGAGGCGACACGGACTTGCGGCCAGCAGGCGTGCTGCGGTTCGACATGCGCGACTGGCGCATGTCATAATGTGATGACACAGGGCTCACGGCAAGAGGCTTCACGAGAGCAACGCTGTCCTGTGGAGTACCGTGGTAGGAATGGGGGTGGGATGTAGGCGATCCACGAGGTGAAGTGTGGTACTCCAGTTGGAACTGCTGCCTCGGGGGCGTCCCATAGGTGGTGGGAGGGTACGCCGGTTGGGATCCATACCCACTGGCTGAAGGAGGGTAGGCGCTGACGCTCATCCTGTGCTGGTGCATAGACATGCGCGGGTCTGCTGAAGCCGAACCTGGCATAAGCGCTGAGGGAATGGCAAAGGGATCATCCCGGCTGGGTGGGTGGGCGGAGGCCTCGATGGGATACGAAGGGAGAGCTGGAGAGCCAGGAGCGTAGGAATGAGTGTGCCGGCGCTCTCCAACGTTGAGCGGCGGCGGGGTCATGCCTGAGTACTCTGGGACCTGAGGCACGCTGGCTGGAGCACTGCTCCTGTGCATAGGCGGGGGCGGCGGAGCTGCGTCGTCCTCGTCCTCGACGGTGGGCTGCATGGCGCTCCGTGAGGTGCGATAAGCAGCTCCATATCCCGGGTAGCTCTGCTGATCTTGCTCGAGAAAAAGCTCGGTATTGCTCGAATCCGGGTGATAATCGTTCAAGGGCGGGATTTCAGGAGGATATTGGGTCCGCCTGTCGAGCAGTGCTTCAGGAGAAGCGTGGGTAGTGGGAACAGCAGGAGCGGAGTGGGAGTGGGGCACATCCATGCAGCTCAGTGGTCTAGCCCGCGAGTCGTGTCCAAGCGGGTGTGGACCCCGCGCCGGGACCATTGACAGATGGCGTGCATGGGTGGATGTCTGCTGCGGTGGAGCAATAGGCTGGACTGGATATTGCTGTTCGTACAGGTCGTCGGGCTGCATAGGCTGGTGGAAGACGTCGTAGTCGTCGGGCGAGAAGGGCAAGCCCGACTGCACGTGTGCACTGTCGGTGGATCGGCTGGGGCGCAAAGTCTGCTGCTGGTAGGGAGGGGTGTGGAATGCGCGGGTGGTTTTCGAAGGCGGTGGGATCTCAGCAGCGACTATGGGCGATTCGGACATGGGTGCCGGACCGGTGGGGAGTGGCCTGCGCTTGACTGGCACGTGCTCTCGTCTCTTCTCCGAGGGGGGACGCTCCATGGGTACGCGCACGTCGCGGGTGTCGTAATAGGTGAGCTCGAGTCTGACTTCACCGGCGTACTTGCCCTTGCAGAGCAGGCCGTGCCAGGTGTCGCTCTGGCCGCCGCCGGGCATGATGACCTCGTCGAGGCGGATGAAGGTCTCGCCAATCAGCTCCGTCTTCTTGTCGTCGTTGAAGACGGAGACCTTCATCTGGTAGTAGTCGGGCGAGTCACGCACGGTGAAGCGCAGTTCCTGGTCCCTTTGCTCAAGTTAGGCGGATTGGCAGGACTCGGGCGGGTGGTAGCTTACCATCTGGGCGTCTGGCCGCCGCGCCTGTCGGTCTCCGTCTTCTTCGCTTCCTTGCCGAGACGGGCAGCGCAGTAGGGGTCCTGCTTGCCCATGGTCTTGCGGTTGGGCAGGTTCTTGGCGCGGTCGACGACGGCAACGAGGGTGCCGATCTCCGGGCCGTCAACGGTCATGTCGGAGTAGATGCCGTTGGTGTGGGGGGTGCTGGTGAGACCCATCTGAGCAAGCATGGCGGCCATGGTGACGAGTTGATGGCTGCCGCTGCGAGGTTGCTCTGGGCGTGGTGGTGGATTTTATCAAGGGCGGCGGGCAGCACGGCGAGTCAGGCGTGTTTGAGGTCGCAGGCAGGAGAGAGCGAAAAGAGAGCGTGGGCGGGTCGGCTGGGCCAGTGCTGGCGGTGCTGGCACAATGGGGGTTGACCTGGGGCGGGGGGCTCGTCATAGACCGTCCTCCGGACTGTGTCTGGGTGGTTGCGGGGGGCACTCTCGAATGAGCGACACTGCTGGCAGAGTGGAGTTTTTGGCAATCCTCTGCAGGTGCAGCAGGTCAGTGGTTTTGATGTGGGCCTCGCGGGCGGCGGGTATTTGTGGCTGCGGTAAAGCAGGAGGCTGGTGATTGCCGCACCCCGGGCGCGCTGGCGGCTCCCTGGCGGCTCCCTGGCGGCGCTCTCCAAACCGCCCGGCGCGCGCCTGGCCTGAAACCCAACCGGCGCGCCGCTGGCGAAGGCCGCAGAGCCGGGCGGCCGCTAGGGCCCAAGGCACTATGGGTAGCTGTGTTGGCGAACGCGTTGCTGCGGAGCCCGCGCGAGGGACTGCAGGCGGCCTTTGAGCGCTGGCGCTGCGCGCGTCATGATCTCCCGGTGGCCGACGCTGATGCGCGGCTCACCCGGCGCTGCGCGTCATCCCCGCCAAAGCCTCTGCCGCCCTCACTCACGATTTGCCGGACCGTTGAGAGTCGGAGCTGCACCCGCGTGCGAATGGTACGATGCTCACCATTCCGCGCAGCAGCGGCCGCCCTGCTGCACTGCGCGGCACCGCGCTGCACCGGCTGCACCGCGCTGCATAACGTCACCGCGCTCGGACGCGTCGAGACGCGCTGGTGCTGACTCGACCGCGTCGGGCCGGCGTCGCCCTACTTTTTGGGCAACCGCCTGTGGCCGGCGTCAGGCTCCCAAACCGCATTTTCGCGACCTTGACGTAACGCCCGCCGCGCTCCACTGCCCTCCACCGCCTCGTGTCGCTGAGGTTTCCAGAAGGTCATGCGTCACCCAAGCGCCAACGCCGGGTGCCTTGAAAACAACACCCGCCGCATCTCGACCCTGATGCCTGCGTCACGCAGCAGTCCGCCTCCGCCGCGTGCCGCCGCCGTTGGCCTCAGCCAGACGCACCGCTGCCTCCCCGCTGCAGCCACACCTGCAGCCTCCAGCCTCCAGCCTCCGGATGCCGTGCGCCGCTTGCGGACACTTCGCATCGGACGGGATACTCGGCTGCCGATCGCCTGGTCTTCCCTCCCGCGAGCTACCAACGAACGCTGTGAGGAACGGGTGTGGAACGGGAGCTAATGCCGTTGGCCTCCGCTAGAGCTACTGATCTTCGGACATTCTTGCACCACCGCTCCGTGCCGTCCCTTATTCGTCGTCTCATGACATTTGTCCCTGATGCCGGACGCTTGCGTTAAGCATGATCTTAACCTTCCAGCCTCCTGATTTATTTCTCTGGCCCGGCTCCTTCCATCACAGCCACGTCCGCTCCCGTTGCAACCTGCTCGCCCGCTTTCTCCCACGTCAGGGTCTACTTGCCACATTGCCTTGTCCACGGCCAGCAAGGAATGCAATTCCCATGGCGTTCAACGGTCGATCACCGATCGTCCCTTCTTGATCTCTCGAGTCAGGGCTTGGCCCCGTTCAAGGCCTGCCAAGTTTAGCGTCAGACAATCGTTCTTTCACATCAATGCGGATCGCACATGTTCTAAAGACATCGCTTTTCCATCAAAGACAGTATCACTCGTAGGACAAAGACATGTCTGTGGGAGTAAACTATAATAGGCCTCAACGCCCCGTCCCCTCTCTTGCCCATTGGTCGAGAGCACACTACTCATTGCTTTGAAAGGTTCCGTGTCCCGCAGGCGGATTCCTCTCGTTCCTCCGCAACTTTTCATCTGTTTTCGCTTCGAACACCAAGGCAGGACCTTTGAAGCGATCATCACTAATAGATGATATAATATCTAAGATGGCTAAGTTCAGGGGGCAGAGGAACCGCAGGGGCGGCAACAACCGGGGCGGCAACAACAGGGGCGGGCAACAACAATGGTGCCCCCTATGGAGCTCGCCCTGGAAATCGAGGCCAACCAAACCACCAACCCGGCAATAGGTACAACTACAACAACAGCAACAGCAACGATAACAATAACATCAACAGAAACAACACTTACAACAAGAACAACAGGAAGGAGGGCTGCACATCTTGTGGCTCAACTCATCATTACCGGAATCAATGCCACGCTACGGAAGAAGAGAAGCAGTCTTACTCCTCTTACAAGTCCAGTGGCCAGTATGGCATGTGCTCTTACTGCCACAAAGGAGGTAGCCATCTACCTTCCAACTGCTTCCAGGATCCGAACTCCCAACCAGGGGTCAAAGGTGACCGTAGCAACAATACGATGGGCAAGAATGAGTCCTGCGACTTTTGTAAGAGAAACACAAACCACAAGCTTGCAGACTGCCCGGAGATGAGGAAATGGATAGAACGAACCGACGACTTGATCGAGACTGCATTTCAAAAACTCCCGTATTGCATCATTTGTGGTTCCGGGCATACCTCGTTAGCTTGCGATCCAACTCGAATTGAGCAGCTTAAGAGTAATATTCGGAATCAAGGTCAAGCGGTATTGCTGGAGTGGCTGCGTAGCCCTCCTGATTCAAATTTCACACCACGCGACGTGTCGTTCTGCGGATACTGTGCAACTTTCTGCGACCACAATACCATGACTTGCACCGCATCGGCTGCTGAGTACACGAAAAACAAACGGGCTTTTCTGGCGAAGCGGTTCGCCAAGGGGTTGGATGCTGACCTGTCCGAAGATGAGGCCGCCCCTTGGGGGAGCGTTTCCACTGCATTGGTCGATAGTAGGTCGAGACTCAAAGTCAATAGGCCCTTAGTGGAGAACAAATGCCGAAGCTGTCATGCGGTGCTCCCCAAGGCCATAAAGGTCGAAGGCCGATCTGAGCGTTACGTCGTCGTCACCTGCACCAACAGAGAATGCAATCAGCCGGTCCGCCTCAAAGCCCTTCCGGTCGATAACGAGGAAGACGACGAGGGTTCTTTCGCCGGCGACAGCCCTATAAAACGAGGCAGCTCAAAAAGGTTCCCCAAGGACGCCCTTGCCAGGGAAGAACATTTTCCATGTTTCGCCCGCTTATACCGTAACTGCCGACTCCAAAGGCCAACCCTTCTACGAAGGCGGTAGCATTCAAACCGACCGTGCACGCAGGCAGCCAAACGACTACAGCCAAGACGGCTGGTGGCATTTCAACGACATGGGCAACTTCCAGCCCTTCTTTCCGCCCGCGCCATGCCGCTTCACACTCAAGGACCGCGACGTCCGTGACGAGCCAAACATCCCCATTAATCATACACGCACCGGCCTTGTTCCGTGCTGCCTCGGATGCGGCCTGTTCGGTGTCGTCGTTGACGACGAGTATGACGTCGTCATGGCCCAGAGCGGCCCGGACATGGAAGGTAGCCTCGCTGGAGCTGGTGCTGGAAACATCGTGTTAAGGGCGTAGCGCCCGACGTACTGTGGAAGGAAAGCAGCCAAACAGCGATATGACGAGGAGGAAGCTGCAACAAAGGTAAGTTTAAGGAAGTCGGTGTCGTTGTATGTCTCTTCCTTCTCTTTGATAGCATTTGCATAACATATATGAATTCTTGGTCCTAGATACCAGAAATCGAATTTGCATTCCTGAAAGAATTCTTTGCTCATCGTAGCCTTTCCAAACGACTCATGAAATGTTATCGGTAATTGTGCCGATGATGCTTCCGAGTAACGAGCGAATGAAGCAAGAATGCATGCAAGCGCGGAGGGAAATGCTGTTGGGGAGCTTTACCTAGATCGAAGATACCCGGTTTGGGAGTTTTGGTGCTTATCTTTTCACCAGGCAGAATTTCTACATCAACTCAAGCTTACAGCATCCAGGGAGAGGAATGACTTTTGTCTATGTGCGGTTTGGTCACATCTGCTCTAAGCTCAGTCCCTGATACATCTTTCTTCCCGCCCTCTTTTGCTACAACGTCTACTAGACTCTGGTCATAAGATAGTCACTTCTTCTCGGCCTCCTTCTTTGCAGGCTTCACGGGGTTCGGGTTGAGGCCCCATTCCAGCTTCCTTGGCTTCATGTAGCTCTGCATAACCTCGTCCGTGACCTGCGCCCTGCGCTCCTGGAAGCCCTTGACGTAGGCCTGCATGAGCTTGATGCACTCCTTCTTCATCTCACCCGTCAGGAGTTCTCCCTTCTTGTAACCGTCATAAAGCGTCTTCAGCTTCTCGTCATCGTCCTCGAAATACGTGATGTATTGGTACGCAACGTCGATGTCCGGGTTGCCGCCCAGCTCGCGGTGAAGCTCAAGAGTTTCCTGGCCACCGGAGAAAGCATGGCTGTTGATCTTCTTCTGGATCTGCTTGGGGGTATCCGACATGAAAATAGCACTGTTGGGGTTACTGGCGCTCATCTTGCCGCCAGATCCCTGCAGGGCAGTCAAGAACTTGGAGTGGATCAGCGCAGGCTTCGGAACAGGGTTCCTCATGCGGTGCGAGTTTTCGCGGACGAGACGGAAGTAGGGGTCCTGGTCAATGCCGCAGGGGATCAGACAAGGAATCTGAGCGGTCTTCTTGTTGCGGAAGTCGGAGTTCGGGTCATCGCCCCAGATCTCGGGGTAGGAGGTAGCGAAGGCGGCAACGCACTGGAACATGGGGAAGAAGATGCGACCAGTGTTGGTGCTGCCGTCGAAGCCGAAAGCGCCGCGAACCTGGTTGAAGGTAACGAGCTTGGAGAACTCCCAGGCGTTGATCATCATGTGGCCGCCTGCATATCCGATGTGCTTCAAATCGCTGTAAATGAAGGTCTTCTTCTGGTCGAAGCCAAGAGCAATGATATCCTTGGCGTTGTCGCGGGCGCACTGCATCGTCTCCTCGAAGGTCAGGTTGTCCTTGAAGAGCGCCTTCTCGTCATCCGTCAACATGATAACGAGCGGGCAATCGAAGGCCTCCTGCAACCAGCGAGTGAACTCGAAGGGGATGGTGTGGCCAATGTGCATGCTATCCGACGAGGGGCCGCGGCCAGTGTAGAGGAAGAAGGGCCGGCCCTGCTCGTAGTAGTTGAGGATAAGGTCGAAGTCGCGGTGGGAGAAGAAGAGGCCGCGCCTCAGCCAGCGGTGAGGCTTCTTGCCGGTGACGCGCTCGAAGCGCTCGAGCAGGGCCTCGTCGATCAGCTTGGTGTTCCACTTGCTGGACTCATGTCAGCGGGCGGGAAAGCGAAAAAGACAAGCGGCAGGAATACCGCGAGATTGCCTCATAGTCGAAGGCCAGGGTGTTTCCCTCGTCGTCGACGGCGGCAGAGACGTCCCAGGGGTTGATCTCCTGCTCGGCAGCCTTCTTGACGGGCTCAGTGGCCGTCTCGGCAAGCGAGAGGGCGGCGACGGACGGAGGCTCGCCGAGCTCGGTGGTGGGCTGCTTCTCGGCCATGGCGGGGGTCGCAGCGCGATTGGAGATGGAGAGCGTCGGTCCGGGGAGGCTGGGCGCGGGGGAAGGGCGGGCAGCGGCGGGCAGCGGCGGGCGCAGTGGGAGGAGAGCGGCGACGTTGCGACTCAGAGATTAGGCGCGAGAGTCACGGCGGGGTGTTCTGTTTTCGAGTGCGACAGCCACCAGCCCACCAGCGCACCGCCGCACGTGGCTGGTGCGCTGGCGCTGGCATGTGGCGAGTGCGTTCCCCGCTCGGCGTTTCGGCGCGATCTGCCCGTGTCTGGAGACCATCACCAGAGCGTGACGAGCCATTGGAAAGCAAGCGCCAGCGTTTTGCCGCCTGGTCCCCGCGCTCCATCCGCCGCCTCTTCGCCCTCTGCGCCTCCATCTCCACCTCAATCCACCCGCAATCCGAGAATGCGAAGCCGTTCACCATGGTGAAGTTCTACGACAGCTCCTTCAGCTACGACTACTCTTTTCCCGCCGTCACTCTCGCCTACTTCCTCCGCTACCCGAACCCTTACTCCACCCATGTGCTCTCCACCGATGTCATCGAGCGCCGCTTTGACCCGGACACCCAGGAGCTGCACACGGTGCGCCTGCACCTGAAGCGCTCCAAGCTGCCTGGCGCCGTGCTGAAGATCATTCCGCGCTCGCTGCTGGGCGCCTCCAATGCCGGCGACACGCAGAGTTACATCCTCGAGCACAGCGTCGTCAACATCCGCGAGGGCTGGATGGACACCATCAGCCAGAACCTCGAGTGGACCGGTGTGCTCAGTGTTGTCGAGCGCCAGGTCTTCCGCCGGCCTGCCGACATTTTCCGCAACAATAGGTGCGAGAAGAGCGCCGCCGCCCACGGCCTGCTGGACGCGGGTCCCAACGAGACCACAGACGTCGAGACATCAGTCACTCTACACTCCAAAATTGGCGAGAACATCCGGAAGAGGCGTGCCGCCAGGGCTGCCGCCGATGCGAAGGCTGCCGAGCTCGAGGAAGAGCAGCCCGCCAAGGTTGGCTTTTTCAAGTCCTGGTCGACCGCTTCCATTCAGCGGTCCATCGAGCTCATCGGCCTCAGGCGTGCCGAGAAGAGCCAGCCGAATGCCAAGGAAGGCATGAAGATTGTGCTGCAGCGCATGCGGCAGGGAGGCCTGGTCGGCGTGTTGGAGGGCATGCGCCAGGACCGCGAGAAGATCCTCGTGGGACGCAACGACGTCAACGATCGTTCATAACGTGTACAAAAAGGAAAAATCGGAAAAAGGACTCAGGGACAGGAGTTGATTTCAGCGTTGGCGCTCAGGCAAATCGTGCATCTCTTATTATTCTTCTTGACTGAGCCCAGTCAGTGTATTCTCATTGGTCAATGTTTCGGCATGTACAATACTCGCAAACTTGGGCGCAGGACAGGCTGGCCCAGACTGGCAACGAGCAGCATCTCCATTTCTCTCACCGTAACTTTGTGTGTCAGCCCCTATCTCGTCGCCTGCGTGTGATGTGATTGGAGGCGGGTCATGTCACGTGAATTGTCTCGCATGTGCTTGTTCCTACCGTCTCTGCTTTCGATAGCGGCTGCTGTTCCTTCCCTCTTCATGTGTCAGCCAGCGGTCGCAGCTCTGAACTCGGTTCCCCGCCAACGCTCCGTTCCGGCAGGAATTCCGGACTATCACTGGCGCCCTTTTCCCATTGACACTTCTCCCCGCACGCTGTTTCACCTTCGCCTGAGCAGACTTGATAAATAGGTCGCAACGCGGCTGCTTTCTTCTATATTTCGGCTTTTTCGTCCCCCAAAAAAGAGCAAGAATGTCGTTCCTCGTCAAAAACGTCCCCAGGTGGTTTCCCAACACTTCTCAGGGCGACATGCACGGTCGGGCGTTCTGGGCTGCATACTGTGCAGGCACATCGGTCTTGGGCGCCTCCGTGTTCTTCCACGACCTAAGCAAGGACGTCTACACATCCTCAACTTTCACGACTCCTTTCTCCTACTCGCGCCCGCGGCCACCCTTCGGCCGTACAACTGATAAACGCGAGCCATTTGTGGTTCACCCAAGCTTCATGCTTCATCTCTGATCTTCGACATTTCGAAGGGGGGTCCTCATGACGACTTAAGCGCTTGGGTGGTGTCCTTTTTTCTGGGTCGGGCGAAGCCCTCTCTTCTCCGCGTCTTCATTCCAACACGTCCTCCAAGCCGCCAGGCTGTCCGGATATTCCACCCGACCCTACGACCTGACATCTCCAACAACGTTCCTCACTTGGACATGCTTCAAACGCATTATACCACGTCTGTACGCCGCTATTCACAGTGATTTCGTGGTAAGTCATAACTGCGCCAGCCTGACTGTCCTCTGGTCATCACATGCCGCAAAGGCAATTCATTGTCGGCTTAGTATCTTTCTGCGGGCAACTTAATCCACGTCCTGAAAGGAGCCCTCGTCATGAGCGCAGTCTTCACAAGTCGAACAAGGCATACCCCAGCTGACCAGAGCGTCAGAATACACGCACCTCACGACAGCAATGTTCCTTTTTCCTTTCAACGACACGTTTTTCAGAGACGGAAAGCGACCCAACTTTACAGCGGCTCTGCAGCTTGTTCCCGGATACGGTTTCGAGTTATTCGATTTGGATTTGGCGTCGGGCGCAGTCTTCCGACTCTTTGCAGGGACTCATTCCAACTCCGAGCCCAAAGTTTCCGTACCTACTTGTCAACACGGACACAAACGTATAAGCTTCATCAAGAGTCGTCAGTCCCATTTCGTGTGCACTGTGTTCCCGAATACGTATGCTATGCTACAGAGCCCTCCTGTTCCTGACAACCCGCCCATGTGCCATCACCATGCGCGAGCAAACTGCATCCAGCCCTCAATCTCTATCCCGATACTCCCGCTACAACATGTTCTTCTCCACATTAACCATTTAGAATACTGCGGCGGTGGCTCCGAAGGCCACAGTATCTGATCCACAACGACAACGTCATCCTCGCCGGGAGGGCTTCGATGGTGGCGAGGACGCGGGCTGTGTCGCAGGGTTCGGAGGCGAAGTTGCAGGAACAGCCGCCTTGGTAGAAGTAGGTCGACCCGTAGTAACGGCGGCAGCTGAAGTCTTGGTAGATCTCATGGTGGACTTTGCCGATGGCGTGTTGTGTTTGGCCGGACAGCCTGTCGATTGTGTGTTAGCAGAAGTATATAGAGCGATGATTAATCAAGTGTAAGACATGCGCGTCGAAGCTGTCGTTGTAGACCGGATCTCCGGTCGAGCTTGACTTTGCTTGACAGATGAACTCACACGACTTGGCAAGTGTAGAGGCTGGGTTCGACGGAGGCAGCCATGCGCCAACGTACTGATGCCAAGACGCAGGCAGCCACGTCTAGTCCGTTTGCCATGCAAATGAGTACCAGCCCCCATATCAGTATTGACGACAGCCTGCACAAGACCGTTTTCCCGAATGAGGCAATGAGGCATATCTGCACGTTTGTGGTGAAGAGGCTGTTGCAAGTTTCGCAGATTGCATTACTATTCGCAGTACGACCTTCTAATCGTCCGGCGGGATATGATTCCGTCTCTGCTACTTCTTCTACATGCTGACAGCAACGTTGTCCGTCATATATTTTTTGATGTTGCCAAGGAAAAGGCTGCAAATAATTGAGACGGCACCGAATGCGATGGAAACATAGTACACGTACGGGTACTGAGATTGTCAGTATGAGGTGAATACCGCAAAAGGAAGTCAATTCTACGTACCGCGTAGGCGTACGTCTCTTGCCCGGCGTGGATCAGCGTTTGCACCTGCGTCTCCGTAATGTTGGGGAACTCGTAGAACATGTCCAGCAATCCGGCAACTGTGATGTCGACAACCTTGGTTAAAATCTCAGGGTCCTTCGTTTGGAGGGTTACAGCCGCTGTAGGGACGAGGATGAGCTCTGATGCAGCGTGCGCAAATTTTTGAGCAAAGACGTTGTAATATATGCAGTAGCCGATGGCACCGCCGAGCACACGGACGGCCAGCGTCAGAGCCGTCACCGTTGCGATCACCTCATCTGGGCAGATGATATTGGTGATGATACTCGCTGGAACGACGATTCCCCCGATTCCAAAGCCGGCGATGGTGAGTACGACGTAGACGAGCCAGATGTTGTCGGTGCGTAGGGCAGCCATTCCACCGCCTCCGGCCGTCATGAAAATGCAGGACCCGAGCATGAGGAGGCGGATATGGCCGCGCGTGTAGGTAAGCAAGGCCAGAACTACACAGGCACCGGCCAAGATTGAAAATCCGAGGGTGATATTGCGGATCCCAACAGCGATTGGTTCATGGCCGTAGCTATTGTATGACTGCGTCGGCCAGAACAGGAGGACGCTGAAAAAATTGGCCCCGGAGATGAATGTGATAACTGGACATGTCAGTGGGGAAAATAACATATTCGTCTGTGAGCATACTCAGGGTCAACAACAGTATTCTCGGCTCTCGCTTGATGCTTGACGGAAACATGGGGTAAGCGGCAAATTTCGACTCCCACACAAGGAAGGCGGCGACAAGAGCAGCGCCTATGAGTAGAGGCGCCAGTGTGTGAGCCGAGGTCCATGGGTAGTTGTAGCCTCCCCACTGTAGGCCAGCCATGAACAACAACAGCCCGGAAATGGACAGCAATCCGCCAACGTAGTCAATGCGCTTCAGAATCTCTCTCTTGGACAAGCCGGTTGTGTTCGAACGTGGAGGAGGATGGTAGAAGATGAAAGTCAGGGCTAATCCGATGAATGCCCAGATGGCGCACCAGAGGCCGATGTAGCGCCAGCTACCGTAGTGAGCGACCAACTGGGCCCAGAGCACGGACGGACAGAAAGGCAAGATGGTACTAGACTCGATAAGCTCACCGCGATACCAGCATCGAGCGAACACACTCACAGGATCATCCAAGCGTTGTATTTTCCTCTTTTCCTGGTTGGGGCGATTTCGGAGGTCACGGCAAGAGCAGTCAGTTCCAGGATACCAGCGCCGATGCCAGCCAACGCCATGCCAGCAATGAAGATGTTCATTGTATGGGATGTCGAAGTGACGATGTTTCCGATTATGAGGAAGACGGCTCCCATCATGGCAGTGTATCGTCTCCCAAACAAATCCGAAAGGGATCCAACGAAAGGGCAAATAGCAGCCAATGCCAGCAGGTTTCCCAGCACAAACCAGATCCATCTGTCGACACCGCCAATGTCACCGTAGATGTAAGGCGGAATGGCGCCGTAGAGGTAAAGCGGGATTTGGGAGCCAGTCCAGAGAAATGCCATGGCGACCAAAGGCATGAAGCGACGAACGGTCATCTGCCCCGACGCTTAGTTCCGCGAGCCGACTCGTCAGCGCTGGGACCAACCTTGGGTTCATCGTCGGGATCGAGTGGGCCTGAATGCCCCGACGTGGCCGGTGATGTGGCTTCAGCCTTTGCAACATCTTCAACATAAAAGGCGCCGTTCTTCTCAACGTCCCCGGGCGGTGGGTGAGCATCTTTCCGATCCATAGTCAGGTAGGAAATTGGAATGAATAACAGTGCAAAGGACAGCAGACGAGCTGATGCGCCTGGTGGCGATAAGAGGTTGCTGGGTCGCGTCGACTTATATGCGGTCGAGGTTCACACCAGGGGCAGCCACAGCTGAAGTGCGCCCGCCGTGCTACCCCGCAGATAGGCTGTGTACCACCAGACACAAGGCATCCACACGTCGGACGAAGGACTTGGGTAGTACAAGCTTCGGTCAAGCGTCGCGGTAGCAGGTGCGAATAGTAGGTTGCGAATGGCGTCGACAACCGAAACCCCACAATTTGCACGCCTCCCCAGGTTTTGACCCCGCAGATGGCGGCTACGGGACGGGCACAAGGCCGGACGATGCGGAAATATATCCAGATTAGGTAGTTCGGGCTTTAGTCGATTGTCCCGTGGCGGCATCCAGGCCAAGAGGGCAACGCTTAATTTCATCAAGACTACGCAAGAGTCTGTCTTGCATGACCAAGTGCCGAGGTTCAGACGGTACTTCCCATCGTCGACGCACTACGCCTGCTCAGCTTTGGCTTGATCGCGAGTAAAAGGCGTTCTGTGACGAAGTGTCCAGCCCGGCTGTTCACTGGACTGCTGAAGCGTGCGCCACGCTCATCCTGCCGAATCCACGAGCATTCGCTACCAGAGGAGACCAGACTACCATGATTGGGCCACACACCTTGGTCTGCCCGTCAAGGAGGACCTGCAGGCTGCAACAATAGCTGAAGCAGCGAGCAGAACCTGAGGGTAGGAAGCGAACCTTCAGCGCAGAAGGGTCGCACAGGGTGACCAATCGGAAGAGAAGCGCCGGTCTTGTAGAGACTGCAGCCTGTCGCCACTGCTCCACTCTTGCTCCGGTGTCATGGGCCAGCGATGCAACGGGCTCCTGTTTGGAACCCAAGTCTGCTCACCTCTGGCGATTTGCACGGTGGTGGCGAAGCCGAGGACCAGGCTGCGGGCTGCGAAGGAATGCTGCGCACAGCCACGGCGTAAGTAAGGGCGAAGGAAGGAGGATGGGCTTGCGAGTCTGAGATGCTAGAGAGACAGATGCAAAGCCAAGGAGGGAGTTGGGGAAGCGGAGTTCTGGGGTACTAGGTTGCACGCGGCGGGCAGGCGCAGGTCCGGGCGATCGCCGGCCGCATTATTGCGTCGAAATTGTTTGACCACTTTTCTGGTAGCGGCGTTGACTCACATCCCCGCAGCGCACTTCCGCAGACTGCCTCAACTCCCTCCGCCTCGCCGTTGCAGCAACTCCTGAGCCTTTTCCGTGCTGCAATTGAGCATTGTCACTTTCCCCGTCCGGCCGCGCGCCGTAGAACCGTCGCTTTCGCCCTCCCGCCAGCGACTTTTCCCCCGCCATGAGCGACACCACAACTGCCCCGGCCACCGGCCCAACGACCGTCCCCATTCTGGGAAAGGACTCAATTGTGGTCGAGTACGGCCTGTGGGACAGCTACGTCGCCCAGGACCTGCTCCAGAACATCCGCTCCTCCACCTACGTCCTGATCACCGACACCAACCTCGGCGACATCTACACCCCCGCCTTCGAGAAGAGCTTCAAGGAGCACGCCGCCCAGCATGCCCCTTCCTCCCGCCTGCTCTCCTACACCATTCCTCCCGGCGAGACCTCCAAGTCGCGCTCCACCAAGGCCACCGTTGAGGACTGGTTGCTGCGCCAAGGATGCACCCGCGATACTGTCATAATTGCTCTGGGTGGTGGTGTGATTGGTGACATGATTGGCTTTGTTGCTGCTACCTACATGAGAGGCGTGCGCTTCGTTCAGGTGCCCACAACGCTTCTGGCCATGGTTGATTCGTCGATTGGCGGCAAAACCGCCATTGACACGCCTGCCGGCAAGAACCTTGTCGGCGCTTTCTGGCAGCCCGAGCGCATCTACATTGACTTGCAGTTCCTCGAGACCCTGCCCCGGAGAGAGTTCATCAACGGCATGGGCGAGGTCGTCAAGGTGAGTGTGTCCCGTTCTGCGCGTCTCGTGTCGCTGCGGCTGACGGTTATATAAGACTGCTGCCATCTGGGACGAGAAAGAGTTCGCCGCTCTCGAGGACAATGCCTCCCTGATCATGAAGACCATCAACCACAAGCCAGCCCGGGGCCAACGCCGCCTGGCCGATATCGCCCCCATACTCAAGAGGATAGTGCTGGGCTCTGTCCGCGTGAAGGCTCATGTCGTGTCTGCCGACGAGAGGGAGGGCGGTTTGCGCAACCTCCTCAACTTCGGCCACTCGATTGGCCACGCTATGGAGGCTATCCTCACCCCTCAGATCTTGCATGGTGAGTGTGTTGCCATTGGAATGGTCAAGGAAGCCGAGCTTGCCCGCTACCTGGGCGTGCTCGAACCCGGTGCAGTTGCCCGCTTGACCAAGTGCATTGCAAGCTACGAGCTGCCTACTTCGCTCAACGACAAGGTTGTGCGCAAGCGCACTGCGAACAAGCATTGTGCAGTCGACGAGCTGATCTCCATCATGGCTGTGGACAAGAAGAATGATGGCCAGAAGAAGAAGATTGTCCTGCTGGCCGGTATCGGCAGGACCCACGAGAAGAAGGCCAGCGTTGTTGCTGACCGGGACATCCGCATCGTTCTGTCTCCCAGCGTCGTTGTCCACCCCGGCGTGGCCGACAACTTGAATATCTCCTGCACTCCTCCTGGATCTAAGAGCGTTTCCAACAGAGTCCTGGTTCTGGCTGCCCTTGGCTCAGGTACCTGTCGTATCACCAACCTACTTCACTCGGATGACACACAATTCATGCTCGGCGCGGTTGCTAAGCTCGGTGGCGCCTCCTTCTCTTGGGAAGACGATGGTCGTGTCCTGGTCGTCAATGGCAATGGTGGTGCGCTCTCAGCCAGCCCCGATGAGATCTACATCGGAAACGCCGGCACTGCTTCTCGTTTCCTGACGTCCGTAGTCACTCTTGCCAAACAGTCGTCCGTTGCGTCTACTGTCTTGACTGGAAACGCTAGAATGAAGGAGAGGCCCATTGGACCACTCGTGACTTCTCTGAGGGCAAACGGTGCGCAGGTTGAATATCTCGAGAGTGAGGGCTGCCTGCCTCTGCGCATCGGTGCGTCTGGCGGTTTCGAGGGCGGTGACATTGAGCTCACCGCCAATGTCTCCTCCCAATACGTCTCTTCCATCCTGATGTCTGCGCCTTACGCCAAGAAGCCAGTCACTCTTCGCTTGGTTGGCGGAAAGGTCATCTCGCAGCCTTATATTGATATGACGATCGCCATGATGGCCTCTTTCGGTGTTCAGGTCGAGCGCTCTGCCGCCGAGGAGAATACCTACCACATCCCTCGCCAAAGCTACGTAAACCCGGCCACCTATGAGGTCGAGAGTGATGCAAGCTCTGCTACTTACCCTCTTGCCATCGCTGCCATCACGGGCACCACTTGCACCGTCCCGAACATTGGCTCCAAGTCTCTCCAGGGAGATGCCCGCTTTGCGGTCGATGTCCTCCAGCCTATGGGTTGCACTGTGGAGCAGACTGAGACGTCCACCACGGTCACCGGTCCTCCTAGGGGCCAACTAAAGGCACTGACGGAGGTCGATATGGAACCCATGACGGACGCTTTCTTGACTGCTTCGGTTCTGGCTGCCGTTGCGACCAACAACGGTACCACCGCTACGACCCGCATCAACGGCATTGCCAACCAGCGTGTAAAAGAGTGCAACCGAATTGCTGCCATGAAAGACCAACTGGCCAAATACGGCGTTGTCTGCCGCGAACATGACGATGGTCTTGAAATCGATGGCCGTACCTATGAGCTCGACACGCCGCAGGAGAGTATTGATTGCTACGATGATCACCGTGTGGCCATGAGCTTTGGGGTGCTCTCTCTTGTTGCTCCCGGGCCTGTCATTGTTCTTGAGAAAGACTGCACAGCGAAGACATGGCCCGGTTTCTGGGACGTTCTGCATCAGCGCTTCGGTTCTACTCTGGAAGGCCACGAGCCAGGCCCATCTGCTCATCACAGAAAGGTCAAGAAGCCCACCAAGTCGATGTTTATCATTGGCATGAGGGGTGCTGGTAAGACAACCATGGGTGGCTGGGCATCCAAGATCCTTGGCTGGCCTTTGCTTGATCTCGACAATGCCCTTGAAGAGCAAGTTGGCCTTCCAATCCCTGACATTGTGAGAAATCACGGCTGGGAATACTTCCGTGAGGAGGAACTCAAGCTTGTCAAGAACGTCATGAAGGAGAAGGCCACAGGGCACATCCTCGCTTGCGGAGGTGGTGTTGTAGAGATTCCCGAGGCTCGCGAACTCCTCAAGAATTGGGCAAATGATGGCCATGTCCTCCTCATCACTCGGGATATCCAAAGAGTGATGGAATTCCTCAGCCTCGACAAAACGCGTCCAGCGTACGTTGACCCGATGATGAGTGTCTGGGAGCGTAGGAAAGACTGGTACCAGGAGTGCAGCAACTACCAGTTCCACAGTCAAACTGTCGAGGACAGTGGCCTTGCCAGGACTCTGGATGACTTTGACCGCTTCCTTTCGCTCATCACCGGAAAGACCTCTGCCTTTGAGAATCTGAAGAGCAAGAAGCAATCGTTCTTTGTTTGCTTGACTGCTCCACGGATTGACCTCCTCGCTGACAAGTTGGACCGTATCGTAGTTGGATCTGATGCTGTCGAGATCCGCGTGGATCTTCTCGAAGATCCCAATGCTGAGAACGGCATTTCCACCACAGACTTTCTCATTGATCAGATTACTTTCCTGCGGTCGATGGTTTCTCTCCCTTTAATCTTCACCATCCGCAGCAAGAGTCAAGGAGGCAGATTCCCCGATGGCGCCAACGATGCGGCGCTCCGCCTGTACAGGTTGGCTGTCCGCATGGGTTTCGAGTTCATCGACGTCGAGGTCACCTATCCTGACGAACTCCTGCAAGAGATCTCCTCGAACAAGGGAAGTAGCAAGATCATTGCCTCGCACCACGATGTGAAAGGCAAGCTCTCTTGGAAGGATGGCTCTTGGATTCCTTTCTACAACAGGGCACTGCAGCTTGGCGACGTCATCAAGGTTGTTGGCGTTGCGAAGACTCTTCAGGACAACTTTGAGCTTGCCGAGTTCAAGTCGTGGGCCGAGCAGACCCACCCTATTCCAATCATAGGCATCAACATGGGCACGGTTGGCAAGCTGAGCCGCATTATCAACGGGTTCATGACGCCAGTCAGCCACCCAGACCTGCCTGAAGCGGCGGCGCCTGGTCAGCTTTCGGCGGCTGACATCCGCCGCGGTCTTTCTTTGATGGGACAGATTGAGCCGAAGAAGTTTTTCATTGCTGGCAGCCCTGTTGCACAGTCCCGTTCTCCTCCTATGCACAACACCCTGTTCGCAGAGACCGGCCTCCCCCATCACTATGGTCGTATTGAGACCACAAGTGCCCACGACCTTAAGGATATCATCCGGCAGCCCGATTTCGGTGGTGCTTCAGTGACGATTCCTCTGAAGCAAGAGATACGCCCCTACATCGATGCCGTTGGCCCTGAGGTCGAGATCATTGGCGCCATCAACACCATCGTCCCCGAGGAGGTCGTTGACGAAGCTGGCAACTCCAAGGTTCAACTAGTAGGTCGCAACACTGACTGGCAGGGCATGGTTCTGGTGCTGCGCAACTCTGGCGCCATGGGCGGCAGCAACAAGCAGAGTGGCCTCGTCATCGGCGGAGGCGGCACGGCCCGCGCTGCCGTCTACGCGCTCGCCTCAATGCACTACAGCCCTATCTATCTGCTTGGCCGTACGGCTTACAAGATGGAAGCGCTGAAGGCGTCCTTCCCGGCGGAGTTCAACCTGCGTATTCTGTCCTCGGTCGAGGCAGTCGATGCGCTCGACGCCGAGAAGGGCATCCCTCACGTGGCCATCGGCACAATCCCCGCTACCGAGCCCATTGAAAGCAACATGCGCGAGGTGATCTGCAAGATCTTCGAGAAGGGCGGTGCCGACGCGATGCCCGGGGCGAGCCCCGGCATGGAGGAGCCGAAGAGGACATTGCTGGAGATGGCTTATAAGCCTTCTATTACGGCCCTTATGCAGCTGGCGACCGATTCTGGATGGAAGACGGTCAACGGCCTTGAGGTTTTGGTTGGGCAAGGTGTCTTCCAGGTGAGCATTCGCTGATCTGACGTTTTGGTCCAAGCATTCGAATACTGAACAAAACACGCAGTTCAAGAACTGGACCGGCATCGAGCCGCTATACGCCGTCGCCAGAGTAGGTCTATCCCCGGGAATACCATCATCCGAGCGGTAAAGCTGACGTGACCATCTAGGATGCGGTGATGAACGCCGAAATCTAGACGCGTGAAAAAGTTCATTTCCGCACATTTTCTTTTCTCTTTATTTCCTCTCTCGTTGTTGGAAGGACTGAAGGGTACTTTTAAGGGTGTGCTTCTTTTCCGTTGCCTTGTTACAACTAAGGAAATCGAGGTTCAATCTACATTCTGCCACTTTGTTCTATGCCCGCTCATAATCGAAGTCTGTCCACGCCACAGTTGCTTCGTATCGCTTGCCTCTACGCTCGATCGCTCATGCAAGAAGTGTGCTTCAATGCCAAGGTCCTCTTTGCTCGTTTGTCCGAAGCAGGGCGTCGATACTCGCGCGGTGTTCTACTTCCATCGCGCAGCTGCTCGTATTGTTTGAAGCACATCGTATGCACCGACACTTGTTGCTATTTAAAGGTGAGGAAGAACACAACGGCTCGCAAGGAAATGCCGAAGAAGCAGACGACGGAGTAAATGTCCGTATTGCCCTTTGTCCTTTTCGCCGCTCCGGTCTGAAAGTGATTGGGTGTGGCTGCCCAGTGGGACCGATTCTCAACGCAGCCCCTCGCCTTCTCCTCTTTTCCTTTCTCATTTCCCCTCCCCTCGATCGTCTTCCCCACCGCCCTGTGCTCCACCGATCGAAACGCGTTACCTATGGGCGATGAAGCTTGGCTGCTCGGCTCTTGGAACTGCCGGTCACCGGAGGAGCTCCGCTGCCCGCCACTGCTCACCGCCCATTTCGTTTTCAACGCATACGCGCGGCGAGGAACCCAATGTGGGGACGGCCGCTCAGTTAGTGTGTGCTGATGTGCATGCGAGTCACATCTTCGTAGCGTTGGATGAGGAGCATATGTTCGACACAGCAGATCCATGGAGCTAAGCAAGTTGGAGCGAAAGGAGAAGAGTCAGTCGGTGTTGCGTCGTGATGGTGGTGATGGTGGCGTGGGAGGCCCAATAGTTATCAAGATTTCTGCGTCGAGTTCCCAGCTGAGAACGGAAGTTTCCTCGCGAGATGCATACAGTCATGAAAGAGTCATCACTACTGCCTGTAAGAGATTTGTTCAATGCATTATTCCTTGGAAAGAGGGCTTGTGAGCTTGTTCGATGGATACTCTGATGTTGGATTTATGCTTCGATGCATAACGCGAGGACCTATGCCCTGCATCTCGGGCCGAGATGGATTTGCTTACAGCGGGCCAGGTACGGAAGGTCGCATGGAGGGTGGGTGGCTGCCTAGCTAGCACTTTCTCAAGGTTAGCTCGTTCCATCACATGGTCGCCGACAAGTGTCCTGTTTCATTTTTCATTCTCTTTTTTTTTTCATGATCATACGACCAAGTACCTGGTTACTTTGCTAGCTTGTTGGAAGGCTGATGCTGTGCGGAATTCAAGCTCGCGGGGCAATGGGCTATTTTTACATGAGCAGTCTGGAACGCAAAAGGTCGGTGGGAAAAAGTGACTCAAGGCATGATTCATGTTCAGATCCCTCTCCCTGACCGCCAGCCAGTCAGGCTCTCAGTCTCTTCAGATTTAGCCGCGAAAGCCGTACTACGTAGGTGGAGCGTTGTTTGATCATCACCACAGCAAGCAGGAGGCGCAAGGGTTTGTTTGCGGTGCCAGCGGCGGTTGCCATGTCTTATCGAACCTTGGCGTCGGCCAGCGATATTGGGACCACCGTGATCGCCGGCTTCAAACCCGCCAATCCCTGTGGGACGTGAAGACTGAACAAGAAACCATGGGCGGAGGTTGGTAGAGGTTTTCTATTTTTAAAGCTGCTCGCGCTAGCGGTAGTGCCATCCATGGTGCGCGGCGGCTCCGTCTTTCAACAGCTCAGCTGGCTTTGATGCTCGATAATGAAGCTCTGAGTGGCCTGGGAAACAATGCTGTTGCAAGCGAGCCATGGAATGCCATGTTTGCCATGCTTGCTACGTTTCCACTTCCCGGAAGCTTGCACCCGACGCTCTCAACGACTGTCCGCCGGTCCGTCAGTGACTGCTCTTGAGTCGATCAACGCTTAATTACGATTTCCTGTCATGGTTTCCCGCAGCGTCGCCCACGCCTGGTCCAGCTCCTCGGCGGTCGGCGTCTTCGCTCGACGACCGGTTGCTTGGCTCGCTCGTTGCATTTGGTCAAGGTCGTCGAAAAGCTGCGCACGCCTCTGGTCCATGGCAGCGAGCCTTGGGCCAACGCGGTACGACTGTTGGGAGAAAGGAGCGGAACGATGAACAGCCGGGCTGGTGGTGGTGCCGCGGCGCTGGAGTGGCGTCTCGCGGCGGCAGTCCGGAGAGGGTGAAAGAGCAAGCAGTCTAGGATCAACAAGGTTATGTGTAACATGGGAACGAAGTTGGGTTGGGTTGCACTCGCCGGCGGCCTCGAGTGGGCGGCCGACGTGGCCGCAGTAGCAGCACTTGACCGAGTGATAGCAGGCGTCGGGAGGAAGGGCAGCCACGGGCGTGCGGATAGGGCAGGGGCCAGCACCGGAGAGGCTGCAGTGGTAGGTGATGTCTTGCAGAGCCCTGCAGGCGCCGCAGGCGCAGGTGTAAGCCTTACACATGGCGCACTAGCTCCGGCACAGGATCTCGTGGCAGCCTAGCTGGCAGGCGGCGCGGAGCTATGCTATGTACTATGTGCCTGGGCTGGATTCCACGCGCCGCCAGAAGCCGGGCGAAGGCACGAAGGGTCCGCCTTTGTGCACACTGCACACACAAGCACCACGGCACCACGGCAGAAGCGTCCAGCGCAGTCCGTGGCGCGGCGGCGGCGATGGCGCGGTGGTGAGCAGCGGCGGGCGCGCGTGGGCTAGCCGCCGTTTTCTGCGCCTGAGCCCGAGTCAACGCATGGGCGGCGATAAAGCGCGCAATACGAGCCTTGCGTCCCGCCCAGGGCACCGATGCGGCGCGTTGCAGTCTTCGGCACGGGCGTGGCAGGCGGCGCGCGTGGGTGAGTCGGGCTGTTAGGCTGTTAGGCGGGCAGCGGCCGGCGGGCAGCGGCCAGCGGCCAGCGGCCAGCGGGCCCAGCAGCGGCTAAGGCCGCATGTGCATCCAAAGAGCCACAGCTGGTCTCTCGGGGCCGAGACCTCCTGCACTGCTTGTCAACTGCATCGCCAGCCCTCTCGCACACCCGCCTCACCCCATTCTTTGCCGCCGCCGTGCCCATAAGCGTCTGCTCCAGGCCGCCGTCCTCCGCCGCGCCGCCAGGCCGCCCAGCCGCTCGTTCGCGCCGGCGACTTCGTTGCACCCGCCCGTGACCCTGTCGAGCTGCTCTCCTCCACCGTCCACCCTCCCGCTCTTGGCCCAGCGCCCGCCGCTCAGGCCCCGAGCAGTGCAAGGCCACACTCTCGCGCCCTCTTAGGTAATCCGTCCCATGGACCAGCATCGGCCGCCGGGCCTTTCTGATCTGTTGGATCTGCGCCAAACCTTGCCGAGTGACTTCGACCTCAAGCGCCGCTTCACCTCACCCTCACCTCCGCCCGCCGATGGGCGCGTCGACCTAGTCGCGTCCGCGGGCGTGCTGCCTGCCCCCTCTCCCAAGTCTCCACCCGCCCATCCTCTCTGCCCGGCCCTGCCCGCCCTGCTCCCCGACCCTGCTCCCGTGCCCGGCTTCGCAACAGCCACGCCGACGCCGACGCTGGAGCACGCCCGGCCCGACTTGGGCATCGCTGGACCCGTCGACGCCGCCCTCCCGTGCTGCAGTGTGTCTCTGCCCTCGTCGCCGCAGCTCAAGTCTGCCCCCAGTCTGCGCCTGCCGTCCTTTGACCTGCTGGGCATCGCCGCCCCGCACCCCGACCGCTTCCAGCCTGACGCCGCCCGCTTCTTCGAGCCCGTAGGCGCCGGTCCTCTCTCCAAGCCAGACGATCCGCTTCATGCACGGAGCCCCGAGCCCACGCGCTGCTCCGACATAGTCGACGCGCTCCCGCTGCCCAGTCCGCGCCTGCCCGCCAAAAGCCACCCGACGGGCGAGCAGCAGTTCACCACCCTGCCCACTCCGCCGCCCGACTTGGGCGCCAACTACTGGGGAAGCATTTCCCATGTCCGCGCTACCACCATGGAATCTCCAGCGAGGTCGGACCCGGAGAGGACGTCCCCTGGCATTGTTCCCCAGCCTGTCGTTGCCCCTGCACCCGAGCCCTCAGAAGACCCACCCGCCGACGGCGCGCCGCGCCAGAACGAACGCACCTTCTCGTGGCTCGACGAAGCCTTGCAGACCATCAGTAAGACGGACCGCCACCGGCCTGTTGTTGGACGACGTGCTGACATCTTCACAGTCGCTGATCTGGGCGCCGTCACCGGATCCAGCAGTTTCGTTAGGATCCTCTCACATGCTCTGCCTTGCCCCTCACCCAAGGGACAAGCTTCCACCCAAATAATCCAAGCCCTTCACGAAGCAATACCGCCAGCATCGACAGTATGGATCAACGTCTTCCACGCCGTCCCCGGACGGTTCAGCATGGCTGATCTGCCGACCTCACCACCAAGCACGCCAGGACCACCGGTAGGAGGGGACGACTACTTCACCACCAAGGTGTTTGATAGCGCTGTTCAAGTCACGGACTACGAGGCCGAGGTGAAAGCTGCGCGATCGCCGCGACCCGTGGTTCCGCCCGGCTCCGTGGACGTCTCCATCGTCGAGCGCTACATCCCGCCAACGAGTCCCTCGGAATTCGCCGGCCTTTACTCCACGAGCGGATCGCGATCGCTGCTGCTGGACCGGCTGGCTGAGATATCACTTGACCATGGGCACTTGTTGTTCATCTACCCAACCAGAACAGGCGGTCGGGCATTCATGAACAGCTATCTGGGACCCGTGCTGGACCCCATTCTCCGCTCCATGCACGTCGTTCACGACTTGTCTGCCGACCTAGGCTCGTCGTTGGGCCACATGGCTGCGGTGGAGCACCTACACGAATTCGACGAGATGCATCGGCGACTGGGCATCTTCTTACATCACCTGAACAACGGGCGAACATCGGACCGCTTTAAGCTGGCAGGGTCCAATTTTTCCATCGTATACGCGAAGAAACAGGAGGCGCGCATTGCGAGAGACGTATGGGCAAGCGATTGGTGGATCAAGCAGGAAAAGCCAAGGGTCCGCACTGCTGTGAGCAAGTATTTCCGACTTGCGCACAAATTACCGCCGGAGGACCGAGTGATGCCCACGGCATTGATCCAGGAGCTCCTTGACGGCGTTGCAATGAAGCCTTATGAGTTCGGAGAGCCAGGCAAGGGGGTAGAAGTTGGAGTTTTCGTAATAAGAAGGTCAAGGTAACAAGCGCGAGGCGTTGACTTCAGAGAGGGTAACGGAACGATTGGGAGTCAGCCTGTCGCCTGGGTCCAGCGCAGCTCGACTCGGGTGTATTGGGGAGGAAGAAATCAGTGTCCACGATTAACGGTCATCAACGACGGAAGCACGCTGCACGAACCCACGATGAAGGCCGCCGTTTTGCCAGCAGCAGGATGGAGATACAGGGCAGGACGGACTTGAAGCCGGTTTAGTGTCTACTCAAGGAACAGTTTGTTCGAAGGCCTTGACGTGGATCTCGGGACGAGAGAAGGGACTGTCTACTGATTCTACGGACTTCTCCCAATTGCTTTCAGTACGGCCAATGGGAACGGTGTTTATGGAGCGAGCTACTTTTATTTGTGGGATTGCTCGACGGTAGAGAAAATACCCTTGCAATGGTTTGCCAGCCTCAGTTTTACTCCTCGTTTTCGGAGACACTAATGTAGGGTGGCCTCTTTTCTTTGACGAATCTCTGGCGCGCATACCAGGAAGGTGACGATTGAGGCGAAGTCGGGTCGTGGTCACGCCACGCCGGGGTTATAGAGCTCGCAACGCCAACTCGGCGCAGCAACACGGCTGAACGGCACCCCAACCATGGATGTCCAACACGTGGGGTTTACAGACCGCGCAGTAGCCTAGGAATGGACGCATCCTTGGGAAGATTATAGCCGCATGGTAGCCATATTGCCGGGGGCGGTTCGGGGAGGCGAAGCGCAGGCTGCGGAGACGGATCCGGTGGCGTCGAATGAAATTGATGGAGAGCCGCACAACCGGGTAGATCTGACCGTAAACAGAGGATTCACGTCCGGGGGAGAGGCTGGGTAGAGCTGCAACAATGGTCTGATGGCAGTGCTCCCAGGAGGGCGGGCCAACGATTGCTCGCGCGGGTGAGGATGGGGGAGGGATTGGCATGGCGCGTTTCGGCTCAGCTTGCAGCGAGGACGCGCGACTGCTGTGCGACGTATCGCATCTCACTGCCGGCGGACCCGCGGCGAGGGTTCGTTCGCTGTCCTCTATCGTGCCTTCTGCTCGTCAAGCGGGCCATTCAGCGCGCCCGCATCGAGTCAGTAGCGCTGTCGATAGTAGCTGACTCGGAAGGTCAGGAGCAACTGGCCGCTTGGTGCGCGTACATAGATCTGGCATGGGGGGGATCAGCCTGTCTACATACAGGTGTGAAAAAATCAGATAAAAGGGGATGGTTGCCCTCCTACGACGCGAGGCATAGGCCTAAGATATGTTCTTAAGCGACTGCTAGCAGCATTTTTACGAGCACCCAACGGCGGCACGACTGGCAACTGACTGCTGCTAGGCTAGCAGTGATGTTCTGCGTCCAAGGCGGGAGCACCTTGAGGGGGAGGTCGGCGAGGCTGCGTATCTCCTATCAGCGAAGATTCACCGAACCATCTCCAGACGCCCCCCACACGTGCTGGGCCAGGGTCCGGCAACGAGTTTCCGGGAAAGCCGCAGGTGTCCAGGTGCCCGCGTGCCCGCAAGCTCGCCGACCAGATCACCAAACAAGCAGCCGGTCGGCACACCGCAAAACACGCCCTTCGACCTTTGACGTGAGCAGCGGAGTTTAGAACAGCGACATGCGCGCAGCTGATCTGCCGCAAGAGCACGCAATCGGGGTGTTTGGGTAAGCACGCGCGAGCCCATTCGCTGGCCCTGCTGACAAACTGACCCCGGGATGGCATCATCGCCACGGAACCGTCGTTTTGCGGGGATCGCATCATCCTAACGATGACTTTATACCACCCCGATTAGCAATCGAACCCGCTAGCTACCGCCGCCCTGAGCCTATATAAACGTCCGAATAGAGCGCCTTTGACATCACCAATCCACTTCTCCTGCCATTCAGCCCTACACACCAGAGCATCAGTGGCCAACGTCCTATTTACTTGACCTCCTCGCACGCTTTTGACATATTTTACCGAGACGATTGCTAGTAGAGCATTCTCAGTTTTCAGAAAGCCAGCATTCACCTCGAGACTTTTGAACTACCAGTCGCACCCGAAGACAGTCAGAATGACGACCACCGCCACCCAGCCGACACCAGCCCACCAGCTGCAGTCTGCCCCCGTCACTTCCTCCACACTTGACACCAACACCAAGAGCAAAGGCTTCGCCGTCCCCCGCGGGCCCGTCACCAGCGAGCTCAACTTCTACCAGCCCCCCACCGACGGCTCCGTCCCCTACAACTGGGTCGAGAAGCAACCCGAAGGCGTGCCGCAGAACAACTTCGGCTTCGAAACGCACGACGTGACCATCCAGGACGCGCGCGGCCGCGAGCAGGACTTCAATCTCGACAACAACTCATTCGCCTTCATCTCCGGCATCGAATCGACCGAGCGCGACTTCGTCGACGACGAGAGCATCAAGCAAAACTACTACCCAGAAGTCGAGCGCCTCATCATCGACAACGTCCCCGGCGCGAACCGCGTCCTCATCTTCGACCACACCATCCGCCGCTCCGGGCCCAACGCCAACCGCGCCCCCGTCACCCGCACGCACATCGACCAGACCCCCGTCTCGGCCCGCATGCGCGTCGAGCACCACCTCCCCGACGAAGCGCCCCAGCTCCTCCAAGGCCGCTACCGCATCATCAACGTCTGGCGCCCGCTCAACGGGCCCGTCGTCGCCCACCCGCTCGCCTTCGCCGACGGCAGCACCTTCCGGGACGAGGACCTCGTCCCCGTCGAGCACCGCTATCCCACCCGCACGGGCTACACGGCCGCCATCAAGCACCACCCGGACCAGCAGTGGTACTACCTCTCCGGCATGCGCAACGACGAGCGCTTGCTGCTCAAGTGCTCCGACAGCGAACGTGCTGACGGTCGTGTGCCGCATACCGCTTTCGTCGATCCCAGGACGCCCGAGGGCGCGCCCGGTAGGGAGAGCATTGAGGTGAGGGCTTTGGTTTTCGGTTAGAAAAGAGGAAGAAGAGGTGTTAGTGTGACTGAGAGAGAGACCATGACCTCTTCTCCTCATCCTCCTTTTCCCGGTGGTCGAAGCGGGGAAGGGGAAAAGAGGGGAGGGAAGAGCAGTGGTCCGGAGATTACTCCTGAATGAGTCAACGATAGTGATTTACTTTGCATACTTAGCCTAGGTTTTTCTTTTTGCGAGATCATACAGTTTGACCATCATTCTGGCGCTCTTTTTTTCTTTATGGGATTTTAATTTTAGGCAATCGAGATATGAGATTTCTTCTTTCTACTAGACCTTTTTCATTATTGTGACTGCACATGCCCCGCGCTGAACATACGATTTGAGACATGACACTATCAAGCTTGGATGAGTAAACAATCCCCAACTTCCCTCGGCTCGGCTCATCACACGTGTGGATGATCCCAAGGCAGATAAGGTTGTTATTCCGGCTGAGGGCGCCTCATCGCCTCGTCTCCCCCAGCTTTCAATGGACAAGAACAAGAACCCAATTGTACATGTTTTCGTATTCCTGCCGGTACTGCAAAGCCGTTCGGGGAGGGAGGGGCTTCGACTTTCCTCGACCAGAAAACTCCCTGGGTGGTGTTCCGCACTTATCGACGCATGAAGTAAACGTTAAGCCACCAAAGGTCATCTTGACGTGTTCGTACAAATTTTTACAGTTGACCACATCGCCTGGACCATGCAGTCCGTGATGCGGAATCTTACTTTTCTTTCATGCTAATAGCTCGCACCTTGCCCACTGGAGCTTACAGGCTGATCTCCCCCTTCCACGTGCCTTCGGTTAGACCCAACGTTTCAATCAGGTGCTGCCACCTGGGACCGCCCCTCTCCTTCTTTCTCAGGTATTTGAGCAGCTTCTGCCGCCTGTGCACCAGCAACCTCAAGTTCCGCTTGTTGACCTTGTCATTCTTGCCCCGAGTCTCAAGAAAGTCGGCCAAGGTGCGGATCTTGGCTGTCAAGATGGCAACCTGCACTTCACTGCTGCCAGTGTCGGGGCCGCCGCGCGTGTATGCCTCTGGGTTCATCGGAGCTGGGCCCGACCAACCCTCCTTGAGACTCCATGGAATCTCCTTCGCACCACTCGCCGCCGTTGCTCTCGGCTCCATAACTTTGTCTGTGTGGTGCCGGCCAAAGGTATCGATGCACCTTTGGACATTCACGCGGGTCCGGTCCTTCGAGTTGGCATTCGACAAGCTCACGATGCGTTCAATCGCTTTTGCCGCGTTCTCGTTCTGTTCCTGGACCTCCGCCTTCGATTTGACGTCCGACAGACCCTGCTGCTGCGCACTGGCAGTCAAGTCCTCGGCGTACATCGACGGGGCAGTCAAAATCCTCGAAGTCTGCATCTGTTCCTTCACCTCTTTCGGCTTGAGGTAATGGTTCAGGTAACTCTCGGTGGTAGCCTTCGGACCCGGGGGGGTTTGCTTGGGGTCGGCGGTCTCCTTCGATAGGTCGGCGTCGGTGGTCTTGGAGGGCTCGGGGAGGCCGGTGTCGAACGACTGCACGAATGGCGTTGTCACACCCCGGACGGGATCACCAAGTTCTTGCTTGCGCTTCTCCTGCAGCACAGTCTGGCGCGAGAGATTGGCAGCTTTCTTCGCCTGGGCCTGGGCCCGGGCATACGGATCGTGCTGTCGGCGTCGTTGCTCCTTTGTGAGGGCGTAATTGACGGGTGTGGTGCTAAAGGCGCGAAGAGAGGACGCCGCGCTCGACGGAGCTGTTGGAAGGCATTGTGAGCAGAGAGTTGGGCAAAATGACGAGGCCAGCCGGCACGAACCAGTCTGGGCCCGCAGGCGCACGGGCAACGATATCCGGGGCGGCATAGCGGCGATGCGGTGGTGGTGTCGTGCCGCTCGCAACTTTGCAGCGGAGGTAGGCCGCCCAGATTGAAGCCCGCGGGCGTCGCCGGGCAAACGGCCAAACGATTGGCCGGCGCGCCAAGCAGCAACCTGAGGCACGAAGCGAGCGCACACGCGCCATACCCAAAGAAGGCGGCTTAGCGAGAAGTGATATGCCCACCACCATTTCGAATCGCGACCTAAGTTCGTTCGACCGCCAGCGACCGCCGTTCGACTCACGACCTCACCCGCCGCCTCTCGCGCAACCTCAAATCAAACAGGATGGCTCCTCACAACCTCCCCGCGGCCTTTGCGCCCACCAGCCAGGACATTGAGATGCTCCTGGCTGCTCAGTGCCACCTCGGTGCCAAGAACCTCCAGGTTCACATGGAGCCTTACCTCTGGAAGACTCGCCCGGATGGCATCAACGTCCTCAACATTGGCAAGACCTGGTAAGCCTCGAAGCCGATGTTATGTGCGTGCCTTTTGCGGCGTTTGCAGCCAGCAGGATAGAGCGATTCGTTCGCGATATTTTTCTGAAAGCTCCAAAATTTCGTACAAGGACGCGCACACAGGGCGAACTCCACGCGCGAAAATACCGTGTCTAACGCGCGCCGCAGGGAGAAGATCGTCCTCGCTGCCCGCATCATCGTCGCCATTGACAACCCGGCCGATATTTGCGTCATCTCCGCTCGTCCCTACGGCCAGCGTGCCGTCCTGAAGTTCGCCGCCCACACCGGTGCCGTCGCCATCGCCGGTCGCTTCACCCCCGGTAACTTCACCAACTACATCACTCGCTCCTTCAAGGAGCCCCGCCTGATCATCGTCACCGACCCCCGCACCGATGCCCAGGCCATCAAGGAGGCCTCGTACGTCAACATCCCCGTCATCGCCCTCTGCGACACCGACTCTCCTACCGAGTTCGTCGACGTTGCCATCCCCACCAACAACAAGGGTCGCCACGCCATTGGTCTTGTCTGGTGGCTCCTTGCCCGTGAGGTCCTCCGCCTCCGCGGCACCCTCGCCAACCGTGAGACCGAGTGGGACGTCATGACCGACTTGTACTTCTACCGCGACCCTGAGGCCGAGGAGAACAAGGACTCGGCCGGCGTTGAGGAGGCCAAGGTCCCCGGCGCTGACGAGGTCGGCCCCGGCCCCGTTGAGGGTGGCTTCACCAACGAGTGGGAGGTCTCCGGCGCTGGTGCCGGTGCCTTCGCCGCCGCTTCTGGCACCACTGGCGTCGCTGCCGGTGCCTCCTGGGACCAGGATGGCGCCGACTGGGCTGCCTCCACCGCCGCCCCTGAGGCTGCTGCCCCCGCTGCTGCCCCCGCTACCAGCGGTTGGTCCGCTGACGCCGCTGCTCCCCCTGCTGAGGGTCAGTGGTAAGCGGTTGAGGAGGAAAAAGCGCGATACCAAGAGAGGATGCTGGGGACAAAAAGATAAACAGGAGTCAGTCACCTTGCGCCTCGGTGGAGTGTGTATTCAAAAAAATGTCAAGAATGGTCCATGAGTCGAACAAACTAAAAAACATTTCCTCACAAAGATCATGTCGCATGGAAGTTCGTCATCGCAGCTTGGTCTGGCAGTTTCGACTTTACTTTATTCTTTTATTCGCTGCAAGGAAGAACAGTCGTCCGGTGCTTACGAGGGAAAGATATCCAACGTGTGTTCCTCATGCGTTGGGGGAAAGCCCTGTGCTGGCGATTTTGGGATGTACTTAAACGTTGCCCACTTCCTCTGCACAAGAAAAAGGAGAAGAAATTCGATATCCATTTCGTGCCAACTGACACCCTTTGTCATGTGCCTTTCGCCTCTCTTTGCCCTCTTTGATGTGATCCTTGCCCCCCCTCGTGACTTTTGTTTGACATTGACATGCTTTGAACCACATCCATCCATTTATTCCTGTCCTAGCCCGTCCGCAACGGGATATGACAGACTCGTGTCCTTTCCAAGTACGATGATACTTTGAACGATGGTTGTCCAGCCACGGGCCGGGGAGTGTGTCTCCACAGCTTACTTGACGACCCCGCAAAAGAAGAAACCAGACGGGTCTTGATGTTTATTCTGTGCGAGAGCTCTTGCTCCTCTGCGCCGCCCTCCATGGGTAATTCGAAAAAAAAGAGGGAACATCCAGCCTCAAAGGTCCCACAAGCAACCAGCACAGATAAATATACACACCTCCCAGGCAAGCAGGTAGTGTTCTTCCAGAAAACATATATTTCAGGAGCGGTAAGACAATCGAATAAAAAAAAAAATCCGTTTTTGTGACCTCAAGCATGACAGTTACCCATGTCATATGCATAGCTAGAAGGACCCCTATTTCAAAACAACCTGATGCTATGCGAAAAAAAAGAAAGAAAAAAACCAACCCGAGCGCTGCCGCTGCTGTTGTTGTTGCAAGTCGTCGTCGCTGTGCGAAGTGCCCCAGCATGTATCCCTAACAAACAAACAAAACGCCAATTTTGTCTATCCTTATCTCCCAGGAGACGACAGCAAAGGGAAGACGATGGAGGGGGAGGGGAAAGGGAGGGGGGGAGAGAACCAACCAACCAACCCAGTCAAAAACAAAAGGGCAGAAGAGGGGAGACGACGACGAAAAAAAAAACCAAAAGAAAAAAAAACCAAGGGCAGCGACGAGAACGAAAAGCCGCAGAATTCTCGCAACCCTTTTGGAACTATTCTTCCTCGCTCTCCTCCTCGCTCTCCTCATGCATCACGCGCCCGCCGCCATCCTCTTCTCCTTCCTCCGCCGCGCTCTCCAACGCCTGTGTCATCGCGGCCTCGAAATCGGGACCAAAGTCGTCGTCATCATCGTCGTCGTCGCCGTCGTCGTTGTCGTGATCATCATCGTCATCACCGGCGCCGTCCGTCATCAGCTGATGTTGCTGCTGCTGGTGCTGCTGTTGATCACCAGCCTCGTGATACTGCTGCTGCAGCGTATCCGCCGCCGGGCTGCCCAGCGTCAGAGGATCGACGTCGCCGTCGGCGTCCTCGTCGTCCTCGGCGTAGCCATCGTCGTCGTCTTCTTCCTCTCCATCCTCTTCTCCTTCTTCGTCCCGTCCTTGTCGTTGCTGAAGGTGACCACGACCGCCGACGTCCTCATACTCCTCTCCTTCCGCCTCCTCCTCGTCGTCACCGCTACCACCAACGCCCTCGCCGCCGAAATCGATGACGTCGGGCGCGTTCTTGCTGGTGATGGCCGTGGTGGCGCGCATGTTGGGCGTGTGCAGCCGGCTGTTGGGCGACGCGCTGTCGGCGGCGCTGCGCAGCGACACGGGCCCGTCGCCCGTGACGCTCTGCTCGAACGCGAGCGCGATGCTGCTGCGGCCCGCGCCCCGCCCGCCGTGCCGCGACGACCCGGCCTTGCCGTTGGCGCCGCCCGAGCCGCCCCAGTCGATTTCGAGGCCGCCGAACTGGTCGTCGTCGTCCTCGTCGTCACCGGCACCGTCGTCTTCGTCGGCGCTCGGCTCGCGTGATGTGCGGCTTGACGATTTGGTGGACGACGCGGACGATTGTTGGGACCGGGCGGCTGTTGTTGAGAGCGTCGAGGCGGCTGCTGCTGCCACCGCCGAGTCGGTTGGGCGCGTCGACGCGCGGCGGTCCAGGCGGATGGACGGGGTGGGCTGCTGTTTCGTCTTGGTTGTGGTTGGCGAGGTGGGCTTGGGCTTGGCGGCGGGCTGTTCTGGCTCTGGGCTTTTGCGCTTGCGCGACGATGTGGTGGCGGTCTGCTTGGCAGTGGCTTGCTTGGATGCGGGTTTTGGCGCTGGCTTCGTTTTGGGGCGGTCCGTCTGCGGTAGTGGTGTCGAGCGAGCCGGGGCGGTGGTGGTGGCGGTGGTAGATGCCGCTGTAGCATTCGTGGTGGTGCGAAGCGGGGTTCCCGACTGGCTGTACGGTGATGCAAAGCCGTCGGTCTGTTCTGCGTCCTTCAGGAAATGCCGGAAATCGAAGGGGTTGTTCTCATCGGGTTCGTCCTCTTCGCTGAGGCTACCGCCTCCAAACATACTCTCGGCGGTGCTCCTGGGCGTGGCCGAGCCGTCGGAGAAGAGGTCGTCGGCAGAGTCGTTGGCGACGGCGTCGCGGTCCGGCTTCTCGTTGCGTGGCCTCACCAACTGGTACTTCTCGGCAAGCTTTGCCTGATCACTCTCCCACGGCGTGCTCTTCAGGTTGAAGGCGTACGTCTCGTCGAGCGGCTCGAGCGTCGCAGTCTGGGTATCCTTGTCGAAGACCAGCACATACGTCTTCTTCAGCTCCTTGCGCTGACCGGTGTAGTCGTATGCGGCCGTCTTGCCCGAGCCATCCGTTTCTTTGTCGCGAATGCACAGCGTGAACTGATCGTCGCCTGAGGAGGCCGGCTTCATTGTCGTGGTGCGTGCATTTCCGGCGGCTTGCATCGGCTTGTGGTTGAATTTGAGCGTCCTGAAGCGGGACTGGTCCTGAGAGGGGTTCGTGATGCGCTCGCTCAACTTGAGGGTGTATCGGGCGTTCTGGTGCGGATTAATGGCGACAGGCGCCTCCGCAGGATGGGGCGAAGCCATGACGGGGGCGCGGTCCAGCAGCGGGCGGCGGGCGGCTCAGGGTAGCGCAGCGCGGGAGACTTTGGCGGAGCCGCGGACGTCGAGGCTGGAGGTTGAAGGCGGCGAGGTGATCTGCAGAGTTTTGGGTTTTGTCGGGCAGGCGTGCAGGGTGAGGTGGGCAGGTGAGCTTTGTTCACGGGCGGCGGTCCAGGTCGAGCGCCCTCTCAGCCGCCGATCACGCTTCAGCGCCAGCGGCTGGCGGGTGCGCCCGCCGCTAGCCCGCCCAACAGCCCCACTCTGCTGGCCGACAGGGGAGCTCGCCATTCTTGATCTGCGCATCACTTGCAGCTGCCAATCCGCAGCCAGGGTCCAGCTGGGCTCTTTCCATCATTTTTCTTCTTTCCGGTCTATGTATGTAGCTAAAGGTGATTGATGCACAAACGAAACCCCCACTCCCGCTGAACGAGACCGCGCTGCATCCACAAGCCGGCCGGCCCTTGTGTCTTTGTACCTGAACTCCTATTACCAGCCTCCCAAATCCTTTTTTTTTTCAGGGCTTCGCCTGCTGCTCGTCGCTTTGCTGCAACCTCTCCAATCCTGCCAGCTGGCGCTTCAGAGGGATGATGGCTCCAGCACTGATGTTCCTCAGCCCATCCCGTTTCCCTCCACTGCCCCCCTCACTCCTCCCAATGATGCCCTTCGCGGCTTCAATTGCCTTCTCCAACAGCTTTGGGCCATTTTCCTTACGGTAGAGCCATTGCACATCTTCTTCAAACGGTGCTGGGAGATGTGTGAGGCCGTGCATGATGAATCCGCGTGCACGGAAATACGCCTTCTCTGAATACAATGCCGATGACAGGCTCGTTTCCTCGGTGCCTTGGCGCACTTCGTATCCAGCTTCATCTAAGGCTCGCAGTCAGCCTCCGACTCGTTGCACGCAACCTTCATGGGTAAACTTACTGTAGTAGGGCTCTCTGACGAGGACCAGGCCCATCAACGAAACCAGCACTTGCAGAATCGTGCTCTTTGCCTGACTCCAGTTCTCGTTCCTTTCATCCGCGTGCCACGTGCCTAGTAGACTCAAGCAGATCTTGCCATCCTCGTACAAGTTAGGGTTCACCGGTCCCATTCCACCCGTCCAGCTGTGGAAGAACGCTTCGGGGGGTGATGAAGGAAAGTTTGGGCCAAGATGGAAATCCACTAGGAATGGCGCATACTCGTACGGAGTGTCTTCCGGTCCTACAATCAAGACACGCAAGAGGTCCATTCTAGACTCCCACGTCCGAACCAAAATGCCAGGTGGGAGGGACGACCCGAGAATCTTGTGTTCCTTCTGGATCCGGCGAAGCCGTTGCTGCGTTGGCTCACCCTGGGTAGCTCTGATGAAGTGATGGTCTTGCGGCGGTGCATCTTCCAAGATCTCAAACGCTGCAGGCGCGTCTGGGTAATTGGAAAATGAGAACGGCTCCGAAGTCTTGTTGTCAGATGCACCGTCAGTCGCAGCGGCCGACTGCTCTTGTTTACTTGAAGCAGTCCCTTCAATCGCATGAGCTGATAGCTGCGCTTCGGGAGTTGTTTTCGAAGTATCAACCGCTGCTGCATCCTCCATGGACACGTCGTTGTCCTCTGCCGAGGATTGATCAATCTCATCCTCGTCCTCAGTTGCCCATCCCTCCTCGTCGTCGTTGTCGTCCTCGACTCTGATCCTTCGGCCGTCCGGGTCAGTGTATTCATACCACATATTGAGGTAGTTATCTGCGTCATCGAGTATGCTCTCGTCATCCATATCATCATCATCGTACGCCTCGTCCTCGGACATGCTGTCTCCTAGATGATCATGAGGGATGTTATCAGGATCGAGATCTGCGCTGTACGCAAGAATGACTCCCTCACTCGGGACTTTGATGTCTCGCACTGGATTTGCAGCACCGAGTCGCACAGTGAGTTGCCCATCAAGGCCCAGATCGACAACCTCTCCGAACCAGTCGATGTCGTCCGATAGATTTAGCTCTCCTGCTAATGAGCTCTCGACAGCGATGACGTAGTCACCTCGCCTCCGGTTCAGAGATGCCGTTGTACGTATGTCGTACAGGCTAACCTTCTCTTCTTGGCCCGACGCAATACCAGTTTTGGATCCGGGGAGAAGATCGTTCTCCACGAACTTGATCGTTGCATCCGGGAACCACTTGACCATTGCCATGCGGTCCTTGCCCTCCACGGCCTGGACCACACCGACCCTGGCAGGTTCTATGTACCACTCTCCTTGCTCGTCCGAGCCACCGGTTGCAGCCTCTTTCGGTTTTCTTTCATTGGTGCAAACAACTTCTCCGGGCCAAACCTCATCCTCGTCATCCACGTTAGGGTCCGGGAGCAGCCCGATAGACTCGTCTTCCGTGATGGACAGATCTTGCCATTGAGTGATGACTGTCGTCTTGGTGGTCTGTACGGTGTAAATGTTGGTGTCGTAGCCCAGCGTCTCTACTCTCGGTCTCTTCTTGACATACGGTGCGTACTTTACACAGGCACCGGCGAGATCCTTGAATCGGACCCGTTGGCCGGGGGTGAGTTCAGGCGATGCTCTGATAGCGACAGTAGTCGATGAAGCGGGATTTGGCGCCGACGGCTTTTTCATGTTGTCGTAGATGACCACTTTTCCGCTCTCGAGCTCGTCCAGGCCTAGCTCAATCGGGGGCTCTGATGGGTAGGAGCCGGGCATGGCCAGGGGGCCGCCTAGTCGCCGGCTGAGCCACTGAACAGTGACAGACGTGGTCCGCACGTCGATGACGACGCCGCCCGGTTCAACGTTGGGATTGAATGCCCCAAAAATCCACCGGCCCCTGCGCAAGTTTCCCTTCTTGGTCTTCACGTAATCGCCGACTTCATGTCTCTCCAGCCTTGGATCTACCGGGGTAAGTTCATCGCTATTTTCGGGCACCACAACAGTGCCGTTGCTAAGGCGGAGCGCGATCTCGTCATACGCGTCGTCTATCCTGCCAACCCAGTTGTCGTAGATAATGAGCGCTCCCTCCGGATATTGCCGAATGGTTTCGAGTTCTTCGGCGGGGATCAAGGACCGGGGAGCGTGGGTAGTATCATCGCCAATGAGTTTCTCGTAACTGTGAGCGCGGATGGCGTCGGTTTCTGGCCACATGCGAATGGGCGCTATGGTGACCGCAAGCTTCGTCCCGATAACCGTGCCGCTCATGGGGCTGTTCGCGTCCCGCTTCACCACGTCTCCCACAAAGAAGTTCCTGTCCACAAGTTCCAGCTCTTCTTCCGGAACAAGTTCGGTCGTAAAATCCGTTTGCCATGATACAAGCACTGTCCGGCGCGGAGGCTGTCCGGATGTCAGCAGACCCTTCTCTCGCGCTCCATTCCGGCCGGCCTTACAATTCCATTTCGCAGAAACGCGTCGAATTTCCCTGAAGGTATGGAGCGGTGCTTTACGATTTGAAGGTTGTAGTCGCGCTGGGGGTCGGGCTCGTGTGTGTCCACCTGCGCGCCGTTAGCACGGGAAAAAGCAAGCAGGGTCTGTGGCGACAGGGGCGCATGCGCATGCGCGGAGTCGAGGTCGGAGGCGTGGACGTACATCGTGGTTTGTTCTCTGGTCGCTGTCAGTAAGCCGCCGTGACGGCACGCGGGCGGCTGCCGGGGACTGGGAACTCACATCAACTACTCCGATCAGCCACTGCTTGGCCTTTAGGTGGACGGTGTCCTCGACGCAGATCTGTCTCTTCTCAGCCATGGCTGCGTCGCGTGTTGGGCGCGCAACGTGGTTTACCGTGTGAGCCGGCATGTTGGGAGGTAGGCGGGCGGCGCGGGCCCACGGGATTTGGTGGGCTGCGGCAAACGGAGAGGATGGTGGGGTATCCGGAGGCGACTCCCGCGCGGCGAGGAACGGGGTCTGTCGAGGACGATAGCGTCGCGGGACGTGGGCGCGACTGGCGGAGTCGGCTTGGAGCGCGCAGAGGGCGGAAGCGCGAGGTTGGTTGTAGAGAGATAGTGAGACAGAGAACGGTGTCTTGACCTTACGTCGGCGCGCCCAAGGTCGCACGAGAAATTCCTAATCACATGTAGCGCGCCGGCACCCCGAATCGCGGCAGCTCCGTTCGCGCCGCACCACATCACCACTGCATTCGCCGGCCACCATGGCCGATCCGCTCTACGACCTGCTTGCGCCCTACTTCGACGCCCAGGATGCCCCCGCCAGGCCCGTCCCGTCTCCGTCCGACCCAACCACGCACGCCTACCTCAACCGCCTGGCCACCCTGTCCCTGTCCTCGCTGAGCTCCTCCGAGCCGCAGTCCCTCGCTTACTCGTCCGCCTCTACCGTCCGCAGCCTCCAGGCTCTGTCCAAACGCTCCCACAAGTCCATAATCGCCTCTTCCGCCAGCCTCGGCAGCCTCTCGTCCTCCCTTCCCGAGCTTGCCCGGCACGCCGCCCGCCTCCAGGATGCTCTCCCGGAGCTCGAGTCCGCCAGCGCGCACTTCGAAGAGACCTACAGCCGCTCCAGCGAGAATGCTATCCTCGATCGCCGGCGCAAGGCTATGCTCCTGGCCCGCAACGTGGACCGCGTGGCCGACGTCCTAGAGCTGCCAACCTTGCTGTCATCCGCCATATCATCTTCCGGCGCCGCAGCCCAAGGCGCGGGCAACGCGGCTGCATCGGGGCTGAGCAACGCCAATTACGCATCTGCACTGGACCTTCACGCCCACATCAAGCGGCTGCACGCGCTGTACCCCAACGTCGGCCTGGTGACGGAGATCTCGACGCAGGCGGAGCAGGAGATGAAGGGCATGGCGACTAATTTGATCACCAGTCTCCACAGCCAGGGGATCAAGCTCGCCGGAGCAATGCGGACAATCGGGTGGCTGAGGCGCATAGCCCCAGAGCTCGATCAGGTGTGGAATTACAATCAGAAGAGCACGAGTATAGGCGGCAACGAAGGAGCTCTGGGCGCACTTTTCCTCGTCTGCCGGCTGGCCAACCTGCTCACCACGCTGGAGGCATTGGACCCGCTGCGCGAGTTGGCGGACCAGGAGGCCGCCCGGCGGTCGGATGGTGAGAAGGCCAAGGACAACTGGGCTGGCGGACAGCAGACGGAGCGCTACTTGAAGCGGTACATTGAAATATTCCGTGAGCAGAGCTTCGCAATCATCTCTATGTACAAAAGCATATTTCCGTCCGCCCTGCCGGCACCAGGCTCGGCTGGCGACGACAACACCGAGCTCGGACAAGGCCTCAAATCTCCTACCCGCACGGGAGGAGAAGATGACACATTACAACCATTGCCCTCGGCTTTGGCAACGTTCCCTCAGCATCTCATAGAGCTGCTATCTGAGACATTACGAAAATACCTTCCGAACGTGCATGATCGCGCCTCCAGGGACAGTTTGTTGACGCAGGTGCTGTACTGTGCAGGAAGCCTGGGCCGGTTGGGGGGAGATTTTGGAATGCTGCTTGCATTGCTAGAAGACGGGTCGGATGAGTCCGAGGATGAAGATAATGAAGAAGAATGGGTGGAGGTAATGAAGAAGCATCGCATTCAAGCTAGCAGGCTGGAACTGCTTGCGAGTGGTGTTGGCGCAGGGAGGACTGCCAGTGCCTCGGGTTGAGAAGGAAAAGGCGCCAGCCAGACATAGCATCCCACGTCCGAATGAAAAGCAAGCTCTTCTGATTTGAACAAACTCGATGAACGCCCCTACTCATGCAAGCACGGCACACACACATACACACACCTGCCCGCCTACACACCATTCTCTCCCAAGCTCACACCTGCCATGGCCTTGTCAAGCCTCTCCCCCTTCAACCCGACCTCCGCGCCACCCCGGCGGTGCTTGTCGAACCTCCAGTCGGTGCCCTTCGCGTCCTGCGCCGGCTCCGCCTCGCCGTCGCCCAGCGGGCCCAGGCACTCGCCGACGATGGCCAGGAGCTCCTCCTGCTTCGCCTCGTCGTAGCGACCGTCGAGCTCCTCCATGATGGTGTCCAGCTCGGCCAGCGACTTGGGCCGCAGGTTGAAGATCATGAGCATCTCGGCCTTCTCGATCTCGAAGCCCGCCTCGCGGGCCCGGACGTACAGCGCGCGGATGGTGCTTTCGCGGTACTTGTTGCTGCCGGCGAGCGGCGATGACGCGTCGGTAAGCTGCGCCTCGACCTGTGTGTTGCGTTGGATTCTGGTCAGATGGGTGGGGCGCGCGCATGGAAAATTGGAAAGGGAGGGGCGGAGAGGAGACGGACGTCGATGAGGACGCGGCTCAGGTTGCTGGGCATGGGCCGTGTGCGGCCGCTGCCGTCGCTGCCTTCATATTCGGCCTTTTGTTCGCGGACGATGCTCAGGACCTCCCAGTTGGTGAGGACGGACGACTGTTTCTCGATGACCTTCATGGTGGTCGTAACGTAGCGGAGCCGTTGTCGATTGCCACCAACGTTGTGGAGGTGATGGTAGAAGAAAGGGCGGCTTAAAGAAATTGTTAGGTCAGTCGCTCATTTGGCAGGTGATGACCATATGTAGAAGGAAAGGTACGGTTGGAAGTCCAACGAGACTAAGATGGAAAGAGGGGGACAGGAACTGCGTTTTCTTGATGTGAATAGCATGCCAGATTCCGGAAAACTGAAGATAAAGAACATATCAAGAAATGCGATGGAAGACTGGAGAACCACACCAAAAGAGATTATGTGGTGGATGTTCGGTCGCTGCACAGCTGAGGCCGTGACGTACCACGGAGTCGTAGGCTACACACGCATTCCATCTGCTTACTTTGATCTTCTGGTCTATCGCTTTCTTTCCAGAGCTGCGGTTTGAGAAATGCACAAATACGTGCTGACATTGTTCAAGCTTTCGCTGAAGTCATCAAAAAATCTCTTCGGCTCAACTCCGGATGTTTCTCTGGATAGTAACTACCGGCACTGGCGAGACAACATGTTGTGTCATGGGGATTGTATTCGCGCATAAAATCTCTGCTAATCATACACGTAACAAAAGCATATTCGTCGTACCTCATGTCGATACCGCTAAGCCCAAACGCCCAATGTCCAGCTACCTCTGTCGCCCGCAGCCCTTCCTCCACTACCCAGTGTACTCTGCCTCTTCTGCTCAACTACAGTTGTATGGCCTGTATCCTTGGTTGCTCCGGCAAGACCATGCTGCATGAATCGATCCTTGTCGACTTCCACAATCCCACGGATACGCATCTGCGCCACAATGCTTGCACCCGCCCACGCACCTAACGTTTCGACTCCACGGACTATACCTTCGGGGCCGGGCTGACGCTGCTTCAACCCCAATTCTTGCAGCTTGGCCGTGATAGGGTCGATTTCCTGCGGGAGCTCTGATGCCGGAAAGGGCGTAGCGATACCAGACGAACGTGAAGACGCCCGCTGCGAGGTAGGCGTTTGTGAGCCGGGGGTCTGCTGTGCGCTGTGGTCCTCGTCCTCTTCTTGTTGCCCTGTTGATTCCGCAATGCTGGACTCGCCCGAAGGCTGCAGCGGGAGCGGCGCAAGGGTGTCGATGGTGCTGCTACGGACGTGATGGCTCCGCATCTTCAGCTCCTCCCGTTTCTGCGTTGCGCTGCCGTAGCTACGCACTGGATCCCAACCGCGTTTCTTGACCAGATGTTCGAGCTCAGCGAGTATACGCCGTTTTACTCCGGGCAACTTTGAAGCACCACCGGTAACAATGATGCGCGGCATGCAGAGTTTGCGTGCATCGATGGGTATTGAAAGCAGAGCGTTGTAGGCAAGTAGTGGAATGGGGAGATCATGGTCGTCGATATCGTGTGCAGAACAGTTGCTGGCAAACAAAGCGTTTTCAGACGGTTCGGCAAACCGATTGAAAGGAACTGAGATCGTCATGGGTGGTCCTGCAGAAGGAAAGGGAACTGTGATGGAGGGATTATTGGCCTCATCAGCGGAGCTGTCTTGATCCGCTCCGCTCTTCTTTCTTTTGGCTTCCTCGCGATTCAAACACCAAGCCATGCGCGTTAGAACTTCTTCTGCCTCCTCGAACGTGATCTCTTCTTGAACTTCCGGTGGAGGGTCCTTTTTTGATCTGTGGCATTCCTCGTTCAAGACTTTGGCCATCTCTTCCGTGAGATATTTTCCGGCTCTCACGCTAGTTCTGTGGTGAATCTCACGGTACTCGTACACGGCAGTGACGGTTGTTTCAGACCATCCTAGATCGACGACCAGACCCGATCTCAGACCTGCCGAGACGATGTTCAGGACAGGCACAGAGAGCACGGTGATGCTGATCGCCTGGAGCGTGGTGAAAACCGAGGATAACAGAGCGGACATCAACGGACGTGGAAGCTGAGCGGGTACTGCCACGGTAGCACGGCGTGGCCGATGGTCGAGGAGAAGGTACTGGGCTATGATTTCTCTGACAGCTCGTTCGATCTTGTCCTCCACCAGCCCGAGGTCCGCGTTGCGTAGGTCCATCTTCCACAGCTCATATTCCTCTCCCCAGTCCTGGCCTCGCTTTCTCTTCCGGCGCACACTCTCGTAACCGGGCATCCAGCGGCGAAAATCGCCGACCCTGCGCTGCTCATCGGGTCCAAAGGCTCTAGTGCAGCGCGGCTTGCTCTCCCCAGCGAATCCGGCGCGAAGGAATCGAGAGCCGAATTCGAAGATCAAATGCTCCTCATCGGAGCGAAAACTTGCGGCTGCCGAGGAGCCATAGATGCCTGACAGAGCACGCGCAGACGGGGTAGTTGGTGAAAGCTTCCGTCCCGGGTCAAACTGCAGTGATTGAGGCCGCGTGCGTCCGACAGAAAGCTTCGGGTTTAGAAAATCTTGGGAGCTCATATCGATGCAGTCGGATATGTTGGTTCGCAACAGCTGAACCAGATTAAGGCGATCGAATGCCGCCCGATCGACCTTCGCCGGCCCGATGACGTCGTGCCTCGCTTGAGTGGATGGGAAAAGGTGAGAGGTGCGAGGCCGATGCTGGAGCGAGCGACAAAGACTTGGACGCGAGCGCAGGAGGACGCGCTGGTTGAGGCTTGGCGCGCGCGGGCGATGGGCCGGAACAACGATTTGCCGCGGGCCGCTAGCGCGAGAAAAAGTGCGAGCTGCCGTCGAAAACTGCAGCGCCCGCCAGAGAAAAAGCTGCGACGCGACCAGCAGCATCCGCCTCCGACCTTGCGCCTACGACGGGCATTTTGCAACCCGCACTATTCGCCATGACCCTCTTCATCCTCACCGAAACGAGCGCCGGCTACGCTCTGCTCAAGGCCAAGGACAAGAAGCTGCTGAAGCGCGATGATCTCGCAACAGAAACCGAGACCGCCGAGGGCGCCTGCGGACTGTTAGTATTCTATATACTCCATTGTGCCGAATGCGCATAGACAGTTCCAACCGTATTGACTTGATTTGCGTGTAGGTTCAAGCTCAAGAAGTTTGAGAAGTTCGACAGCGCTGCCACCGCCCTCAACGAGGCCGCTGCCCTGACCGACGGCAAGGTCACACCCATGCTCAGCAGCCTTCTCGACGAGATCAAGGACGAGAAGAAGGCCTCCCTCGCTGTGGCCGACCCCAAGCTGGGCAATGCCATCAACAAGCTCCCGGGCCTGTCTATCACCCCCATTTCGGACGGCTCCACCCAGGATGTCTTCCGCGCCATTCGTCTCCACCTTACCTCTCTGATCCCCGCGCTTAAGCCCGACGATGTTTCCACCATGTCTCTTGGTCTGTCTCATTCGCTATCGCGCCACAAGCTCAAGTTCTCTACCGACAAGGTCGACACTATGATTATCCAGGCCATCTCTCTTCTCGACGATCTGGACAAGGAGCTTAACATCTATGCCATGAGAGTGAAGGAGTGGTATGGCTGGCATTTCCCTGAGATGGCCAAGATCATCAACGATAATGTGGCATATTCGCGTGCTATTTTGGCTATGGGAATGAGATCTAACTGCGTCAACACCGACTTGTCGGATGTCCTGCCCGAGGAGATTGAGGCCTCGCTGAAGGTTGCTGCCGAAGTTTCCATGGGTACCGAGATCACGGACGAGGATCTTGAGAACATCAAAGCTCTCGCCGAGCAGGTCGTTGGCTTCACCGAGTACCGTCAGACCCTCTCCAACTACCTTTCCAGCCGCATGCAGGCCATCGCTCCCAACCTCACTGCGTTGGTTGGTGATCTCGTCGGCGCTCGTCTGATCGCTCATTCCGGCAGCTTGATCAACCTGGCCAAGTCGCCCGGTTCCACCATTCAGATCCTTGGTGCCGAGAAGGCTCTTTTCAGAGCCCTGAAGACCAAGCATGACACGCCCAAGTACGGTCTCATCTACCACGCCTCCCTCATTGGTCAGGCTTCTGGCAAGAACAAGGGCAAGATTGCCCGTATGCTTGCCTCCAAGGCTGCTCTTGGTCTGCGTGTCGATTCCTTGTCCGACTGGGGTGCCAACAGCGAGGGCACCGATGCAGAGCCCACCGAGGAGGAGAAGGCTGCGCTCGGAAACACTGCCCGCATTGCCATCGAGCGCAGGCTGCGTGCCCTTGAGGGCAAGCCCATTCAGTCCAAGGGTACTGCGATCGGTCCCTCTGGCCAGGCCAGCGCACCTAAGTTCGACATCAAGGAAGCCAAGAAGTACAACGCCGACGCTGATGGTCTTACTGGCAACGAGCCGGCCGCGAACGACACGGCCAACGGCATCGAGGTGGTTGACGGTGCATCGGAGTCCGAGAGTGAATCTGAAGACGATGCTCCCAAGTCGAAGGGTGGCGACAAGGCCGCAAAGAAGGCGGAGAAGGAGGCAAAGAAGGCAAGAAAGGCTGAGCGTGCTGCGAAGCGTGAAGCCAAGGAGGCCAAGAAGGCAGCCAAGGAGGCCAAGAAGGCGTCCAAAGACACCACTGAAGGCGCGACCGATCCCAAGAAGAGGAAGCGTGATGATGAAGGAGAGAAGTCGGAGAAGAAGAAGAAGAAGAAGAGCAAGGCCTAAGCGGTTCGCCCCTGGCGGCTCTTTTCCTCTGTTTTCTACCGCAAAAAGTCAATAAGCGTCTTCTCTTCCGGGTCCGAAGCGACGACTCGATGACACCTCTTCCGAAAGACTTAATGGTTTCCGTTTTTCCAGTCTCGTATTCCCTCCTTGGGGGTTGCCGACTTCGAGTCTGCCAGGCGTTCTAGGGGTTTGGGATTGTAAAGTATGGGCGCATGTGAGGTCGGCGGACGTCGAGATCTTGTTTTGGCGTAGGGAATTTTGGTTTCTCATCCCTATACGCCTACTGTGCATAGCATTGGCTGGATACGCATCATCAGTTGCCGCACAAAAAGTATTTCAACATCTTGTTTCGGTGCGATGGTGACAATAACGTGAAACGCACGCATGCGCTGGCCGGGAGGCCTCTCAAGACAACTTGTGACAGCAGATAATGTGCCGAATGGGTGCTTTGCATATTTAGAACTCGGCTGGACGCGCAATGGCGGCCTGTCCAGCTCAACTCACCAAAGCCACCAGCCAGGCTTTTCTTCTCCAGCCCGCAACAGCCGAAGTGAAGCGCCGCAAATGAGCGCCCTCAACAAGCGCCAGAGCGGCACCGGCCGTAGCGTGTCCAAATATCGTCAAGCAAACCTCCTTAGTCGCCGTTTTCGGCTTCCCATTTTTCGATAGTCTCATCATCATCAACGACCACCAGCCGCCACACGGTATACTAGCCAAGGTACTGGTACACAATTCTATGTGCCTTCTCAAATCTGCAGCCACACAATAATATCACCACATAATCTTCAGGCTGGGGACCCTTCCATGCCACCTTTACTGGTCCCTTCGTCCACTCTTTGTCTCTTTCATTTCTTTTTTTTTTTCATCGTGGTTCTGGAGCCGCTCGCCTGGAGCGTCGATGACGTTACATTTGATTCGCTGCGAATGCAACATCGCCAAAGAACCAACATCTGTTACCTGCCTACAGCTGTCGGTACGTGCACACATTGCAGCAGTTGAAGCTGTATTATTCGAGCGGATCGAAGCGAGTTGAGTAAGCTGACCGGCGGCTCTTACAACACCCTGGGCCCGCCACCCCCACTCTTACTACGCAGACCCCCGGGCGTACCTGCGCCGTCAGCCAGCCGCTCGTCCGCATCGACGTACGGTGGGGGCCGAGGGTGTGATATTGCTCGTTGTGCTGTTGTTGTTGTGTGTTGTTGTCGCGCGTGGCTGGCTGTACAGCACGTGCAGCTGGGAGGGGTGCGTACGTACCACGACTGGACGCCGTGGCGGCACAGCTTGTCAGTCAGCTCCGGGGGGGTTTGTTGCGTCGGAAAAGTGTTGTTTCTTTTTTCTCATCGCTTTTTTGCCACGTGCGAGCGCTATCTATCCCGCTAAAATAGGCAATGCACGATAGCGAAAATCAACACTAACGTTGGATTAGCGCGGTGTGCCGTAGGTAGACGACTCCAGACCTTCGCACGCCAGTCGAAAAACAGGTGTTTTCCCCGTGGGTGGTGGTGGTGGCGAGAAAGGATCAAGCGCTGCAGTCCCGAGTCGTCGGCGATGACCGGAACTGTGTGTGTTTGTGTGTATTTGGATTTGTTCGGACGCCAGAACGTTCTCGAACAGACCGTGGCGTGTGGGCAAGGCGGACGAGAAGCAAGTCTGGCTTTGCTGCAGATGATGCGCTGGTTTTTACCGAGAGTTTCGACCAAGTTCACGTGGACTGTTACGAGACTTCGGTAAACGAAGGGTGCGCGTCAATGTGTCAATCAGCATCTCGCCAACATCCTCCTGCTGCGTCATGACTCCGATTCCGCTCTTTGCTCGACGAAATTAGTGTTGGGGGCGACCATTCGGGCAGGGTGACTTACGTCAGAGGGACGGTTCAATTTAGGCGACCTGCAACAAGTTTCAGCATAGAACCGAAACAACGCAGAGGATGGCTGTGGGGAAATTGTCAACCCGCGTCAAAGACAGCCGTTGGGACGCGTGTTTGTGTCTGGAGCCGTCGCCCGAACCAGCGGACAGATTCATGCGGATTGCCGTTTGTTTTGGAGCGGGCGGAACACCGTGCAGGACAATACCAGATGTTGAAGAAAATGTGCGCTGTGGACGCCAAGTGTAATTCTTCTCTGCAATCTAAACTGTCAAAGGAACGTCTTTGAGGTATCAACCGATGCCGAATAAACCAAAACGCCAGCCCTGGGGCCAAAAGCCCTCAGTAAACGCCGTGACGATGCTCTCCTTTTTGTCAATCCCAACCCCATCCAAAAAGCCAAATGCCCAAACCTTTTCCTTTTAACCCCCTAGGATGTTGATTGGTCCGAATGTAGAAGAATGGTGCAAGTCTTGTTGCTTGCCTTCTGGAAGAATGACCAGGTAATGAAGATGTAAAGCGATTCGAGGTGATCAAGGGCATGTCAAGCTTCGCCTCCTCTTCTCGCCAAAGCTCGTCGAGCTGCCAGTACCGAGCACGAATCCGTTCATGTTTCCAGGGCCCCGCATCAGTGCCTTGACATGAGCGCGATCCCGTGCGCCCGGAACTGCGCCGGCGAGAGCAACTTGGCCCCAGCACTGTGCCACCAACTGTTGGAGCAACATCTGCTCTTCCTGGCGCATGCGCTGTTGGCGCTTCGCCATGCGGCTGGGCTTGACGGCGGGGCACTTGCTTTCAGCCCCAAACCTGAGGAAGCCAGATGGTGCGCGCACAGGCTGTGCGCGCTGCTGGAACTTGACGAGTCCGCTGGACATCTGAGAATCGGTGGGTGTTGCATCGTAGTCCGAAACAAGGGCCTCAATCTCGCCGCACTGTTCCATGAGAGCGTGGATGTGCGCGGTAAGCTTCTGGGCAGAGGACTCGAAGGCGGGGGAGGCGCCGGGGTACGACTCCCAGAAGGGATCCGTGTCGATTGCGTAGTGGAGGGCCTCGGCGAAGAAGGGGAGCGAAGGGAGGGTCTGGGCAGGGCTGCCGGCATAGCTGGACTCGTTGGCAAGGTTGAGGGCGGTGAATGTTATGCGAAGGTGCTGCTCGGTTGACAGAGTGGCGGTGACGATGCATGCTGGGAGTTTGTCAGTAGCTGGCCACGGGCGACATGATGGCCTGGTGCATACCGGGACAGCCAATTGACTGGCACCAATCCTCCTCGTCGGCAAGGAAGCATTGCAGCCAGAGGAAGCCGCTGCGGGCGTCGGCAGTGAAGGCCATCTCAAGGTCCTCGGCCTTGGAGCTGCACAGGGCGGCCTCGGCCAGACTCGAGGCGCGGTGGAAAAGCTGGACCACGGGCATGATCAGGGCGTGCAGAATGTCCCGCTGCAGCAGCCATGCAGCCTGGGTCTCGGAAGAGCAGCATGCATGCTCGGCGCACAAGCTAGAATCGCATGCGGTCAGCATCGGGGGCGCGGCGGAGGACGACGGTGCAGGGACACTCACTCGTTGGTCGCATTGACGGCCAGGTAGCTGCGCAGGACCTGGAAGGGTTGCGAGGACTCGAGGCACTGGACGTCCTCAGGGCGGATGCAGAAGGGGGATTGGCCAGCAGTCGACATTTTTGTGGGAATGCAGCGTATCGATAGCGGGTGTGGAGAAGCGGGCGTCCGAGTCAGGTACAGGCGACCAGAGCATTGAAGGGCAGCGCGGGCGACCAAACAGGAGATATATCTGCACAGCAGTGCGAGTGCAGCGGAGGCGGTTGGTTTTGTCTGGGTTGGAAATACGATTCACGCGGCGGTTGCTCCTCTCATTTCGTCATCGGGGCCTTAAATAGCGCAGGGCGGCCAGGAGCCAGGAGGGGTGTGCGCGCGGAAGCCAAGTCGATGCCCACTTGACGTGGCCAGGGGCTCCTTATGAGCGCCTCATCAGCTGAAGCCTCCGCCGGCAACGCTCTCATCAGCAGCCCAGCAGCGCGTCCCGCAAGCCACAGCCCGGGCGCATTGCGGCCGCAAGCTGCAGCGTGGGAGGGCTGCCGCGCGCCTTGACTCGCCCGCCCGCCAGAAAATGCTAAGGGGGGCAGGCACAGGCAGGCACAGGCAGGCACAGGCAGGCACAGGCAGGCACAGGCAGGCACGGGTGATCTGCCAGTGCCTGGCTGGGAGCCGCCCACCGCTCGCGGGCCTCCGAAGCGGGGAGACGACTCGCCATCGCATCCCGCCGCTCGCTGCACCTGCCCGCCCTGCGCCTCGCGTCCCGACCAGCTCACCGGCGCAACCGGCACACCACCGCGCTGCCGGACCTGCATCGCCAGCCGTGAATCGCTCGCCCGCCGACCACAAAAAGCCACCAAGTGGAGGGAGCAACACGAGCCCGTCTCGCCGCGCGCCAGGTCTGGACCGCGTCCTTGTGCCAGAATGCCCACATCGCGCGCTTTCTAGAACGTCGTCCCGCTGGAGACGCCCGCTCGAATTTCCTGCTTTCGCGCTGTAGATCCAGTGCATCTGAGCGTCCGCCCGTCCAATTGCCCGTTGATGCCCGGTCCCGCCTGGCCCTGACGCATGGCGGTCTGGTGGACAGCCACCGCCGCTTCACCGGTCTTCTTCCCCACGGTCTTCTGTGTTGGTCTCTTCACCGAATTGCTCCAATGCCCAATCTCTCCATGGCAGCGTGCTGGAGATAAGCCGGCCCTCTCGGAAACGCTGCAATTTCACCTTATCTGACGTCGACGATGCAATCACCGCTCTCATGATAGGCGCTCATCTTTTGCAAATGACGCCTCCAGAGAGCCAAGCCGAGTCCGCATTCTGCGCCTGCTGATCAACCCCCGATAAGAGTCCCGCCACTGCCAGAAGCCACCACGTGCGGCGACGAAAAGAGCGGACCGCATCCCGCAGAGCCATGCAGTCGGTCGGTCGGACGATACCGGCATGCGCTGCGATCGACTACGCGCAGCAGCAAAGCGCGTGCGCGCGCGCCCGCCTGGAGAGAGACACGGGGCCGCCCGCTCCCCACACAACTCGCGCCCTTTGGAGACAGGCCGGCGGGTATCTTCCAGCGCCTCTCCCCCCAGGTGACCGGCGAACAGCCCACCCAGATGTGACGCTGATGCTTCCCTAATCTCCTCGCACCGATCGCTTCGCCGCAGGGATCCTGCAGTGCTCACACGACGGCTGCCAGGGGATTTGGATGCACGACTGTGTATTCCGAGAGCCTCTTCGCACGTCGCCGAAGGATCAGGAGATTGCTCTCACAGAACAACCACGTCTGCGCAAAAGGGGGCTCGTGACGGAAATACAGCTATAGGCGGACACGACCATACGAAGCGTCCACGCGTTACGGAGAGAATTGACGCCGTAAGCACAGGCGATGCATCCAAAATAGCCACCGTGGCGCATCAACTGCTTGGAAGCGCCGACCTCCACGCCCCGATGACATTCGACAAAGGATCCCCCAGCTGTGCCCTGGCAGGCTGCTGGCCTTTGCAACCGGGGATCAGGTCGCGCTTGGTTGTCCGCCGCGATGCGACTCCTGTTTCACTCGTCCGGAGACATGAGCAATCAATTTGGTGAAATTGTCAAATACGGTGCACTCCGAAAGGCGACGAGGGTCAATGCAGCAATAAATCTTTTTTTTTCATTCATATCGCACCTGGGTCAGCTACTGGTGCTGCCAGTGCGTTGTTGCTTACTGTCGTTTTTCAAAGGGGCCACGGCGGAGTTGACCCACAGCACGAAGGCCACTGCAACGCCGGAAAATGCGCCGTAAGGGTGCGCGAGGATCTAAAAGTACATGCATGCGCGGAGTCAATGTTTTGGGGAAAGGGCACCAAAAGATAATCAAAAGGAAGCATCGAGCAAAATCAAGAACGGATCCAAAGTACGCCCCCACCACCGTTCGCTTTAGGCAACCGCAGATACGCCGTGAGGACAAAGCAGGAACATCGAGATCGAGATGAAGCAAAGCACCTTCGATGACGAAGAGAGATGCCAGCAGAAATGAAATCCATGAAAGAAACTCGGAATCGGGAGGGAGATGTCCCAAGGGGGGAGGAAAGCGATCGTCGGAAAAACGCTTGAAGGTTACATCTCCATGGCGGTGTCGGCCGTTTGCATGTGGGCCGTCTGGAGCGTAGGCGCGTCGATGCTCATGTCGGTGTCGTTACTTGCCGGCATCGCGACTGGGGAAGCGTCGCGCGCATTGACCACATCGCTCTCGTAGGCGATTGGATGTTGGGTGAGGTTGCGAACGACGCCTTCGAGCGTTGTGCTCACCAATCTGCAGGTGCGCAGGTCCTGGCTGAACATGAAGAACTTCTCCTTGTCATCGGAGACGTCGCGCGCGTGCACGAGGAAGGCATCGTGAGCTTCGCTCTCGTGGAGGACCTGCGGGCATGACAGAGGGTAGTGCCTGCTGATGAACTTGGCCCAGCCGCGCGCGCCATCCTTCTTTTCCGGATTGAACACGATCTCCTTCCAGCCAATTCCGAGAGCCATGGTCAGGTCTTGGATGGTGTGGCCGAAGTCGTCGATGGGCATGGTGGTGGCCTTGTATGCCAGGGAGGATGAATCCACGCCCATGGTAGTGGACGAAGGGACGGCGGGCTTGGCCACAGCGGGAGGGCTGCCAGAGGCGCGATCCACGATCGCGGTACGCTGAGACTTGCGCGACACGGCGATTGGCTTCTCCTTTGGCTTGTTGGCTTCGTAGACCTCGTTCTTGCTCTCGGCCCAGGTGCCCGTCTGGGATTCGGCGGCGATGGCGAAGCCGGGCTCGCCCGGGTATATGAGAGTCATGCCAGGGCCCATGATGGGCTCAGGCTTCGGCTTCGCGATGATCTTCGAGCCGTCTGCAGGTGCTTCATCGACGTCGGCGTCGTCCAGCGAGCGCTTGCGGCCCGCAATGGCGTTGGAGGGAGCGGCTTGGTAGTTGAGCGACGGCGGCGTAGGGTACTTTGGAGCGCGTCCGGGCAAAGTGGACGAAGCGGTGGAGGCATGGGCAGAGTAGCGCGGCGCGTTGAGGCGCTGCTCGAAGTTGTACTGCTGGGGCGGCAGCACAACCGTGGGCGACGATGCATAGTAGTTGAGACCCATGATGCTGTTTGTTTAGTAGGACAAGCAAAGTGAGAAGAGAAATTGGGATACGATAGAGATGACGGCTGTTCAGCGTGAGCACACGCGACGTCAGCTTGGCGCGCGCGAAGCGGGTGACGCGGTAGGACGGGCGCGCAGGTGGTTGTGGGCGGCGACGATGAGCTGGTTAAAGCTCGGCGCGACGGAGGTGATGAAGGAGGATGGAGTAGATGGTATGGAGTGAGGTAGAGGGCGGATGGTATGAGGAAGGACGATGAAGGGCGCGCGACTATGGGGAGCGCGTCGTGGGTGTGCAAGCTGAGAAGTGAGATGCGGAAGAAATGGACTGAGACGGGGACCAGAGTGCCTTTTGAACATGCAGCAAGAGCAACCAGATGATCGCGAATCAGAGTGCATGGAGAGAGGAGGCTGGCGTCACGTGAATTCCTGAGAGGGCTCCCATGGAGAACAGCAAATCAGGCAGGACGTTTTTGCCAAGAGATGCTCCTTCCCTAGCCGCATCTGGTAGGCTATACCATTTCTGTAACGTCGGCGCCTGCGCCGTTACTGATGGCGTGCTCGCGAAACGCAGCAAAACATACAATACGGAACGGACTTTTGCCTCAGAATCGGTGGTCAAAGTTGCCGGAAAAGCCCCAGGTGGGGCCAGGCGCTCACACGGGCGCAATTCCGGACCGGGTGGATGGTCAGGTCGTGCAGATGGCGCATATTTACATGGGTCGCTGCAGGGTGACGCTGTCGGGCGCGTAACGCCGTGCCGCCGCGCCCGGTTTACGGCTGACGGAAAAGGTGGAGCGAGTGGTAAAAGGGGTCCTTTCAAAACAGGTTCAGCGGGTCGAAATTTGCGTTATGCATCCGGCGGCGCCGCTCGGAGGGCCCTTGCTCATGCGCCGATTGCGGCCTAGCCGTGTCTCACAGTTGGACCAGGGCTGCAAGGATCCGACATTGATCCGCTCACGTGCGCACACGGCGAGAAAAGCGGTCTGAGCGCCCGTCCCTCGCCCGTCTCTCCGCTTCGGAATGTCGGCGCGTCGGCTTGGCGTGTTTGCCCGTGTTTGACGCCGCGGGCGTAGCTGTCGGAAAGGAAAATAGTCGCGCCAGGACGCGCTTTGGGCATTTTGGTGGAAGGCCCGCGAAAGCCAGCATCCCGCAGAGCGCCATAGCCCCTCACTCTCCGCATCAACAACCCAGACAGCCTCGACACAGCCCTTCAAGATGCAGGCACCCGTGGTTGTTATGAGTAAGCTTGCTCCCAATTTTTCCCCTGGCTCCAGCTAATCCCCGCTCCCCCAGACACCCAGACCGGGGGGGAGAGGCAGTTTGGCCGCAAGGCACAGCTCTCCAACATCACGGCCGCGAAGACGTGAGTACGCGCCCTGCTATGTACCGATGCGCCCCGCTTACCCCCGTGCAGTGTCGCCGACATCATTCGGTCATGTCTGGGCCCCAAGGCCATGCTGAAGATGCTGCTCGACCCCATGGGCGGCATCGTCCTGACCAACGACGGCCACGCCATCCTGCGAGAGATTGAGGTCGCTCACCCTGCCGCGAAGAGCATGATCGAGCTCAGCAGAACACAAGATGAGGAGGTCGGCGACGGTACCACCAGCGTCATCATTCTCGGTACGTCCCACGCCCCAGCCAGGCCGCGGAGCTGCAATTGACATCTGGTACAGCGGGTGAAATGCTGGCTCAGTCCCTGCCCCAGCTGGAGCGCAACATCCACCCCGTCACTATAATATCCGCCTTCAAGCGCGCCCTCACGGATGCCATCTCCATCATCGAAGAAATCTCGATACCCGTCGACATCAACGATGACAAGGCCATGTACTCCCTGATCTCCTCCTCGATCGGTACCAAGTTCGTCTCGCGGTGGTCCGAGTTGATGTGCAACCTTGCCCTGAAGGCGGTGCGGACGGTTTCTCTTGATGTCGGAGGCGACAAGAGGGAGGTTGACATCAAGCGGTACGCCAGAGTGGAGAAGATACCCGGTGGAGAAATCGAGGATTGCAAGGTTCTGGACGGCGTCATGCTCAACAAGGACATCACCCACCCCAAGATGAGGAGGCGCATCGAGAACCCCCGGGTGGTCCTGCTCGACTGCACCCTGGAGTACAAGAAGGGCGAGTCCCAGACGAACATTGAAATCAGCAAGGAGGAGGACTGGAACAGGATATTGCAGATCGAGGAAGAGCAGGTCAAGGCCATGTGCGATGCCATTATCGCTGTCAAGCCCGACTTGGTCATCACCGAGAAGGGTGTTTCTGGTAAGCATTGCCGATTGACTCCCTCCAGAAGCTGCTTCTAACTTTCCCAAGACCTTGCCCAGCACTACCTCGTTAAGAACAACATCACGGCCCTGCGCCGTGTCCGCAAGACGGATAACAACCGTATTGCTCGCGCTACGGGCGCTACTATCGTCAACTCCCCCCAGTCTCTCACTGAGGCAGACGTTGGCACCAAGTGCGGTCTCTTTGAAATCTCCAAGATTGGTGATGAGTACTTCACCTTCCTCACTCAGTGCGAGGATCCCAAGGCCTGCACCATCCTGCTTCGCGGTCCTTCGAAGGATATCCTGAACGAGATTGAGAGGAACCTCCAAGATGCCATGGGCGTCGCGCGGAACGTCATCTGGAAGGCTCGCCTCTGCCCTGGCGGTGGCGCTACGGAAATGGCGGTTGCCGTTGGACTTGAGAAAAAGGCCAAGTCTGTCGAGGGCGTTGCTCAGTGGCCGTACCGCGCCGTCGCCGAGGCTATGGAGGTCATCCCCCGCACCCTCATCCAGAACGCTGGCTCCTCTCCCATCAGGGTTCTTACTCAGCTGCGTGCCAAGCACGCTGAGTCTGACGCCGGCAGCAGCTGGGGTATCGATGGCGATGCCGGCAAGCTGGTCGACATGAAGGAGTACGGCGTTTGGGAGCCCATGGCTGTCAAGGAGCAGAGCATCAAGACCGCCATTGAGAGCGCTTGTCTCTTGCTCCGCGTCGACGACATTGTCGCCGCGAAGGCCGCGAAGATGCCTGGCGGCCCCGTTGGCGGTGGTGATGAGTAAACGGACAAGATGATGCAAGATGCAATGTATAAAAATTAGAAGCGGGCGGGTTAAGAATCGGACGGAATGAGAAAACAAAAGCAACTAATGTAGCATAGAGAGACCCCAAGCATCCAACCAGAGTTTGCGCGTCTCTGGTGCGAAGCACTGTGTATCAGTGCAATCAGTAGCACAAGAACTGCGACCACCTTGTTAGGCTGGTCGACCCTGTCTTCGAAATTTAGTCCAATGTCCGCCATCAACAAAGTGTGATCGTGAACTTTCTTTGTAGGATGAACGATTGCCTGATACGCTCCTCCCCCAAATGAGACTGTCAAAGCAACTATACAAAAGAAAGAAAACGATAGCAGACGTTCCCTGCCATAAGAAAAAAAAAATTGGCCGGTTGTAAGCACGGAGATTGAGATTCATGCCCCCTCCTTTCCTACTGAATTGATCGCCATGCTTGTAATCTTTAGTTACCTGATGCTCGTGCACTGATTGTGCTTAACGGTTATCTAAAGTTTGCCTGTATGCTTAGCATTATCTACAACACTTTCGTTGTGATTCCAAATGCATAAATACGAATACAAGCACGAATAGTAGTAGTTAATATGTGCAAAACATTAACATTAAAGATTGACTCATAAGTATCGTCTAGCTTAATCTAAAAGATCGAATTCGGCATCATCGATCGCTTTATCTATGCATACACCTTTGCGTGCATCTAACGATGATACTTCTCAACAAAGATCACCATATCAAGCATGTAGCAATCCATCCACAGAGACTGAGGACATATCTCGTGCTCGTGGCGGTGCTACCAAGACCTTTCAAAGCGAGGTTCTCACTGATTACGCATCTGTCCAATACTGTTTTTTTGACTTTAACCTTCCTTGTTGAGCTTGACGGAACCCTGCTCAGCAGCGTCTTCGGTTGTGCTGCTACCAGAGACGGAGCCGCCATGGTGGAGCTGCTTGGCGGCGGCGGTATTCTCCAGCCTCTCGGACATGAAGATCAGATCAACTTCCTCGAGCGTGCGGCCACGGGTCTCGGGGCAGCAGAAGTAGACTAGCGGACCGTATTGTTAGCATATGAGCATATGACACTGTCGAGCGAGGTATGTTGATGTAATTGGTGCAAATGGTGTTGAGACAATTGTCTGAAACTACAAAAAGAGTGAAGGGAATGTGAGACGCGAGCAAAAGGCTTACCATAAGGGCCAGCAATGGCGTTGAACACCAGGAACCAGATCCACGTCTTCCAGCCCACGGTCACATCCGCGATAGCGATGGGTCCGGCGAAGGTGGTCAGGAATGCCGAGAGCCATTGCGCGCTGACGGCAAGAGAGAAGCCAATGTGGCGGTATCGGAGGGGCATGATCTCTGAGCTGTACACATACGGGACAGGACCTGTAGTTCATCACCGAGTCAGCTTTCTGAGATGTGAAAGTGTTTGTGTTCGTGTTATGGCTTACCCCATGTCGGCCCAAAAACAGCGATCCAACAGAACAGCATGGCTGCCGCAGCGGCTCCCGTCTTTGCACCTGGACTCGACATCAAGCCTGTGAATGTTGCGAAGAAGATTGTCTGGCCAATCGCGCCGACGATGAGCCATGTGCGACGGCCCAGCTTCTCCATGAACGTTACGCCCAGAAAGTTGGTGATTGTGAGTACAGTGGTGGCAACCGCGGAAAGCGCAGACGCTGTCACAGCCGGTAGTCCAATGTAGCTGCGAGTTGTTAGAGAACCAGCCTTCATTGTAACAAAGCAAAAAGACTTACGTTTGGAAGATTGTCGTCATGTAGTAGTAGACCATGTCAGTACCGATCATGTAGCCGATGCCAACGAGGATGACGCCGGTGCGAATACGGCGTGCAGCCTGCAGATCCGAAGTATCCCAGAAGAAGTCCTTGAGACGGAGCGAGGCAGTGGCAACTTTCTCCAGCTCAATCGAGGCTAGGATGTCCTTCCTGGACTGCTGGACCTCGGAGTCGGTCAACGCCTTCTCGTACAGACGCTCGAGGGTGGCGTCGCCCTGTTCGTTTCTTCCCTTGGCGTAGTAGTAGCGAGGAGTGTCCGGGGTCGGCCAGAGGAAGGCCACGGTGAGGAGCGACCACATGATCTGGAGAGCAACAGGGAATCGCCAGACCACCTGGCCGACGGTGAAAGTCATTCCAAAGTCACTGTAACAATGTCAGAGCTCATTGGGTCAATCCCGAGAAGTGATGAAAGCACTCACACCCAGTAAGCAAGCGCAATGCCAGCGGCCGCAGAGCAAATCATGAGGTTGACGGACGCTCCGCGGACATCGACACTGATGGCCATCTCTGCAACATAAACAGGAATCATGGACGTGCAAAATCCATTGCCAACGCCCTATCGCTGCGTGAGTCTGGGCTGCGGAACTAAATGCACTTCACACTTACAATCAACACGCGGCCGGCAATCAATTGGCCGTAGCTGTAGCTGGTTGCGCTGATGATGGAACCAATGATCTGTACGGCTTCGCCGGCAATGACCCAACTTCGTCTACCCATCTTCATTCCGAAGACTGAGACAATGATGCAGCCCAGCCATGATGCCAGGAGGAAGACTGAAGTGACCATGGAGATAATGGTCGTGTTGGGGTACTATGTACCGTCAGTGAGGTGAAGTCGAGGGGGTGTTGCAAGAAGTGGCATACGCCAATGGCCTCCTGGAAGTCTGGGGTGAGGAGGACACCTCCCAGAACACCGGCATCCCATCCAAAGGTGATGAAGCCGAGGCTGCCTGCAGTGACAGCAGTCCGGTAGAGGGATTTGCCTTGAAGCACCATATTGACGACTCTGGAGGGCAAAAGCAAAGGCAATTGAGATGGGGTCTCGGGTGAAAAGCAGCACAGCGGACGCAGAGCTGAGCAGCAGGCAGAGCGAGGGATCTAGATATCAGGCATGGGAGAGCACTATGGGCGGGACCAGCCAGCCGTCGTCCCCGACGTGGCTAGGCCAGAAGAGGCGGGCCACAGGATGCATCATGAGGAATTTTCCAAGCTTCACGCATGTGTAGAGGCAAGATTTCCGCTGTTCTGTTCACTGACTCCCGGTCTTGATACCGAGTCTGCAGGATGAGTAGAAGGCGGCTAGCTCTATCACACAATCTGCATCCAGAAGCGTCGGCGGGAAATAAACGTGGGCCAAGCTTCTGGCTATCCACGCGGCAAACGTGGCAGGCCGCGTGCTAGACCCTGGCGAGCGGCATCCTTCGAGGAAGCGAGCGAGCATATCGAGCAAGGGCAGTGTCGCCGAGATGCAGTGAGTTGCATGTCAGCCCACGTCCACAGCAGACGGCACAGGAGGGGCAGCCTGCATGACGCCCATCGTCATTTGGAGCTTGGGTCTAGCTATTCAATGCCGGAGCCGAATGCGGCAGACTCGGGCGAAGAGGTTCCCAAGCGGAGTGCTGGATCGGGGGTGGATGGGCAGAGCTGCAGAGCGAGACGGAGGCGATGGGCCGGGTATCCTGGGCATAGCAATCACGGGCGGTGGCGGATTCGCAAGGAGGGGCTCTCCTGGAGGGCATTTGGAGGCGTACGGGGCGGAAGAGAGCCGCGGCTCCCCGGTGGTCCGGCCGTCGATGCATGGTCGTGGTGGAGTGCAGGGTATGGCTGTTGGCGCGGTGGGTGAAGTGGGTGCGGCACAAGCGAGCAACGGCGGCCGTCTGAAGGCCGCCGATCGTGCCTGCCTGGCCAGCCCGGCTCCTGCCCCCCGGGTCCCAGCCGGCGCTGCCTACTCTTCTCGGCCTGCCCGCCGTGGAGATCTTGCGGCACAGCGCGCCTCTCAATTCCACGCCGCACTGTCGCTGCCCTCGCCGCACGCGCCTGCCGCTGCCTGCTGCTGCTGCCTGCCGCAGTGCCGCAGCCCGTCGTTGCCTGGTCGCTGCCTGAGTCGTGCGCGCGCGCGCTCCACTTCTTCTTCTGGCCCATTTCTGCATCCTTCGCAAGCCGCTGCCTCTTGGCCGCCGCTCCAATGCCGCGTGGCACGCCAGCTACGTAGTACGGGCTTCAATCGCCCGACGCTGGCCTGGGCCTCCTCCAATTTTACCTTCAGGAGCCATGCGTGGACCGTGGATCGCTATTCGCCAGGAGTGCTCCCTACAAGAGCTCCAACTCTTTTTATGTCCCGCGGCGCCCAGCACCTGTGCCGTTCGACAACGAAGGCTTCGCTCTGATCACAATGGCGATTCTCTTGACTCTCGTTTTCGCTGCCGTCGCCTACATCGCCTTCAAGGTGCTGCACCAAATCGTCTACTACCGCTTCCTGCATCCTCTGGCCAAGTTCCCCGGCAACTTCTGGGGAAGTGTCACCCGCCTGTGGATCACCTACCACAATGTCAAGGAGGATGAGTGCCAGACTTTCAGAGAGCTTCACAAGGAACATGGTAAGCCCGGGCAGCTTCGTTGCTTGAGAAGTGACTGGCACTGACAGCTTACCCCCAGGACCGGTTATCCGCATCACCCCCACCATGCTCCTCGTGAGCGACGCCACCAAGCTTCCCGAAATCTACCACCGCAATGCAAACAAGTCGCAGCACTACATCACCGGCAGCTTCGGCAAGACCGAGTCGCTGTTCAACATGCAAGATCAAAAGCAGCACTCCTACTTCCGCAAGATTGCCGCCCCGTTGTACAGCTTCACCAACATCAAGAAGATGGAGCCATTGATCGATGCACGCATGAAGGAATGGGTGAGCAAGATTGACCGAACCTTTGCCAGGACGGGCGACAAGTTCGACTTTGCGCCCTGGGCTGTCTACATGGCGTACGACATCATATCCGAGGTCGGCTTCGGCGCCCCCTTCGGCTTCATCGAGCAAGGCAAGGATGTCGAGGGCCTGATCCAGGGTTTCCACGATGGTCTTGTTCCGTTTGGTATCATGGCACGCTGCTATCCCTTTACCAACTGGGTCAAGAGCACGTGGTTTGGCGACAAGTACCTGGTTGCACGCCCCGAGCACGACTCTGGCATTGGCACGTTGATGAGGTTCCGTGACAAGCTCATTGCCCAGCGCTACAAGGACATTGAGGCAGGAAACACTTCGGGCAGAGCCGATTTGCTTCAGACGTAAGTGATACTCGTCGGTGCTTTTTGGCTGCTTTTTCTGACTCGTTGCAGGTTCATTGATGCTCGCGACGACGAGGGTGAGCCGCTGGACCTTGACTACATCAAGGCCGAGATTCTCCTGGTGCTTCTTGCCGGTGCGGACACGACCGGAACTGCCTTCCAAGCGATGATGGTGCACATCATGTCGAACCCGGATGTGTACGACAAGCTCATGCTTGAACTGGACTCTGTCACGCGCGCCGGTAAGCTGTCGGAGATGCCTCAGTACATGGAGGTTCTCGAGCACTGCCCGTACTATGTTGCTTGCGTCAAGGAGAGCATGCGTCTCAACCCGTCAGCACCGAACATTTTCCCGCGTCTCGCGCCCAAGGGCGGAATGGAGCTTTACGGCCAGTACGTCCCGGAGGGCACCGAACTGACCTGCAACCCGTGGCTCGTCCACCGCGACCCGAAGATTTACGGCGAGGACGCGGACGTGTTCCGGCCGGAGCGGTGGCTGGAGAGCGAGGAAAAGGCGAAGGAGTTCAACAAGTACAACATGGCTTTCGGATACGGGGCGCGCGTCTGCCTGGGCCGGGAGATTGCGAACATGGAGCTGTTCAAGGCGCCTCTGCAGTTCTTCCGCACGTTTAAGCCGACCATCCTCAATCCCAAGGAGCCGGGCAAGTACCTCGTCAAGGGCGGAGTCAGTTATTTCACCGACATGTGGATCACGATTGACAGGAGGGCGCCGGCGGTGTAAGAGGTGAAGGAGGGCGTGTTGACTTCTGATGTGCATATTTGGGTATAGTAGATGGTTTATTGTGCGGTGCGATCAAATGCCATGGTCTATTCTGTTTGTTCAGCAATTGTTCTTCACATGTGTCTTGTCTGGCCACTGCCAGGTGGTGTTCAGGCCGTCGACAAAGGTTGGCGGCCCGCCACCGACACTTGGCCTTCCATGTCTGTCTGCAGCGAGTCTTCGCGGTGGGAATCGAAGGATTGGCGAAAACGGAGGACAAGAGCCACGCAACAAGCGAAGTGCTCGGGGGAAGAGGGCCTCGTATGCCAAAGGGGCAGGTGCATGGAGGGTCGGAAAGCAATAAAGCCCGAGCTCCTATAGCTTCGAGGTGCTTTGCACATCTCTCTCAGCCACCGGCACCTATTCACCTGCATGTCACCTGAGACATGAATCGTGATTGCCGCAGCGTTGAGCATCTGTCAAGATGCAATAATCGCTGTCCCCTGCGAACCCGGAGGAGCGGTCACGTCTGAATCAAGCTGCATGAGATTCGAGTCAGCTGCAGAGGCGGTTCCGATGGAGCTCGCAACGTCGATGAAGCGCAGTTCGGCCGAAGGCCCACAGCTTCCAGACTGCGTGTTGGCTTGAAGAGGATATTTTGCGCACTGGCGGTGGGGTGTTCGTCGAGCCGAGGGACGAGCAACGGCCTTTTGCAACCGAGTGGCCCAGCTGGCATGCAGGATGACGGTTTTGTCACGGTTTGAGATTTGCATGTTGCCTGACGTGCCCACAGCCCCGCTCCCCTGAGCGGCGCAGCAGGCGTGAGGCGGCGAGGAGATTGTGGCAGACGGTCGCGAAGGCACAAGGGTTCTACGCCGCAATGGGAGTCCACAATTCGATGCCCGGAATCGGCCATTGAGGGTGAGGGTTTTCGACAGGTCGTCATCGGTGCCGCATTGCCCCACCGCCCGAGGACCGGGGGCGAGGCGGCGCGAGTCAGGCACGGCGGCTGCAGTGCCCGCGAGCCCGCCGGTGTTCTCGCGGCTCCAGCGCTTGATCTGCAGCGCCGTTGGCTCGCTTAAAATATCTTCTGAGAGACAGGACGCAGACAAGCTCCGCCCGTCCTGCCGAAGCCCCGAGATGCGCTGGTGCAATAATAATCAAGCACTGTGCTGTGTGCGCATTGCCCCGCCTGATTGACGCGCCTCAAGCGCCACCTTGCCCGAGCGAACGGCAGGTCTCTTGTTGCGAGTCTGAGGAGGGGCTGGATGCCGCCAAGCCACCCCAGAACAAGCCACCCGGCTGCCGGGCCCGCGCCGTTGAAACGCATCGGCGACGACACCTCATCCTTGGCCGTGGCACATGCAGCCTGTCGACGCAGGAACAGCCCGGGGAGCTGCAATTCGCGCCACGGCCGTGGTACTCAGCAACTGCAGATCATCCAGTCCAGTGCAGGTGGCAGTGTCTTTTTCTCATCAATTGCACGTCTAGCACGTCTACACAGCACGACGCGCGAGCGAAAGGGATGCAGGGCGCGCCTGCCGCAACAGCGCCCTCCGCCCCCATCCTGCCCCCATCCTGCCCCATGCAATGGACCGATTTTCACCTCCACAACACCCCTCGCCGCACACGCACACGCACACATCACTCCCACCAATCGCCTGACACGCCCAGGGACGCCCAGGGACGCCCAGGGACGCCGCGCACAGACTCCCCTCTGCTCGAGCCTCACCCCGAGCCTCCTCCGCCGCCGGCTCCCCGTCCGTCCAAGCTCCCGTCTCCCGCAGCGCACACGCCGCCTGCTTCGCCCTGTCACCCCTCCAGCTAACCTGTTTCCAATCCCCTGACCCTTCCGCAGCACATCGCGGATTCCGCCAGCGCCTTAGCCGAACGTCTGTGCCCTCGCTGCGCTACGTCTCGCGATGTTAATGGCATCGTCCCTTATCCGTACAAGCGGCGGACCAGCTGCACAATACAGGCAATCAGCCAAACGAGTGCGGTATAATCGGCCCAAGCGCGAGCGGGAGATCGGATGAAGAAAAAGAAGCCTTCCCCTCCAAGACAGAGATCAGTGGAGCGCCTTAATCAAGGCCAAACAAACATCTCCCGCGATAGGGCAACCCATCACCATGATCTGCAGCTCAAGCACGCGTCATCCGGCGGGAGACGATCGAAACGTCCTGATCGTCAATATTGGTTCTGACTTGATGTAGAAGTAGTCTTACGTTGCCTGTTGGACTTTCTCGTTGCCCTGATATCTTGCCCGACGTGAGCGGCCGTGCTGGACCGGCATCCGCGTTCCAGATCTTCATCTTGGCAGGAGCAAGTCGGCGCATCTCGCGCTTCCCCCAGCCTCTTTCCCCCCTTCTTTCGCCCCATCCCAATGATGATGATTCTCCTCCATCTTGGGCAGTGCGGGATTCGGCGTCCCCGTAGGATCCGGATTTTCATCCAATGAAAGAATCTAGACCAAACGATGGACAACAAGAACAAGAGGGAATGAAAAGGCCCGAGTTGCTCTTTTGCGCCTGCCATATGGAAATTCTGATCTCGATAGCAATAGTGACAGCTCGCTGGCCGGTTTCCTTGCTTTTTCCTTCACTCATTCTTCCATCGCGTTCGTCTTGCCGTCTTCCTCATCCCTGCTCGCCACGCGAGCCCGTTGTTACTAATAGCATGCAAGCCAAGGGTCACACAGAAACGGTCCTGTCGGTACCCGTGGTGCCCTTCGGAGACAGTTGTACTTTGCAGCGGCTGCGGAGATGATGAGCCCGCAAGCACAGCCAGCACCCTTCCGCTGCCGAAGGCTAGCGTGTTGTTGCTTTTCTGTGCAACAATGGGATTCTAGCCTATCACCTCATGAGAATCCCCTGTCTTGGGGACATGAAATCTTAAACGCTACCGGTCGGCTGCAGTACCCCTCCGTAACAGCGAGAGAAGGAACAAACGAAATAAGCAAAGAATGAGGCGGAGGCCCGGACACGTGGTGGTCCACCAACTATAGCCTGGCAGCGGTTGGTGCCTTCAGATTAGCAGACACAATCGTCGCCCGCTATTTACTATTCACTTGCTGCGTCCGCACGATGCTATTTGCTGGGTACATGCTAGCAGGACGCGAGTCGCCGCCACCCGGCCCCCTCGCGGGACCGGCAGTGCTGCTCTCCTATCGACGACTGCAGCCTGTGATGTGACGAGAAAAAAAAAACATATTGTGAAAAGGCAAGGAAGAGGTTAGAAAATCACAATTTAGATGATGGAAAAGCCCTAGTAGGTATTCCTGCAAGCCCACCTCCCCTCCCCCAATGACCTGCTCGACGGGAAATCTACGGGTTGGCAAGGGGGGAAGCCCGGGGGGGACCCATGGGCGCGAACACACAAACGAAAAGTCGTTGGTTGGCCAGAAGGATCTCGGCCAAAGGAACGTCCGACTTTCGGTCCGTCTGCTCGATCCCACCTTCATTACGGCGACAACCGTTCTGTTATGTGTTGTTGTTGTTGCTGCTGTTCTTCGCGCGCGCGTGCGTTCGCCCTGTTGTTTCCTTTCCATCCATCCATCCATCCAGCACGCACGCACGCACGCACGCACGCCCGCACCCACCGCCTACTACTTTCTCGCTAGGCAAAAGTGACGGAAATACCGAGATATCGCATGGATTTTTCTGCCTTCTTCTTTTTCTTTTTTTTTTCTTTTCCCCTGATGGGATTGGGATGGATCAGATCCTTGTCTTCGACATACGTAATACCACATGCATACACGCACACATTAGTTGTGCCAGCTGCAAGCCTCTCTGCCTGAGGCCCAGGCCTCCCCTCCCCTCCCCTTCCCGCCGGGTCTCCCGTTCGTCGCCCGCCCGCCGGAACGCTTTCGCGGCGTCCGCGCAGCAGCGGCCCCCCTCCCACCCGGTTGCTTCTCGGTGTTCATGGTACTGGTGTTGGTGGCGCTGCTGCTGCTGCTGCTGCTGCCATATCATTGCTGTTGCAAGCTGCTGGACGCCTGATGGCTGACGCCTGCATAGCTTGGGGGGGATTGGGAAAGGGACCGGTTCTTCGGCTGGGAAGGGACGAGACGGCGAGTGTTTCTCTCTCTCTCTCTCTCTCACCCTTGCTTTCAATCATAGTTCGTGCAGGTATCTCGTGTTCTATTCTTTCACCCTTCGTGATGACATGCATTAAGTGTGTCAGAAATGGCGGCATAGCCTACTCGCTGCCGTTATTTGTTATGCTATGTATGCTCCCTTGAGCAACCTATCTCCCTTTGGCGTCATTAATAAAGCTGTTCCCGTGGTTTTTTTTGGTTCCGCTGCGCCCGTGACGCCACGTGAGGTTCGAAAAGGAGGCTACGAGATAATCATCCCCAGCTTCTGGCCGCGCCCCCCCACATTAATGTGTTCAAGTAAAAGGAGGGAAAAGGGAAGAGGGGTTATGCACGGGGATGGTGAAAGTGTCGTTCCCGAGGCGCCATAGATATAGGGTTTCTGGAATTTGGAGAAAAGAAGGAACTGAAAGGGGAATCATACAAAGGAGAGAGAGAGAAAAAGAAGCAACCAAAGAAAGTTACAATCCCATGTCCATAGTCCCATCCCTTCTGCCTACTTGGCCGTTCCCATTGCGCCATCGCAAAGCGCCGCAAAAAGACCGCCGCCGGTTTGGTTCTTGTGAACCGTTCCCAGACATGAACACGCCATGCTTACACCTTGCCCTGACCCTGCACCGGCGTCGCCGTATCGTACAAGCTGTCGTGGCTGCTCGTCCGGGTGGCGGAGCCAGGCTCGTACTGGGTGACGATCTGTGTGCGGACACCAATGCGGCCATCAGGCAGTGTGAGAGCCTCCTCACTGCTGTTTGACGCGGCTTCTTGTTCGATGCGTGTCTGGATGCCGCCGCTCTTGACGTCGCGGAAGGTTTCCTTGGGGTTGATTTCGTCGCGGTTGAGGCTGCGCAGATTGACCGAGTGTGACTGACTGGCTCCGTGGCTCATCTTCTGAAAGGCACCCTGGGAGAACTTGGAGTTGTGCTTGGCTCCCGACGGGTAGCGCTGCGACTCGTAGTAGCTGCCGAGAAGGCGCGGGGCGTACTTCTTGGCGATGACCTTGAACGAAGGGATTGAAGCGGCAGCGATGCCGACATTGGTCTCAATGACGGACCAATACATGGCGCCTGAGATAGCCCAGGTCTGGTCGGCAGACGTGAGCATCTGCGGAATGTAGGTGATGCGGATGATGGAAGAGATGCAGGCACTAGGAAAGGGTTAGACAGTCTCGACATGATTATTTCAAGTAACTTACAAGAGACCCAAGCTGAGCATGACACCGAGACCGATCTTCTGGTTCTGGGGGATCTGCAGGTGCAGGACCGTCTTTATGGGTAGTGTATATGTCATCACATCCGTAGATATGTTGACGGCGGCATTCGCAAGGTAGAAGGCGTTGATGTCGATGCATTTCTTCTTCGTGACCGCGAGGTCGTAGGCCGCAGAGACTGGCGAACACTGGAAGATGCAGACGATGACGTGAGCGCTGGCCTGAGCAGCAACGATGCAGGTTATGATGATTGCCATTCTCCTGAGCGTGCGGTCTCCGAGGCGCATGTACAAGGCGAGCACCGAGGTCTTGATGAAGCCCAGGCATGCGTTGTAGAAGATGGAAGAAAGCCACACGATCTAGCCCGACATCAGCGATGGCCCAAAAAATAATGCTGGGAAAAGTACCTGAGAGTAGGTAATCATGTTCTGGATACCGCGAGGCTCGACATCCACATAATGGCTTCCCAGCCCGTGCTGGACAGAGAGGATGGTGACTACGACGAACGCCCAAGCCAGCAGCTATAGCAGAAGGTTAGAAGGCTTCTCTGAACTCGGTGCAAAAGTACTCACAGCTCCAATCGATATCAAAATGTCATCGTATCCCACTCTCTGGACAATGTAGATACGTGCCCAGAGACGCAGGGACATGATTATGAAAGTGATGACGGCGAAGACCACCGAGATGGTGACGACCATCGGCCCTTGGGATTCAACCATGGTGAAGAATGGAGCAACCCAACGAAGGGCTCAGGCAGGCTGGATGGGGGGGTGGCGGATATAGCCCGGGTTAGAGCCAGATAGAAAGCTTCCAGAGGATAGGACCGGGTCTGGCGGCGGGGTCAAAGGGCGGGAGGGACAGTGCCAGGGCTTTTTATGAATGAGTCGCGGGACGTTGTCGAAGGAGAAGCCAGGGTCTTTCCACCATGCCAGTACAGTACAGTTAGCCGCGTTGCGGCAATAGAGAGGACTAAAGAAGAAGTACGAGTGTGAAGTGAAGGTAGTCGGGCGCATAAACGGCGAAGGCATGCTCCACAGCAGGCAGAGGATCTTCACGTTCCTGGGAGGAAACCCGATACACTGGATCGGAACGGTCATGTCACAGCCCATCACATGAACCCTCGTCGGCTTTGGCGTAGCATTGTATGCCCGCCGGGGCGATATAAGCCAGGATTGTGCATGTAGGCAAGGACATACCCTGGGCAGTCAGTGCACAAGTGGGTGATTGTGCTGGAGACCGGACCCACGGCAGGGAGGCAGTCCAGGTAGGCCTGGCAAATGCGAGTCCGAGGCCATGGCTGGCAGCTGCAGCAGGAGATCTGGTGCTGGGCACGATGCATGAGCCAAAAGTCCTCATTCGGCGCTGGCTGCAGGTACGGAACGTCTCGCTGAGACGTTATTCATCAGTGCGGGCGGTGTTCGCAATGCAAGCAAGGATGCGGCGGGGCACTGAAGTTGGCGACCACAGGCGAGATGAAAAAAAGAAAAGGGACACGAAGCATTGGCCAATGGGGAGGCGAAGGAGGAGCAGAGAGGGTCGACGAGGCCGGTTCCGCAGTTCCGCGCTGCGAGTTCAGGACAAGCCTGTAGCCGACGCTGCCACAGGCCAAGAGCGGACGCTCCACCAGGCGTTTCACGCCCGCAGTGGCCGGCTCGACGAGGCGGCGACATTGGCAGGTACTTGGCCCAACGACGGCGGCACCGTCGGCCGTTGCCAAGCTTCTCATGGCGAAGGGTCCGGCCGGATGACGAACGCGCACGGGCGGCGGTGTTTCTTTTTCTCCTGGCAATCGCGGGCGGGCAGCTCAGCCGGGCGCCAACGGCAGACCAACGGCAGACCAACGGCAGACCAGCGGCAGACGAAGCGCAGCGCGACGGGCGGGACGTCCTCCGGTTCGACGGCTGGCCAGCGATCAGTCACTTGGAGGGGCCCGGATCAGTGGAGGCGTCATTACCGAACGTGGGGTACGCACGCTCAGTGCCGTGTCCTGGACTCCTGGTGTTGCACAATCGGCGAGGCACGACGATCGGCCGGCCTGCAGTGCGCGAATTCTCCGGCGTCATAATCTCGGCGAGGCAGAGGACGATCTGCTTTCTGATCTGGCCAGACGAGGCGTGAGGAAGAGGTGGCGCAGATCGCGGCCGCAAGAAGACGTTGCGTGCCTGCCTTGGCGCCGATCGCCGCTGCCACCAGAGCCACCCAAGCGCCGTGGCGTCCTGGACCCTCGTGCCCTCGCGCCCTCGCCATCACCACACGAGCCCTAATCAACACTTCCACGACCATCATTGCCTCCACCGCCCTGCCCGGCCTGGCGCCCTGCAAACCCGTCACTGCACACTGCGCACTGCACGCTGCACGCTGCACGCTGCACGCTGCACATCGCCGTGCTGGAGAGTCAGGCACTCGCAGGCACTCGCAGGCACTCGCACGCTGCTGCATTTCCCATCTCGCTTGCATACGCAAACCACTCCTCGTGCGAGCCGCCGTACGCGTTTCCTTCAGATCGTTGCCGCCGACGCCTCACTTTCGACGCCAGCGCGTGCTGCCGGCCTCTCCATGCCCAGCTTCCCCCCCACTCGATTGACACTGTCGAAGATAGGTACCTGCTCATGGGCGAGACCTCCGCCAATGCTTCCTGCCGGAGACGCTCCGTCGGCGTCTCTAGCAATGCCTGTGCTTTGGGTTTCCCGTCTCAGCACACCTCTGAATACGCGTTCTATTAGCGTGCATGCTGTCACATTATCCTGCTGTTCACCTACGTAGTGCAGCTAGGTCCGTTACTTTTCTGCCATGTCACTTCCGGCTCTCTCAATTCCACTCAAACATCCTATGCCACTTTGTGATCAATGATGCTGACACCCGCCATCTCTTTCTTGGGCTCTACTATACTACTTACCATTTACCCCTGTCTCTCTGTGCCCATTTCCCTACACTGCTGTCAAGCTAGCTCCTTTACTGCGACATCCCTTTCCACAGTCACTCAATTGGCAATATTTCATACCTCAAAGACTGACTGCCTTTTTCTCGTTCTGCCTGAAGTCAATATCCTCTAAAATACAGCCGCTGCTGTGGGTTCTCTGCACTCTAAATGAGACTTGTTCAAATCTAGCCAGGTCCCAGGCTGGACGTGTTGCGGCTATTGACAATCTCGCGGGACTCGCTGATACGTGACCCCCAATGTGCCATGAACGGACGGTTGCTCAGGTCGACGCTCGACAGTTGAAGCCATACAGTAGTTGAAATCAAGTGAAGTCAGCTGAATGCCCGTGAGTCAGATCTGTTTTCTGCGGAAAAGTCACTGCGCTCTTTCATTAGCATACCAACTTCATTTGCTACACTTCATCTCAACTCTGCCTCTCGTCGATATGTACATACAACGTGCCAGGTAAGCATGCACATCAGCGCCGCAGTGCCGGATCGGTCAGGGATGCGTGAAACAAAACATGAAAAAAAAACAAGAATCACATCATGCCGCTCACCGCCAATCGTTTGCTCTTAATCACTTCCAGACGTGCGATCGTTACCGTCCACAGCACTTTCGTCAGAGGGGTCAGTCAGATCCGTTTCAGTTGTACATCCATTAAGATTTTCGAGGTAAGCCGCCAGCTACCCGGCTCTTGGGTTGATAGCTACCCCCTGAGGTAGAGCTGTTCCCGCGGATCAACGCAGCGACTCCCTTACAACAACCCCGCCATATCGCCTGCGTTATCCACCAGGTACTGTGAATACCGGTCGACACGGCCTACTTCTACACTTACAAAGCTTGCGCCGAATCACTGACGATCGCGGATCACTGCTGAGGCTCGGGGTAAATGATCAATTACAGCCTGAAGGCCTCCACGTAAGCCATGGAATGCAGCAACACTACATTTTGCATGGCCCAAATACCAATAAGATTTCCTTGCGCGAAAAAATCCAGCTCATCCCGAGGCTCATCATTCGGATTCTTGCTACTCCAAAGAGCTGGCTTCGTGCAATGTTTCACCAAGTGAGAGTTAATGCTACCGTCGAGGGTCCAATCGCCGCCACCATGTGAGACGCCGTGCTTTCTTTTTTTTTTATTCTCTTCCCTCCTCCCACCACGGAAAGCAAAATGTATGCATACTCTGAACGCCGTTGACAACGAAAAAAGTTTCCATGGTATACAGCTCGATGAAAACCCATCCACCATCTCCCCTCACCCACCTCCCTCCCCATCAGGAGAACCCATGACCATCATTTGAGTACCCGCTTAGATCCTCACCTCGGCTTCCTATACCTCCCCTGTCTCATCTGCTCATGCAAGCTTTCCTTCTGGCTAGGCAGCGGCTCTCTCCTCCTCCCATTGCTGTCCCTATCACCGCCGGGCATGCCCTGCGGGGGCTGCCCGCCCTGCTGCATCGGCGGCGGCGGAAAGCCCGCGAAGCCAGGCGGGAACGGCGGCGGCGGGAAGCCGGGAAACCCGGGAGGAGGCGGCGGCGGGAACGCGCCGGCCTGGCCGCCGTTCGGAGGCGGGACGGGAGGCAGCGGGATCTGCCCGGTGCGGATCATCTCCGCGAGCTTGGTCGGGTCCATGCCGGGAGGCAAGGCCGGGATGCCGCCCGGCCCGGGGAAGGGCGGAGCGCCCGATCCCGGCGGAGGGGGCGGAGGTATGGTGATGGGCACCACCGGTCCGTTTGTGGCGGGCCCGCCGAGGCCGGGGAGCTGGGCGCCGCCGATGCTCGAGCCGTCGGCGAAGCCCAGGCCGGGGAGGCCGGGCAGCGTGGGCTGCTTTGCGGGCATCTTCTGGTCCACGAGGCCTTCGGCTTCGTCCTCGGCCTCCTGTTCTTCCTCCTCTTGCTGCCTTCTCCGAGCATCGCGGCGGTCGTAAATGCCTTGTGCCTCAGCGGCGGCCTGACCAATGTGGTACCGGTCATTGAATGGAACAGTCTCTCCAGGACGCGCTCGCGTCCAGAAGCGAGTGATTCGATCGTTGGAGCCAGAAGCGAGAATGTGTCCAAGGGGATGCCAGTCCAGGGTCCAGATGGCGAAGTCATGGGCTTGCGGTACCCGGTGGGCGGGGTAGATAGTCTGTGCAGGTGCGTTTGAGGGGTCTGGACTGTCATACGGAGACATTGTCGCCTCGATCCCCGGAGGGGCATTCTGCTCGTCGAGAAGGTAATGGAAAAGGCTTCCGTCAACTCCTCCTGTTGAAAGGAGGTTGCGGTGGATTGGATGCCATGCCAAGGTGGTGATGTCTTTCTCGTGACCACGCAGGAGGAGGACATCACGCATCATACGCAGATCGAATATCCTTGCAGTGTGGTCTCTCGCACATGTAGCAAGGAGTTGGCCTTGTGTACGCTCAAAGGAAGTCTTGGAGATGGTGTTCTTATGGCCGTGAAGGGTGGTCAGGCAACGGCCTGTCCGCGGATCCCACAGCTTGATCTGGTGGTCCTTGGAGCCCGAGACCAGCAAGCCTTTAGTCGGGTGCCAATCGACCGTCTTGGCTTCCCAGCCGTGGCCGGTCAGGGTGGATTCTTCAATTCCACCGGCAAAGTCGAAGATTTTCAAAGTCGCATCGTCGGAAGCAGTCACGAATTTTGAATCGGTAGGGGCAAAAGCCAGATCACGGATGGGCTCGTTGTGGGCCTGGAGGGCCTTGACGTTGTTGAAGTTGGTTTGCCAGTATTTCACCACGCCGTCCTGGTCGGCCGACACCAGCCAGTCATCGCTATGCGAGTATTGCGCAGCGCGGATGGCGGAATCGTGGGCCTGCATGATGGTCTCGAAATTGAAGCCCATGCCATTCCATAACGTAAACTCTCCACTCGTCGAGCCTGTGAGCAGACGCCTGCCCTCCGGAGTCCATCGCACAACGTTGATGGGGTGTTTGACCTTGTTCAATGACGCATGCAGGTGTTTTGCGGGAATCGTCTCGGCGGCGGAGCCCAGGCGGGCGAGCGGCGGGATCATCTGGAGCTCGTCAGCTTTGCACAGGCAGGCGTCCTCGGGCACATACGTCGACCATGTAGCTGATGCTGGGCCGCTCGGCCTCGACAGGCGGGAGCCCCTTGTAGCGCGGACGACGCACGCGGGCCCATTGGACCATTGTCGAGCCATAGTCGGTGGCAGCGCCTGATAGAGGTCAGTGGCGGCGCAGCTGGACTGGAGGAAGGGAAGACGGACGGCGAGCTCTGGTGCGCGGAATGCCATCGTGGCCACCGGTCTGGTAGTGGAACTCGCGATCCATGGCGGGGGCAGCTCAGCGGAGGTCGGACTGTCACCGGGCGCGGGGGGGCTGAGGATGCGCGAGCGTGGGGCGCGGCATGGAGTCGGCAGAGGGTGGTCGCGGTCGCGGTCGTGGAGCTCGACGCGCGTGGGTGACGGCACAATGGCGGGCTCTTGGAGCGCCGAGCTGCGCCACCGGGCGCAGCCACAGCGCCAGCCACAGCGGGCAGGCGGCGAGGGACGGGCGGATCCTGGATCCTGGACGCTTGACAAGCTGCAGCACGCCAAAAAAGCTCAACAAGCTCTCCGCATGGCCGCTGATTGGGGCCCGCCGCTGGAATGCTGCTCGCGATAGCTGTCTGGCCGCCGTCTCTGCCTCCTCGACCTCCGTGACTCCGACGACCAATGCGCCGCGCTGGCCTTCTTCGCTGTCCCTGAGCCCTCACCCCACCCCGCCCGCCCGTCTCCACGCCGTCCCCGACCACAGCCTGTCCCAATGGCTTCCAGCGTTGAGACCGCTGTGTCGACGAGCACCGACATACCCATCACCCGCCCGGACAAGCAGTACACTGCCGCCACGCCCCAGCCCGATCCCATCCAGACCCTCCAGACCCCTGGCTCCAATGGCGCCGCAAAGGGCTCCAGCGCCGGCTCTGGCGCCAAGTCAGTCGGGAAATACAGACACGTCGTTGCCGTCCACCACCAGGCCCGCCCGTCGTGCCTCAGCCAGGATGCGGAGCAGCCGCCGAGTTTCGTGGGCTTCAGGAACCTCATGATCCTAGTGCTGAGTATGCCATCTCCCCAGGAGCTTCAGGAGGCCGTGGCTAATCACTCGCCTCCAAAGTCGTCTCCAACCTGCGCCTGATGATCGAGAACTTTCGGAAGGTACTTGGCGTCGCGCCACCCCAGCAAAACCTCGCTGATCATTGGGGAACAGTATGGAGTCCTGATCTGCATTCGTTGCCACGATTATCGCCGCCAGGACGTCGTCTACGGCTCCATCCTCTACTTCCTTGTCCCGTGCCATCTCTTCGTCGCATACGTCATCGAGCTCGCTGCCGCGCAACAAGCCAAGGGTGCCATCGCACGGATCAAGAAGGCTGAATCGCCGAAAGACGTGCAGGCGCGACGCGACGAGTTCCGCAGCACGTGGGGTCTTATTGCCTTTGCTCATGGCGTCAATGCCACGCTGAATCTCCTGGTTGCGTCGACAGTCGTCTACTACTGGATCCATCATCCTGGCATCGGTACGCTCTGTGAGCTGCACGCCATCATTGTCTGGCTGAAAACATGCTCCTATGCCTTTACCAACCGTGATCTCCGGCATGCTCTGCTTGACGACTTTGGCACCGCTCCTCTTCCCGACATCTACAAGGAGTGCCCGTATCCGAAGAACATCTCAATCAAAAACTTGACGTATTTCTGGTGGGCCCCCACCCTGGTCTATCAGCCCATCTACCCTCGCACCGACAAGATCAGGTGGTCCTTTGTCTTCAAGCGCTGCGGTGAAATGCTCGGGCTCGGCATTGTCATCTGGATTGCGTCCGCCCAGTATGCCTCGCCACTGCTCAAGAACTCGTTGGATAAGATTGCGACGCTTGATCTCGTGTCGATTTTGGAGCGCATGTTGAAGCTCTCTACCATTTCCCTGTTTTGCTGGCTGGCCGGCTTCATGGCTTTCTTCCACTCCTTTCTGAACGCCCTCGCCGAGGTTATGCGTTTCGGAGACCGCGAATTCTACACGGAATGGTGGAACGCCCCAAGTATCCGTATCTACTGGGTCACATGGAACAAGCCTGTTGCCAGCTTCATGCGCAGGCACATTTACAGTCCATTGTGCGGGCGTGGTGTTCCGCCTGTCCTTGCTCAGATCATGGTTTTCCTGTTCTCGGGTGCTTTGCACGAGCTTGCCGTTGGTGTTCCAACCCATAACATCATTGGTATGTCGTTTCGCCCCATCCTCTACTACATATCCGATCACTGACTCAGTAGCAGGTGTTGCATTTGCTGGAATGATTTTCCAAATCCCGCTCATCATGATCACGGATCCCATCCACCGCATGAAAGGTCTGCAGAGCAAAGTGATTGGCAACATGATCTTCTGGGTCAGCTTCTGCCTTGTCGGCCAGCCTCTGGCGGCTCTACTCTACTTCTTCGCTTGGCAAGCTAAATATGGCACTGTGAGCAAACCACAGGTGTGGAGCTAATTGGATCCACAAATCCCCCTGTTCTTTCCTTCACTTCGTCTCTTTTCATAGACTTACTTATTGAGGAGTTCACGGGTGGTCCGAGGTTTTATTGGTCTCCAAAAAGTTTCGTCGTATGGCTTTCACCGGCGCGAAAATGTATCACGACCCACAACCTCTTGGTCCTGTGACATATCAATTGCTCGTAATCGACTTCCCCGCATTCGATCTACATGTCAGCGATGCCCTGCTTGATGGTGCCAGCACAGCCTGATATAGTATTACAAATGATGGATCACTATGGCTTGTATAGACGCCTCCGCCAACTTCGCCAACGATGTTATTCACCAGCCACAGGGCCCGACGTGACCACGTGTACTCGTGGCTGCGAAAGATACTCGTATTCGCTGAAGCTGTCGAACACACTCTCTTCCAAGTTTCATCACCTGCCCAATAGCCCGATCCTCTCCATTTCTTGCGCTTTCCAATAGTAGTTACTCGGTTTTCCAAGCCTAGACGGGACCATGCGCAGGGAGTCTCACATACAGCCTGATATCTCCTTTCAATAAAGCGTCGTCAGCTTCCCGTAGGTTCCGGCGTCGACTACTTCTTCAAGCCAGAGCTTGCGCCGCCTTCCATTTGGAATCTCCTGTCCGAAATCTAGCCTCTTCATCTAACCCGCGGGAACGCAACGCATGAACGCATCAACCCTTCCAGGTGGTGGTCCCTCCCGAGAATTACGCGTAGCTGTAAAGTACGCTGGGTGTTTTTTTTGCGAAGCACACTGTACAGGCGCAACCGAGGCGCGCGGCGTCGTCGGCACGCGGGGCCGGCGGCCTGCCAGGATTTGTGGGCAGAGCGGAAGCGATGCGGGTCGAAGTGGTTGGTGGTGGCGAAAACAATCAAATCAAGAACGAACAATAATATGGGCGGCCCGCGCAGACACTCCTTCTTTCTCGGGACACGTAGCCCTTGCAGTCGGTCAGGAGGCCTTCGTGGGCGTCATGAAGGCAAGGAATGGGGAATGACGTAATTACATCGTGTGGATTTTGCACTCCCTTCTTTTTTTCCTCTTCTCTCTTGAAAGTATGAGGCTCGAGATGAGTTTTGTTCAGGTTCTTACGCGCCAACAACAAGTCCTTCGGATACAAAGCCCCAGACTTCACAATAAGCGAGAAACTTGAGAACAGTCAAGATATTAGACCTTTTTTTTTCATCTCTTTCTTTTACTGTTTTATCTATATCCTTTTTGGTTGTAATCGATCTTTGGGG